TGCCACATCGGACGGGCCCGGGGGCAACTTGAGATTTTTGAGATTCCATTGCTAACTATTGTAAAAGGACGGTGAGCACGGTGAAGCCGTGTTTTGGCCGATATCAGAACTGCTGCGTGTAGAGTAAACTGGAGGCTGGCCCTAATGGGGTTTCGGTGCCGAGTCGGTGATCATCTCCATTTGGTACAATTTCTCGGAGTGGACCCAGCGACTTCGGTGCGTGTGGTTATAGATTTAGGGTGTTCTGGACGTCTTCTAGAAGGCTTCCTTGGAGGTCACCGTACCATGGATGCAATGCAGCTTACTGCAGGGCGTGAACGGGAAATATTTTTTTTTTCTCCTTACTTTCTTTATCCTTTTTTTTGATCGGATATCGGCACAGCAATAATGTTCATAACATCCATGGATGATAAGAATAACAGTATCACGTCATGACTCTTATCATGCCGCTTTCGCTATGCCTTTGTTAGACTAACCCAATTGTTCTTATTATTACACACATACGACCTTGAAAATACCCGGAAACGAATGCGAGTTCCCATTCGGGTAAAGCCCGAGGTTCGAGATTACCACTGTCCCCCACCAATCACAGCCCTTATAAACAGCTGAGTCAGTTAATTACCGCAAGTTCAAATGCATTTGCCATTGAAATACGTGGCACCTCGTAAATTACACCCAGGTTGAACATGCCGTATTCTATTTCTATATAACTAGCCCTAAGAAAATAAGTGTGCACCTCGTAGAAGTATGGATATAATGTCACCACATGTGGTGATGAGGACACACAACCTAATCTCTCTCCCCGTCTAAATCATCTGAATCCAGATCCTGCATCCACAGTAATTCCATTGGCATTACTTTATCCGCGTCTACTGGTCAGGTATCGGAGGCCAAATATCCTAGCACGGTCTTGGCTTTCACCTCGCAGCCGTGTACCTACAGTAGCGCGAGTAGTGTGATGGGGCATAGCTCCATCCAGCAATCAGATGTCCTCAAATACGCTTAGAAGAGCTCCTACCATCTGAGTCAAACCCTCACCGGTGGGCGGGCCCACTGAATGATCGCCCGCCTGCCAAATCGTTCCTAGATTACGGAGTATACCATACCACTTACGGTGTACATTAGTACGCCTAGCTTCGCGTACCTTGTATGGTCATTTCTCCGAGGACTTTTGCCGATCTCAGATCGTGAGGCATTTTTTTGTCGTTTCCTAGCTCATTTCACTCACATACACACACACACCCCCCGACAAGGGTTCACTTTATAATCATCCTTTGGGCTAAACTGCTAGCTGCTAGCTGTCCGAGATCCCGTCTGACGGCGCTACTGTCAATTTTTCTTGTGACTTCTCCGAATTACGCCTTGTGCATCCATGGATTCCTTATGGAGTTACAATAATACATCGAGAAAACCAAAGTACCACCGTAACTGTTCTCAGCTAAAGCGCGGTTCGCCAAGCCATCCCAGCTTTGGTCACCCCAGAATTTCACTGCCCATGGAGAAACATACAACATAGGCCGAGGAAAACGAAAAATTGAAAAAAACGCGGGTTGAATATAGCGCAACTTTCCTCCCCGTGCACGGGGTTACCGTACCTCACCCCAAGGCTTATTTAGGAATAGCGCGATTTGGCTCCCGCACCTGCAGGAGAGCTTTAAGTCTTTTTTTGAAACGAGAAATATCTCTACCCGTGTTTGACGCATGGAAATTGAAATGCCTAGATGCAATATAAAAATATCTCTTTACTCCGTAGATTATACGGAGTAATCTCCAGAGTCGGCTATCAGGGAGGTAGGTCGATGTATCTTTTCTGGGGCGTGGGATGGTCATAGCTTGCAAATGATTATCACCGGGGTTTTCTTTCATGTCAAGCTACGTATATTGTAGCACTCTGTATTATTTAAATTGAACAGCCAATTCGAACCCCATGGAATCAATAACTACTCTGTACGTACCTCGGAAACTAGCCCCGCGTGTCTGTGCTTTTGAGACTACTGCCCGTTCAGGTTTGAATCGTCTCTCTACTTACCTGAACCCGGTAATCCCCCGAACATTGTGAGGTTTTTCATTCAGGACGCATTATTGGGCCAGCGACTTGAGCATATGTCGGACCCCTCTCGGTCTTGGCTCGTGTGCTGTCTGTCTATTTCACGCCGAGGTGCAAACTCGGCCAGCATCGGTGATCCCGTGTCGAAATGTCCGACCCCGACTCGGGCGACGCGGCACGCGGGAATTCGGCACGTCACGGTTTCAGTCCAGGTTTTGAGATTTTATGCTTGTGATAGTCGACTCTGGTTACATATCATAAATTTAATTGCTTATTACCTTGGATCTCATTCATTGTTGATTCCTTTCTGGTTCTTTCCCTGGGACCTTCCAAGGATCATCTTCCTCATTTTGCCGACATATCGGGTAAATTGACCTTTTCTTTGTTTACTCATCTTTAATTTGTGGATGAATCAAATTCCTGCACGCCACAAAGTAATAGTGGGAAAAGTAATTGCCCTATTCACGAAGGTGAATCGTGCCAGCTAGATTGTTTACCCAGCTCTCAAGAATCGTGTGCATCTCACATTATATACATCGAGATCGTATGCCATGTTACACCTTTCTCTTGGCTGCATACAAACCTTGTGTCGATCAGATCCTAGTAATCACATACGGACACGCCCCCAATACGCGCAATCCGCTGAGAAAACGAACAATGGGCAACATCCTAGCTAGATTAGCTTTCCATCTCTAGCTTCGGAGTTTAATCCTTTGGTCGAAATGCCCGCAAATCCAACTCTTTTGAACGGTCCATTTGAGATTGACCGTGGAGATTGCACGGAACAATATACTATACCGGGTAGCTCGTAGCTCGTGTGATAACGCACAAATCAATCTATCTAAACCTTTCCAGGATAGCAATTATGACGTGCAATATGCCCTAGCTATCGCACGATACCCAAAAAAGCAATAAATAAACATCCACCCAGACCACCTCGGAAGTACTCCGTACGAGCACGACTCATACGACGTCAAATAATCCAGAGCCCATGAGAGACCAGATTACCCCATCCAAGCCAAACCACATGCTTACTTTGATAGTCCTCCCCTTCCGGTCATGATCGACAGGAGAACAAACACCCCACACTCGCTCGACGCGAACCCTCCCAACTGGCAAGTGGTATTTCGGGGATCATGCAAAGGGATACTTTCCGCGCTTGCTACTGGGCCCCATATAGGGTAATTTGCACATCACCACGGAGTATTTACCGGGATTGGCGCGACTTGAGTCCGGTGTCGGGAAGGGTTTGTGCTATCTATCTTCATTAGACGGGAAAATAACAAATCACTGCACAAGACATGCGGTCACTGGGGTTGTTCTTCCCCCCTGTGACGCAAGGCAAGTATGCACGTACAACATACAACATACATAACTAACCTAATACAACATAATTACCCCGTTTAGTATGGCTCCGGGGTAATACACCCAGTTAAGGAGTTCGTAGCATTGTGTTCCCTGTACGCGAAACCAGTCGAGTTTACAATGCACACGCGCCCTATCTCCCCGTGCTGCTGTGAAGACGTACTCAATAATTGTATGGAGTATTGATATTCCTCTTGGCTGTGTGTTATATCGATACAATATTGAAACGCACAGTGCAGACTGCTTCTCCAGACCGAATTGAACATTACAGTATTCCGTTTTGGACTGCCTGTCACTGCCACTCGGGCACAAGTGATCGGCTGTATTCACGATTCTCGCTTGGTCCTGGTTTTCTCCAGGATCGGAGGCTATTATGATGAGTATGACGAATTGGATAGAGTAGAGCCGTTTACTCCGTATTTCCTTCTATGTTACTATTGTTAGAAAGGAGATATGAGACTGCCTGCTAGGCTACAAGAAATATTTCTCTTTGTATGCACCTATCGGCAGATCTGCATAGCCACCGTTAAACTCCCCGATCAGTGCCGAATATCGAATTCTACCGGTGCCTGGTGTATATCTGGGGGGCGGAGTCGAAGCTGCATACTATAGCTCAAACACGGTTCCCGTGTAGTTTTGTTGTCGTGTTCCAAATCTTACAGATACCGTATACCTGGGGCACTCCTGGGATACCTTGTCCGGGCATGCCAAGACAGGGATGGATTCGTGGGGATGCTGGGGGATCGACATACTGCCTGGCGTGCAATGTGTAATTGTCTATAGATAGCATTCGTCGCGGTGAGTGGATGGACAATGCAGTGATGGCACCAATTTGGGATTAAACTCCATGATCGACGATAGACAGACAAAAGCCAAGATCCAACAACAGAAGGGGAACGCAGTCGTGCTCGAGTTTCACTACTCTGTTTCACTAGAGTTTCTTGGCTACGCTGTATCAACACTGGGCATTTCCCATTTATGAGAGTCTGAGGTCAGAACGGGATGTGTGATCGGCTTGCATCCTTGTTCTCATTGTCTTGGAATATCAATAGTTTGTTGTGATTCGAGTCTCGATGACATGCTTCTTCAAATACGACTTACCCCATAAGGGAAGACGCTCCGTATAGTATATATCACACCTGGGCATGTGTTTAAATAGCACAAAGAGAAGAAAGAGAAACTTGTGACCAAGACTCATCGACAAGTCTCAAAAATCAATGCGCGCAAATCATCCCGACTATTGCGTTTCATCCCTGTCTCCTCAAACAGTCGATCTTGGCGCCGAGCGTCGAAAAAGGAACACTGACACTATTCAAATATATTCTTGGCATGTTTCTGCACTATTACAGGAAGTACTCCGTACAACGCGATAAGGTCATTCAATGATGTCAAGTTTCTCTTGCTTATCGCATCAAACCTCATGCGAGGAATTTCCCCCTCCCTTGATCTGCTGATCGCCCTCATCTTGTACCTGTCCACCGACGCCAAGCCACGCCGTGCATCCCTTCCTCCCGCATTATCGTCTTGGCGAGCATTTGGCCTCTGACCAGCCCCTTTTTTTCTGTCGAGTCGGCGTGAGGTCATGGAGTCAGGCTTTGGTGATCGTGGGGCGGAGTGGAGAGGAGAGGGAGTCGACAAGCGCAAGGGTGCTTGTTGATAATGCTTGTTGTGCTTGCGTCTTGGCGGGGGCAGTGTGCATGTATTTCGTACGAAGTGGACAGGACAAGCATGCACAGGAGTATGTATGTTGCAATGTGAAATCCAGGGTCGTGCTTCTTATCGGAGGTGTCGTCTGTGAGGGGCGTGGCGCTGTCACGCTGTCAGGGGCGCATTTAGATTTCTTTATGACGATATCCCGATGCTTAGGCTTGTTTTGTCGCTGAGGGATTTTCTCCGGCCAAGACGGCGGCGACTGACTGTTTTGCTGGATACCTGTATGTTGTATCTCGAAGATTCGGTAGATATTTACTACCAAGGGATCTTGGCTGTAGAACAATGCACAACGGGGTAGAGGATTAGTCCAGCTGACTTCGGCCGGGCGTTCTTGGATGTAGTTACTGCCCTGGTGGTTACACCGTATCATATTTGTATATTGTGCATGGTAACCCTCTTTTTTTCGTTATCGGGGCGTGGGTATATGGTTACATGCATGGTTTTGGCTGAATATAAGCTTGCAAGATTTGATCTATGTTTGCTGCTGTAGTAGATAGAAGTTATATTTACTTCACATAGTAGAGCATGTATATTGAAAATTCAGCAGATGCGAGATATTGTATATCACAGGTAGCTTATTTGAACACCAGGGTCGAGGGCAATCAAAGGAAATTAATATTGTCAACATATAATTGCTTGGATATATATTGGGTTCGATTCTTCAGCTTCAGATTTCATGCGGCTCTGCATTTTCAATATCTTATTTAATTGAAATTACGCGATTTAAATTGTAATTTTTCTTCAACATACAATATTTAAACCTGCCATAGAAGCTCACACTACAATCGGGCTTATACGCACTAATACCCATGCCGTTTGACTGTATGCGTCTCAGTATCATTACTATTACCATTACCACGCTTACTACCATAAGTCTAGGAACAGTCATCTGCATCTATCCCGCATTCTTCCGATCGCAAGAAAATGCAGCAAGGAGATAGAGTGATGTCAGGGATCGGAATCTGATCAACAGAACAAGTTATGCCGAGCCGGTGACGAGATAGCCCCTTGATGAGACCCGTTGCTCCGAGCAACCCATGCCATGAGGGTTCGCATGAAGACCCTGCATCCACGTGGATAATGAGACCAGAAGGAACAGGCTCAACGAGTATCAATGTTTCAGATGAAACCGATACAGCATCAGAGTGTGATTCTTGATCCTACAGTGCAGGGTACCAATGACCCCGGCATGTGTTTCTCAATCGCAAACTTGGCCCGCCAGCCAGAACAGTGACCCGGCATGAGCACGGCGGGATCGAGCCGTTTGAGGTCGGCAACTGTACTTTGGATTTGATCCGCGTCGCTTGTGGCGAGATGAAACCCACCGACAACGGCATGGATAGGTACCGATCCGCCGGTGAGATCGACCGCGTGTTTGGTGGTGTTGACTACACCAGCGTGGCTACATCCAGTGAAAACCACGAGTCCCTTTCCTGAAGAATATGTTAGGCCAATGAACTTATGAGCGGGCTGTGGGGTGCATATACCCTTGAGGTTGCAGATGAGAGAACGCTCATCAACGATGACTTCGTCAGAGAACCAGTCATTCTCGTCAGGGTCATATCGAACTGCATTCTTCAGACCTGTCTCATACGGTGTTACCCGTGGAATCTCTCCAGAGACAAGAAAGAAGTCATCAAGGACGGTGTGTGGCTCGCTCCGCTTGTCGACCACAGCACCCGCACCTTCCATCTCCTCAAAGGTAGGGTCAGCCTCGAGGGAAATGATATGTTCAGGCAGAGCGATGCCTCGATAGGCCGGTCGATCCGGGTGCAAGTCTGCGACGAGGTCTCCAGAGCGGTTTTCGGCTCGTTTCGCATCTTTTATCATGCGGATTGCTCGCAGAAGACCACCTGCGTGAATATCAGCACAGCTGAAGAGGGTATGCATCAATGTGGCCATTTTTTTCGTTCGGAATCACGAACCGGAATGATCTCGATGCCAATGTGATAGATGAATCACCTCCACGGAGGAAAGATTCGGTCGCAGCCGTTTCACATTTCTCTCCCAAGCCTCCTCTTCAGGACCAGCATCAAAGAGAATAGCGTGCTTCTTGTCGCCTTTGGTGGCAGTCTATATATGATATGCTTAATACGAAACCGCTTTCAAGAGTCCAATGGTAGAACATCGCCTTACCACCAGAATCGACAGGCCATGTGCTGCGCAGCAAACATTTTCCAGCCTTAATTCCTTGTAGGCTTCCCCACGGTCTGTTAGCGTATGCTTTGAGCCCATGGCAATTGCCCCCAGATTCCCCGAGACTTGGACAGTATCCGGGGCTGGGGGCGAGAGCGGATCTAGCTCATTGTCGATGATAACAATGGCTTCGAGAGAGTCCACCTCTTCTAGGGTTATGGCCATATCCACAGAGTCATCGCTAGATTTACAATCAGAGGCATTCAGGACTTGAGAAGGGGATACAAGAGATACCTGAAAGGATCATGGCGAATATCCAAATTCATTGCAGAGACTATACTCCGTAAGTAAGTGAATGTCAGTGAAATGTCAGAAGTTCCGACTTCTCCACAAATGCGGGGGAATCACATTCACCTTTCCCCTGAAACCATAAAACTGCACAGGAAGATCTCAGTCGACCTCGGTCTTCTCTTCCTCATCCTCTCGTCTTCGCTACCTCACATAATGCGGTTTTTCCTCGATCGCCTCCTCCTCGTCCTCGTCCTGTTGTTTTCCCCCGTCACAGCACTCGGCACGTCATGCTTCAAAGTCGTCTCCGCGCTGGTTAGCCGACCGGGCTACCTCTTCGATAAATTCCAGAGTGAAATCTGTGACAATGGATGCCAGCCGACCGTTCCCCATTGGGATCTATGGACGCGCAACAACACCTTTGTCCCCGCCGTTCGCAGCCTGGTGCAGCGCATGAATGTACCCCACAAAGAAGAGGCTCTGTTGAAGATGGGCGACGATGTTGCGCTCAACATCAAGGAAAGCTGCGGATCAATGCTGGGTGGTGGAGTACATATCTGCTCTGATTCGGAGACTTTGGCTGGGTTTGGCAATTGCTTCAAGCGCAATTTCCTCAAGGCTTCGATCAAACATCTCCCTTCTTTGATCCCAATGGCCTCGGATGAAGCCTGTAAAGAGCAACTTAGGTTCTTGGAGAGTGATGAGCTGTGGGATATTACGATTCCTCAGAATATGAGGGATTATGCGAAAGTGTGTGACATTTTGGGGCCTAATGACCATGATGAATTATGAATTATGAATGATGTCTGGATTGAACTGTAAATAGTGCTATACATGTAATTAATATCACACATATACTGATCTCACTCGATATCAGGGAAATTGGATGCAAGTAGTGTCGGAAATAAGGACATCGCTAAATTCCTCAAACTCCGACTCCGCGCGGAGCTACCACGGATGACGACAGGCCGAATATCTCTAGGGCTTACTTGACACTCGACATTCCCATATTTCTCACCACTTTGCCTTCACCTCAGATCAGACTCGATTTGACTGCCAACACCGCCATGCAGTGATTGGGCAGTCGCCTCTCCACATCTTCATATGGCGCACGCGATCTTCCTCCGCTCTCTGCGGCCCACCGTCATCCGTCCCTCAATCTGGCGCCGATATGCCCACTCAAGCCAATTCCAACCCTTCGTGCCACCGTCACCAAGTTCCCTAGGGAAACCCACAGAAGCAAAGACCTACAAACGAACCATCAAATGGTTACGTCGGATCATCTACGTCTCACTAGCAACAGGCGTCGCCTACGGCATCGACAGCCAGTTCTACGCCTCGTCGCTCACCCGAACAGCCCGGACTTTTTCTCTCGGTCTCTTCGTCGCCCTCGACTACAAAATTAACTTTCGCCCAAACCCGCCACTCGCCAGCTCTATTGCTGCCGTACACGCCCGCAACGCAGAGCGCTTGTCAGATCTGCTGAGGCATAATGGCGGTCTTTACCTGAAGATGGGACAGGCGATTGCCATGCAATCTGCCATCCTGCCCCCTGAATTCCAGCATATGTTCTCTCGCATGTTTGACGATGCGCCTCAGAATGACTGGAAGGATGTCGAGAAGGTCATCCGTGAGGATTTTGGGAAATCGCCTGAGGAGGTATTCGGTGTGTCGTTCACGGGTGCGCCTGACAAGGGTGTGATGGAGCGCAAAGCCCGAGCCAGTGCTAGTGTTGCCCAGGTCCACTGGGCTCGTCTGCAGGATGGCAGGGAGGTCGCCATCAAAATCCAAAAGCGGGAGATCGTGCAGCAATTGGCATGGGATCTCTGGGCCTTTAAGTGAGTCTGTCCGAGTTCGAGCCGCGAGAGGATGTCATACTAACATTAAACCCAACAGAGTCGTGACCTTTATCTACAGCAAGGTGTTCGACATTCCTTTCTACAGCCTTGTCCCCTATATCAGTGAAAGACTATCCCTCGAAACAGACTTCGTAAATGAAGCAAATAACTCGGAAAACATGGCCAAGCTAGTAGCCGCTGAACCTCGCCTCCGCGACCGTGTATATATCCCCCGTGTATACCGCGAACTAAGCTCGAAGCGCGTTATGACTGCCGAATGGATAGAAGGCGTACGGCTCTGGGACAAAGACGCCATCACGCGGCCCTGGCGCGGCGGCTGGCGCCAGGGAAGTCCAGGCTGCCATGGTACGCCACTTGACCAACCGGAGACGAGTTCTGCGGAGAAAAACCTGCGTGCGTCGAGGACAAAGCCGGAGCGCGATTCCTGGCGAGGCCGCAACAACCGCGGCGGATTGGGACTGTCCCTCAAGGACGTGATGACAACCATGGTAGACCTATTCTCTGCGCAGATGTTCCTGTGGGGATACGTCCACTGCGACCCGCACCCGGGCAACATCTTCATCCGCCGCAAGCCGTCCGGAAAGGCAGAACTGGTTCTGATTGACCACGGCTTGTACATCCACATGGAGCCCGGATTCCGACACCAATACGCGCGCTTCTGGAAAGCCCTCCTCACCTTCGACAATCGCACGCTGAGCGAGATTGTCAAGGGCTGGGGCATTAACAACCCAGATTTCTTTGCGTCAGCAACATTGATGCGTCCCTACAGTGGCGGGGACCTGTCTACACAGCGTAGTCTCCAGGGACTGAGCAAGTCGGAGCGTGCGGAGCGACACTACGAGATGCAGCAGGGGATGCGCAGGGCGATCCGCAATATGCTAGGCGATGAAACCAAATGGCCGCAGGAGCTGATCTTCATCGGTCGCAATCTGCGCATCGTCCAGGGAAATAATCAGTTCCTGGGCTCGCCGGTGAACCGCGTTAAGATCTCTGGTATCTGGGCTTCGCGTGCGCTTATCGAGTCGCCGGATCTGCCGCTGGCCGAGAAGATCCGTAATATCGGTCGCCATTTCATCTTCCGTATGGTGCTGTTTAGCACTGATATCTTCTTCTATTTCACAAAGGTGCGCCAGTTCTTGCATCTGGGTGGTGGTATGGAGGATGATATCGAGGCTCAGATGCAGACTATGGCGAAGGATATGGGGGTTGAGCTTAATCATAGCGTCTTCGAGGGATAGACTGCCCCCGGTCTTGTAGTATAATGTGGATGGAAGAGTTGGTATAGAATATGTGCATACCATCTGGACCTATCTAGAAAAATCTCCAAATAATGACACCCTCCTTATGATTAGCACTACCTCTGGTGTTGTTGTATTTTGGCTGTTGGCTAATATATATCTTCCTACCCCGTCCCATCCTCCCCCCCCCCTTCACATCATAATCTCATAGATCCCCTCACTACTACCATCACTACCCTCAGACCCTATTAAATCCCCCAACCTCCCACGCCTAGCAAGATAAGCAGCCCCCGTATCCGCCCAAACCTGATACTCACAAACCGCCAACCTCTCCTCCGCAGACCCACCATCAACCGCAAGCTTAATACGATAAACAAACGTCTCATCCCACGCCTGCCGCGTCTCTTTCCAGACAAACGTGGCCTTTCCGCGAAACGAAACAGCCATACAGCTTGCATCAACCACCCAGCTTTCCTCGGGCTCAAAGACCATGTTCTTGATAGACAGGAGGGAGGAAATGAGCTCGAAGTAAGTTGCTACCCCATCTTGGCCGGTGAATTGCCGGCCTAGGAAGGGGGCTAGTTGTGGGAGACCGTGTTCGTGGACTAGGGGTTTTGGGGAAGTTGTAAAGGTTGAGAGGAGGTCGTTGGGGGTCGTTGGGGTTGGGTTTGTTAGGGCATCTAGGAAGTCGTAGATTGGCTCTAGGAGGCCTGGGCGTGTGGTCATGTTGGGAGTCTATTATTGGATGCTTTTGGAGGTGTAGATGTGGTATTTGGAGGGTGGTTGGAGACTTGGATGTGGGTTTGATATCCTTTAGGGTGGAGGTGAGTATTGACATCAATATGACGTTGATATGTTTGTTGACATTATGTTGTACTGATGGATCAAAACAATCATCTATACTTGGGCAAGGGTTGCGGTCAATCATTGGGATATCTGGATTTTGGTAGATAGTTCACGACTGTTTTCCATCCATTTGCCCAGACAAGCTTCGCTCTCGAAAGGGAAACAGATGTAGATGGAGACATAAATCAAAGGCCCACAGTAGAACTCCAGCATCGGCTTTCATAGCTTGAGCTTGATAGAAAGAATAAGAATGAAAACACGCGAAAGAGAAAAGAAAGGGAAAATAGAAAGCAAGAAACACCGAGTCCCCAAGAATAATACATTTCCGCTCCCGCAGCTTTCAGCTCTCGGACGTCCCCGGGCTCACTGCCGCCAGGACTTGCCGCAGTTCAGACACGTACAGAACAGAGTCATCGGTTCATCAGCCGCGCGAGTCTGAGCTTCGGTGTAGGTAACCTTGCGCTGACCACACTTTCCGCACTGCAAACTCTTACTGATACTGCGTTCCTGCTGGGCAACCATAGCCTTATCCATATTCTCCTTCTGAATTTTAGCATCCGCTTCGCGCTGCTCGACAGAGCGTAGCTCGTCATGCGTCATGCGCACAAATTGCTCAGCAGTAATCTCTCCCTCGACAACGCGCACCCGCAGCTTCGGGTTCGACTTGTTCTTCAGGTTCTGGAAAAGACTGCGGATCTTCGTACGGTATTCCTCCTTCGTCTCCGGTCCAAGGTACTTGTACGCGGAAACCTCCACTGCAATGGCGCGCGATAGAACAGTCTTCGGAGACTCGGTCGAACCCACACACAGTCCATCGTACATCAGCCCCGTGCAGCTGTCACGCACTCGATTCCCGGTATGATTGATCTCCGCCCCGTCTGCCTTCCAGGTTCGCTTATCCGGAGGCACGGATAGCTTCGACGCCTTGTCTGAGGGTGTAGCAGCAGCTGGGGTGGATGCCCCTGTACCATTTTGGGCTGGTCGTGGAGAGCCGCTCGAGCCCCGACTGGCTGCTGAACCACCGCCCTGCTTTTGCTTGTTCACTTCCGTCCGCCACTTGGAGACAATCTCGCTGGAGAGCCGTGCGACTTCCGGGGTCTTGCTTTGCTTGAACTTGTTGACGATGATTCCGATGCGCGTTTGTCGGAGGAGGTCTTCGGTTGCCCGGACACCGGTTTGAATGTCCTTTAGCAGGCCCAGGATCACAGCTGGAGACTCGTTCGATGTCGCGGCCTTGCCCAGGGCCTTGGCCTTAGCTTCGATCTCTTTGGCGTCCATAGCCATGTTGTGCGGGGTAGAGGGATAACGCGATCAAAGGCTTGACGGGGTCAATGGAGGACCGGGTGAAAAAGTTATAGACGACCTATAAGCCACAACTGTCAGTATGTCATCTCTAAAGCTTAGAGTACAGGGTCTTTATATGCCCCGGATGCCGGCGCATTCTGCAGAACCACGGCTTGCACATATGTTCCTCTGGGATCACAGATCAAGAGGCACATATGCTTTCAACAAACGTCACACAAAACATGGGTCTTAAGATACCCCGCCATAAAGACTCAAGCGGGAGATGGTGATACGCTGTCAATTTGCACGTGTCCACCTTCTCCCTCATTTGCTGCCCGAAACCCGACAAAAACAAACATAGAAGTTTGAAAAAATGACACGAGAGCTATTATACACATTGCACCGGAGAAAGTAATGGGTAATTGCGCAAAAGAAAGATATAGTGAGGGGTGTTTCGCGCTGGCACTAACCTGGGGATATTTCACGGTCGCGTTAACGGTGTAGTGTTGCGAAATGGGACCTGTGAAGAAGACAAAGAGCGGAAAGGCGACGGCAATGGAAGCGCCAGGAGTGACAGGTAAGGTAGATGGAATTTGTCAAAGCCGACGAGGTAAAGGAAATTTGATGAGCTGCGATGTCCGAGGTTTGCGCCAAGCCTTGCGTTCCATTTTCGGAAATTATTTTTCCTTCAATTTATATGCAGCTTGGTATATCCAACTACTTGTTTACTTTTCTAAATTTATGATCATTTGAATGGTCCTGCTTGTCCAGATATGTATTCCATCTATATGGTAATGTATCCTCTGAAGAAAACAGGGAGAGTCCATGGCTATGCAAACAGAATATGGATCAAAGCAAAGAGAATTATGTGCAGCTAGGGTTTCATCATTGTAGATTGGGGGTATAACAAATGGGGGTCTTTTTGAAGGTAAAGCGTAAGCGTCGTCAGTCAGATCCTCATACCCGAAGCTCGCGAGTGGCCGTGGTCACAGAAAGGGACCATGGATGGCCAGGAGGACACCAATTAAGGCGAGGGTGCAGGTTCTCAGCCATTGGTGATATCAACGTGGCATTCGATCCATGATGCGTTCGTGATGAAAGGCAGGTACTGATGGAAGTGACAATTGTCCAACAGCTCGAGAGGTTTAGAGAGCCGTCTTGCCCAGAACATCAGCCAGGTCATCGACGTCCTTGTCTTCCCTCTGAGCAACCTTCTCTTCCTCAGCAAGATCGGCATCCTTGAGGTCCTTCTCAGCCTTGAGCTCTTCCTCTTCCTCCTCCTCCTCTTCTTCTTCCTCTTCTTCCTCTTCTTCCGAATCCTCCTCCTCGAGTTCATCCAACTCATCAACACCCCAAGTACCCTCGGGGTCATCGTCGGTACCGTGTTGCTCCTGTCGAGCCTCCAGGAGCTCACGCAGGTCAACAATGTTAGGGTCCTCCTCGGAGAAGATGTTTCCGTTGAGCTCGATACGACGGAGGCTGGGAAGCGCGGTCTTGGCTGCGTGGGTGAAGCCCTTGACAGCTTCCGCCTTCATCTCGTTGTACTGCAGACGCAGAGTCTGGAGCTTCTGGTTCTTGTTCGCGGCCAAAGCCTGGGCAACCTTCACACCACCACGGGCAGAGAGAAGGCAGTCGCCGACACCAAGCTCGCGCAGAGACGGCCAGCCAGACAAGACGTTTGAAAGAGCAGTGGAGCCCACATTGGTGAAGGTGTTGTCCTGCAGATCCAGAACCTCCAGGGAATGCGCGTGGTAGAGACCCTGGGTCAACAAGTGCGAGATACCCTCCGATCGGATGCCGTTCTGTGTCATCTTAACTGACTTCAGACCGGCCGCGTGGGCCTTGTAGGCGCGAGCCCAGGCCTCCATACTGCCGTTCTCCAATCGGTTTCGTCCGCAGACAACACTCTCCAGAAGGCCAACCTCCTCGCCACAGTTGCGAGCTTCCTCCTTGCGCTCAGCCAACTTTGACAGCGCATCGGCGACCTGAGATCCGGCAGCAGGGCCGAGTCCATTGTTGTTCAGAATGAGGTGGCGGAGGGGCACGTGGCGCGAAAGGAATTCGATAAGCGGGGCCTGAGTCCTGAGACCGAAAGCATTGTCGTTAAGGTTCACGGTGTGGACAGTCGAGATCTTGAGGATGGCGTTCAGGAGATAGTTCAAAGCAGTGGGAATTTCCGCCAGGAGACGGCCGGTGAAGATGTCGTCGAGGTAGGCGGCTTCGAGGCACTTTTGGGTCTGCAGGACCTCAGCTAGACGCTTGGAGGCCTCAATGCCCAGGGTGTTTCCACCGAGACGGATTTCAGTGTAGTCGGTGTTGTCAATCAAAGGCTGAATGTGCGCATTCATGTCCTCGGCGGTGTCGAGTTTGAGGACTTTGCCCTCGAGGGAGAAGACCTTGGGAGGGGCCATGGCGGGGTAGTTGTTGACGTGGGATATTGAGATAAGAAAAAGAAATAAAAAAGGATAAGCGTGAGGTCAATGGCAGGCAATAAACCAACAATGAAGAGACCCAAGTAGACCCAAGGATAGAAAGGAAAAACCGAAACAGTCTGTAGTGTAGCAGAAAAGGAGGCGACCCCAGAGAGGCAAGTTTGTTGATAACAAAAAAAAAAAATAACTACGGCGCAACATAGAGACCAGTAACGCTGCACGCGCCATTAATAATGTCCGATGGTGTCAGCCCTGGAGGTCACTTGTAAGGACTTTGTTCACAACCTCGTACTTAACACTCGCTTTCTATCTTTCGTTTACTTAAAATATTCATCAAGCACACTTGCATATCCATCACAATGTCTTGGCTCTTTGGTTCCTCGAATGGTAAGTACCAATGTCTCTTTCCATACACCCGGTCCGAATACTTGCGCAATGCGCCAGTCCTACATATTACATATCAGAGAAAGACCTTGACCCTCGCTTACACAATGCTTTACAGAGAAAAGCGCCGCTGTCCCCGAGCAAGTGCCCGCCCAAACCGCTCAGTCCGAGAAGCCTAAGGTACGACCCGATACTGCCGGACCAACATCCGCAAGCGACTGACCCTGCCTTCATTCTAGCCCTGCTGCGTCTGCAAACCCGAGAAGACCGCTCGCGATGACTGCATGCTTTTCTCTAAGTCCGATAACCCTGAACAGGAGTGCAAGTCCACGATCGAGCAGTACAAGACTTGCATGGCCGGATTTGGCTTCAAGGTCTAGACTCGATCTCTGACCAATGGCCTCGGCTGTACTATCATTATACAACATTGTACCATAGCATTCATTGGCGGGAGTTTATTGTTTTCCTTGGATATCGTCTGTCTTTAGGGCATGTTTGCTCGTGTGTGATATATTTGAATCTAGAGTTTGGACTCCAGATGAAAGGGATCATCTTCCCAATACAACGTCTCACCTCTTAAAGAACGGATTTTAAATCGAATCAATCATATTAATAAAATAAGCTAGCAGCTTTACTACCTCATTTTGGATAATCACATAATATGGGGTATCACTGATAATCATACAACCATCCACCTAGGCAAATAATCACTGCTTCTTTTTCTGGCTTTCCTCCTCGGTCGCCTGCCGACTGATCTGGCGACATTGAGTATATAGTTTCCACATACACCACAAATAGGCAATCCCGAACCCACCAGCTCCGATCAGGGCATTCAAAACCACCCAAAGATCTGGCTTTCCGGGCGGCGGAGGCACGAATGCCTCAAGAATATGCCAGGCAATCATGGCCAAATAGAAACCAAAGTGTAGGAGAGTTGTGAGAGTGCTGGGCTCGAACTGGGCACTGGAGTCTTCAAGGGATGGTCGACTTCGGTAGGTCTCGAAAGAAGTGGGAGGCAAGCCGAGAAGATAGGCCCAAAGCAAAGTCATAACTATGTAAGGAACGCGGAGCTCATCGCGTTTAAGAAGGGGGTACATGGTCCACGAGCCAAGCACGTTGGCCCAGCCCACCCAGGCGCGTGTTTCTTTGCTCAGCCCACCGTTACCAGCAAGTAGTAGGGTCATTGGTAGCAGAGGCAGCAACACACTCTTTTCATGGACCTGGAAAGAGAACAAGAAAAAGCCCCAGGAGACAGCAGATAAAGCGGGAAGGAGAAGCGAGGCCCGGGGGTGGCGGAAGATAATAGCACAAGGAACAATGATTGACGCCAATGTGGCACCGAGAGATGCTCGCTGCAACAAAGTGGCATCAAAGCGGGTGAGCTTGTAGAAAGTGTGAATGGCGCACCAAGCGTTCGCAACTTTGTCTTCGAAAAGCCCACGCGCAAAGGGGAACACCCGATGGATGATCTGCGTTAGCTGAAACAATAGCCCATATGTAACAGAATCCTTGTCCATCTGGATAGGAAGTGCCTGCAACAGAGGTGGCACCGGAGAAGATGCAAATTCCTTTAAAGCTTCGGCATTGGAGGCACCAACCATAAGAGGGGCCAACAGCAAAGCAAAAGCAGCTAATGTGATGAGGGCTATGCTCACAAGGCGGGGAATATTAATTCGAGGGAATGTGCAGACACCGAGAAGATAGGCGAACATGACTGGTGCATAGTATAGCGCCATCTGTTTGAATCCCAGCGCACCAACGAAGAAAATGCAAGCCCAGAGCATGCGCCCCGCCAAGATAGCGTCCAAACTCGCAACCACCAATCCCAGCATAAATGTGTTATATTGGAAATGGCCATGGTCAATGAGGATGTTCGCTGGCTGAAGGAGGATTGCCACGAGAGCGATCGAGGCGGACCATGCATGAACATCCTGCATCCGAGTGTAGCGGCGGAGGAAATTAACCACGGCCGGGATGAACACAAAGTATTCTGATACAACGACGGTGGCGCGCATATATACCTTCAAACGGGGGTCCTCAAAACCTCGGGAGGCAGTCAGGGCAAACCAGGTTGGATCAAAGGCGGAGCCACTAGACAGGTCAGCAGGAGGCCATAGAAATTCCACAATCAATGATAGGTAGGCATATATACATTTTCCCGAGTAACCAGCTGTGATATGCGGTCAATGGTGGATAATCGAGACCCCAGTATTGCAGATCGTATGTGTACCACTTTGCCAAAGGCAGATGTGTGGTAATTTCCATCCAATGCCGCTGCGCCTCAAAATCACCGTGCATCGGGGGAACCTGGAAGCCTAGAATGTGTCAGTTCTTGTATCCACCTCCAAAGAGAGACAATGTCGCATACCAGAGTAACCCCATAAGCTCACAGCCCATCGGAACAGGCCAACGGCCATGAGGACAAGTGGTAGAATCAGCCATTGAGACACGCCGGCCCGAGCAGCCCACAAAAACGAGACCAGTGGAAATGCTGGAGATTGCTTTCCCTCACCTAGATCCAAGATCAGGTTGTTGTTGGAGCCGGGGGAGATCGCAACTTTTCTCTTCTTGCGAGGGCGGTGCGAGGAGGGTGTTGGAGGGGCCATCACGATATAGGCCAAATTGGAACTTATTGTTCCATTGACCGAGCCAAAGAAAACGTCGAGCAGTGTCTGTACTCGTAGAAGTGATAGAAGAATTGACGTTATGTATTACAACGTAGACAAAAGCGGAAGACACCGCCAATTGACACGCGATTGTGAGTCGTCAACAGCCACAGGACAGGTACCCACATAGTCGCTAGGCTAAGTGCCTGTTCTAACCTTTATAAGCAGGCGGAGTGGTTCTGCCAGCCTCCGATTTTTTTTTTCAGAAATTTTTCCTTATCAGAGCTGATGGTCCCCCAGCTCTTCACTTTTTTTTCTCTTCTTCTTCCCATCCTCTCTACTTCCTTTTCTCATTCCCCTTCCAAAAAGCAGTCTGTCTCAGGTTGCTTTACTTATATCATCTCTTGTATAAACCAAGAGATCTCTCTACACACTAACTAACGCAGTCGCGTGGGTTTTATCTCGTAAGTTCGTTCGGATACTCTGTGGGCTTCTTATCACTCTGAGGGCTGTGGGCTTGAAATACATCTATTCTGTGGGCTCTGTGGGACATCTTCCTCGTGGGTTACATATTCTAGACAGTATTGGCTGTCGGTTGCTTGTGGGCTTGAAAACTTGTCCGTCCGTGGGTAGTGGGTTAACGTCCAGCTGTGATTTAGTTCACTTCTGGCAGTTCTTCTGAGGGCTGTTGTTCCATTTTACACATCCATAACACGGGTGCTTTGAGGGATCGTGGGCTTTGCCGCACATACTACAAGAATTTCACTTGTTACTACAGTATGTGCCACCCTACCCAAGCTACAAGCCTGCCTCCAAGCCCTCTTCCCATGAGTCCCCGCAATTTTATCAAAGAGCAAAGGCTAACATTACCTCTCGCCTCCAGTTCAAAATGTCCAAGACATCTACCAAGACTGCCGATAAGGCCGGCAAGGCCAGCAAGGCCCTGAACAAGGTCAAGGATGCCGGTGTCACCAAGGCTTCCCAGTCCCCCGCCGCCAAGAGCAAGGCCGTTGCCAGCAAGGTCGCCTCCAAGGAGAAGGCCTCCAAGAAGAACAAGAAGAAGGAGCCTACTCCCAGCTCCTCCGAGTCCGAGTCTGAGTCCGATGAGGATATGAAGGATGCTTCCTCCAGCTCCGAGTCCGAGTCTGAGTCTGAGGAGGAGAAGCCCGCTCCTAAGAAGACCGAGAAGAAGGTCGCTGCCAAGGCTGAGTCTTCTGACTCTTCCGACTCTGACTCCGACTCTTCCGAGTCCGAGGAGGAGAAGCCCGCCCCCAAGAAGGCCGAGAAGAAGGTCGCTGCCAAGGCTGAGTCTTCTGACTCTTCCGACTCTGACTCCGACTCTTCCGAGTCCGAGGATGAGAAGCCCGCTCCCAAGAAGGCCGAGAAGAAGGCTGAGTCTTCCGACTCTTCCGACTCTGAGTCCTCTGAGTCCGAGTCCGAGGCCAAGAAGGCCTCTTCCGACTCTGAGTCTGGTTCCGACTCTGACAGCTCTGACTCTGACTCCGAGGAGACCCCTGTCTCCAAGAAGCGCAAGGCTGATGAGGAGCCTGCTGCCACTGCCAAGAAGTCCAAGACCGAGGAGGTTCCCGAGGGTGCTGTCGCCAACCTCTTCATTGGTAACCTGTCCTGGAACGTCGATGAGGAGTGGCTCCAGCGTGAGTTCTCCGAGTTCGGTGAGCTCTCCGGTGTCCGCATTGTCACCGACCGTGAGACCGGTCGCTCCCGTGGATTCGGCTACGTTGAGTACAACAACGCTGCCGATGCCGCCAAGGCCATGGAGGCCAAGAAGGGTACCGATCTTGATGGTCGCACCATCAACCTCGACTACGCCGCTCCCCGTCAGGCCAACCCCCCTGCCGACCGCTCCCAGGATCGTGCTCGCTCTTACGGCGACCAGACCAGCCCCGAGAGCGACACTCTCTTCGTTGGCAACCTTCCCTTCAGCGCCACTGAGGATGCTCTCCACGAGGTCTTCGGCGCTCAGGGCTCCGTTCTCGGAATCCGTCTCCCCACTGAGCAGGAGACCGGCCGCCCCAAGGGCTTCGGTTACGTTCAGTTCGCTTCCATCGATGAGGCCAAGGCTGCTCACGCTGCTCTCAACGGCCACGAGCTCGAGGGCCGTGCTATCCGTCTTGACTTCTCTACTCCCCGCCCTGCCGGTGGTGACCGTGGTGGCTTCGGCGGCCGTGGTGGTGGTCGCGGTGGTGGTCGTGGTGGCTTCGGCGGTCGCGGCGGCGGCGGTGGCTTCGGTGGCCGTGGTGGTGGTGGTCGCGGCGGTGGCCGTGGTGGCTTTGGCGACCGTGGCGGCCGTGGTGGTGCCCTCAACAAGGGCAAGGGCAGCATCCCTGAGTACAAGGGTACCAAGGTTACCTTCTAAACTTGAGGTTCTTTCTTGCATTTGATTTCCGCAACATATTGGTGTCCATGGGTCTCAGGTTTTCTTTGAGAGAAAAAAAGTTCGTGTTTAATTATGTGTAATATGATCTTAGCTAGCTCAGGTATCTTTCATTTGATACGCCATTTCAATTTTTCATTTTGATCAACTTCACGTGCCTTATTCAATCTTGTCGTGCGTAACCATCGGTGAGTACGGAGTATATTGCCACCAGAAGCCGCCTTCCCCGCAATATTCTTTGTTTTGCCTACCAAGTTCATTGATTCATTGATCGATGCTTGTTTGATCGAACTATTGATGAAAGAAGGCCTCTTTCCAAGCCTGTTGAATCTCAAAATTCTACATGAAGAACCGCAATATTTGCCATTTGACACTGACAACCCCTCGCATCGTCTTTTGCTCTCTGCCTCGTCACGGGCTGCAAATCACCTGTCCGGTCTGCTGATCACCTCATCATTTCGATTCTTTCTACCTGGAGGATCTCTTCATCTTTCTTTTGTCACTCTTCGTTTCTGTCCCGCGATCTTAATCTAACCAGTTGAATTTCTTTTAACTCCTTCTAACTCCTGTTTATTGTGAGCAAAAAGGAGTATAAACCTCCTTGGGCATCAGTGATCGTCGACTCCACATTTGATAAGATAATCTTCCCCCACCCACGTTGACCGCTCTATTGTACTCCAGAGTGGCCTGATCCCCTCTCTTCTATATTTCTATTCGCATACCCCTTCTCCTCATATTCTTGCAACTTTCTAGCTATGCAACCAAATCACTGCGACCTGCTGGGTCAGGTGCGTGAGCCTAGAGCCGCAAGTCGGATGACGCGCGATGGCCATCAGCCGCTTCGAGATAACGGTCAGCCTCAGCAATCCGGTGCGGCGCCCATGAGATCAGAGGGTATGTAGTCCTTTTTATAATCCGACTGGTACCTCCCTTGCCAGTGAACTTTCAATACGCATACAAAATCGCTTTCATATCTCCATAATGTACTCACTACGATACTACATAGATTCCTGGATCGACGTGTCCTCGCAACCGTCCTCTTCCTCCTTTTCCTCTGCTGCCACGAATGAAGATATAATCACCACCGGCTTACAGATCGAGCGTGGGGAAGCGGGCGCATATCAGCGCCGCAATAGACGACGCCGTCTACAACATCTTGCTAATATCACTACAGCCCAGGTGGACTATTCATCGCGGGATGCTAGCCAAGCCAGTAGCAGTCAAGAGGAATACGAGGAGAGCGAGAGCGAGTCTGATCGCGTCCTTAGTAGCTCAAATGAGGATATAATCCGCCCAACGTTGCCGGCTGCATTATCTGCGCGCTCTGCACCCCTATCATCGAGTTCAGACGCTGCATCCAGCGACGATGAAGATGATACTTCTACTGCCCTAGGAATGGGAATCAGCCCATCACCTTTTGTACCTCAACCAAACATATTCACACACCCACCAGCCACGTCAGAACCTGGATGGCCTGCACGGCGTTCTCAACCAAGTGTCCCGTCTACCTCTACTCACCGCGCAGCGTCACGAAGAGAATCCTACCCTAGCCCACGATCATCACGGAGGACCCAGTATCAACACAGCCCTTACAATATGATCTCACCTTCCCACCATGCCGACCACGATGCCGCCCTTCGTGCCAGCCTATCAACACTTCTTTCATGTGCAGCTGCCGCCAGAGGCCTCCCAAAGAATGATAATCGACCATCACCTACCCCAGCTCCCCCCTCAGGAGGCGGACAACCCGCTTCGTTCCGACTAGTAGGTGCATCAGTTGCCATGGGGGATGAGGGCAGCGATGAAGAGACCTCATCCTCGCCGCAGTATCCAGAATCAAGTCCGTCTATAGGAGCACCACAGAGGCACCTCAGAGCACCAACGCTCTCATCTGACCCAACTGCCGCCAAAGCAAAGCGCCGTTCAAGTTCTCCTAAAGACCGCGGTGTTGCCTCGAAGAAGAGTCGTCGCGTGAGCATGACAGATTCAACAATGACTGTCAGCCCCACGATCATGACATGGGTCATCAGCGCCGGCGTTGTCGTTCTTTTCTCCGCAATCAGCTTTTCCGCGGGGTATATGATTGGTCGTGAGGTTGGGCGAGCTGAGGTTGGAATGATGGGAGATGGTGTTCCTGGCCCTCGCCCCTCAGCAGCGTGTGGTCAGGAAGCGGTCCGCGGCGGACTCCGAAAACTGCGTTGGGGTTCTGCGGCTGCAGGATCTGCTAGTCTTGCATCAATGTAATGTCCCATGATGAATGGCGAAGATGATGTCAACGAATTATGATGTCAATGTATGAGGATGTGCCGCTCTGCGTCCATGTTCTTTTCTGAATGTGGACCCGGGACATCCTAATGGGTTTTTGTTTTTGTTTGATTGATATTCTACTCTCATCTCATTGGCTGGTTGTCATTGAGATTCGGTTGTTATATGCCAGGAGGTCTCACGACCTGCTGACAATCAAAAATCGGCGCATCTTCATGTTTTACGCAGGTGACTTTTGTTTTGGAGCGATGGAGTCTTGGTTCTAGTCCCCCTTGGGGCATTTATGATGGGTTCTTTATGATTTCTTGCGACGTTCAATCTATACCCTCCTTTTGACATCCTATCTTATATATCGAATGAATGAATCTCTTACACAATTGGGCTCAGTTGGTACCCACATCTGCTGGTAGTATCTCAAGCGGTAGATTAAGTAGTGTCTCAAACGCTATCACAAGCGTTTGTCAGTATATGGAGCTCTAAATTATTCTCCCTGCACTCTCGTATTTCATTACTGCATCCTCCCAAGTCAGTGGTAACCCCCTCAGCAGTGCTATCTGCCTAGATCTGGACCTTGCTTCCCCGCTATGAGTTGCTTCAGTCGACAAGCTCTCAAACAAAGTCTGGTTGGCCCCTAGAAAAATAACCTGATAAGGCACGACTGGCCCAAGTTAGTCTTGACATTAGGGTGTACAGCTAGCTTGAGTTTTCTTCCAAGGTTAGCTCTACCTGGGTACCCAATTTTGTCCCCAGAGGACCATGGCGCGTATAGAATTGACTTTACACCATACAGACTTCCGCAGTACCCACAACACTAGTGAGCCTAAAATCGACGATCTTGGAGCATTTTGGAAAGGAAATATCTCTTTTGGACTTCTTGTTTACGGACAATTTGAGCTGTTAGTTCCACAAGTCTCGAAAAGGGAGTATGGTTAGGTCAAGCTTAGGCATGGAAATTGCTCAGATAAATCAAATTCGGTAAGGTGGTTTAGATTTCATTGACAGAAAGCCTCTCTACGTGACTGAATAAAGTAGATTAGAGTGTGGATTTGTGTTCTACATGGATAGAGTAAGGTGGGTCGTCAACTGAGATAGCCAATAGCAGCCAGTTATCTTCTGCAATAGATTGCGCTATACCTAATTTGGATGTGAACTTTACTGGCCCAAACGGGTTAGATTGCTCCTCATTTTTCTAGGACAACGCTGCTTTTTTTTTGGAGCACAATCATGAATCTTAGTCTTTCGCTGTCAATGATGGATGTAGTCAGAATTTCACTTGCATTCTCATCCTAGATCTTTTCTCGGGCATTTGATAATCCGGTGGGGAAATGTCAAAAGTTCTTGCGCCTTCCCGCCCCGCTGTCTGCAGATGCCGGTTGTACATGCCTTTAGTGGACGAATCCTTGGCCACTGATAACAAATCAGCGATACGATAATGTGAGATTATGGGGCTTGATTTGGGTCATAATTTGTTCTTACACAATTGGCTTCGCAACTCTTTGTCTTTCACCTCCATCCTCCTCTGACACCTACCTTTCAGTCGCTATTCAAAATGTTCTTCCAAAGCGCTCATGAGGAGAAAGACAAAGATGTCTTGCTTCATTTCATCCGGCAAAACCCACTCGGGGTTCTGATAACCGGCATGAACTCCTCCCAGCAAGACTTCCTACAGTGCACCCATGCCCCATTTGTGGTGGATTTCCCAGAGGAAACAGGCAAGACGGATCCCTATCTCCGCGCCCACATCGCCAAGCAGAACCCACAAGTCAAGACAATGATGGAAGCTGTCAATGAAAAGCCACCGAATGTTCTCGAACTCGACGACGACGTCCTAGTGCTCTTCAATGGCAAGCACGACCATTACGTGACTCCGAAATACTACGTTGAAACAAAACCAGGTACAGGAAAGGTCGTACCCACATGGAATTACTCCGCCGTTCAAGCGTATGGCAAGATGTCGTTATACTATGATTCCAAAACACCCGAGACCGGCGACTTCCTCGCTAAACAACTGCATGATCTTTCGCAGCATACCGAGAAGTCGATTATGGGGTACACTGGTGGCGAGAAACCGGAGCCGTGGACGGTGTCCGATGCGCCTACGTCGTACACTGATCTCCTGAAGAAGAACATTGTTGGCATTGAGATTCGAATCACTAAGCTTCAGGGGAAGTTTAAGATGAGCCAGGAAATGAAGCCCGGGGATCGTGAGGGCGTGATCCAGGGATTCGCGAAGTTAGGAGGGGATACCGGCATTGCCATTTCGAATTTAGTGAAAGAGCGAGGTGAATTGCGTGATGCAAAGAAACGAGACTCTTGATGCTGGAATGAAGATTCAGCATGACATTATTTAGAGTTATCTCCATATTAGCAATTTTACAATGATCTGTTCACATAAAGGTCGCAGCAGAAAATGTGACTGTACATCAATTCAAGTTCTCAATTTCCGTCCAATTTTTTGTCCTGTACCAGACCTTCTTTTTCAGTTAAAATTGCTCATTCTTTAGCTCCTTTCAATTGTTCCAACCCATGAACCCTCTGGTCCACAAGTGCATTCACTTGCCAGCGATCTTGTGTTCCCTTTCTCTTTTGGCAACATCTCGGCACTGCCAGGACCTTCTTCTCAATAAAGTTAGTCGGATCTATTGCAAATGACAGCCATGTATTTGCATAAATACCATTATCATCCTCAATCTCGATAATGTTGATCTGTAAGACCTCAGGATTGATATCATGAGTTGGGACAAGATGGTCAAATGTTACACCATAATAGCCAATCAACCTAGCAAGATTACAAGGAGAGTAATACCAGAGCTAGTTTCTTTTTCCACCAGGAGATTAGTATAGACTCACTCATCCGGACGCTTCTCTGGCATCCAACCCAAGTACTCGTCCTGCACCACTAGATCACCCGGAACTTCAGAGCGAAGATTCCGTCCGTATATGGTTAGATACGTTAGCCGTGCTAACTCCGGGCCTGCTAGCTGTGGGAGTGTTCGCCCTGGTAAATCTAGACGCCACGGGATATCTGGCAGGAGCCTTTGTATGGCGATCAGGGGGCCTTCAATTTGGATTCTGAGGGGTTGATCAGATCGTGGAAGGTGATACCGGCCGGCGGGAGTGTGAATACAGAGCGGAATGTAAAGCGGGAGCGCCATAGATGAAGCCACTTGATTACCTCTGTTGGAGTTGATTGAGCAGCTGCCGCGACTAAACCCAGTAGTGTGTATATAAAGAGAGGATACTAGATCATGTTTGAAGAGCCTTTTTATATGGCTAGGAAAGAGAACTGCAAGTTGCAAGACTTATGAGATATCTCTTCCAAGTTGTCACTTATTGATCGATTTGTCCAGCTCCCTCCCTTGTCAAGTTCCTCGACTTCATACTAACATTCGGCTAGAGCTATCATGATAAGGCGAGATGGGTCCTTGCTCAGATAAACTCGCCTGATTTTACAAATGAGCAGATCCAAATAATTGAGCATTTACCAGTCAATCCATGAGTGAAATATCTGTGCAAATGAAGAAAGTAGAATGCAGACAGTCTGGCTTCGAACTTGCTACGATGAAGACCTAAGCGAAAAACACGAAGAAATGAAGACGGAGGCCGAGATCGAGGCCGAGATCGGTCCTAATCGGTACCTCGACGATCGCAACCGCTACACCTTTGATGACGGAATGCCAGGCCATTGGCGAAAAGTTCTCGTCCGAGTGCCTTGCATCACAGACTTCATGGGCATCGATGACGATAGAGGTGTTCTTAAATACCGGTCGTGTCTGAATGACGATGAGACCCGAGCCCAATATGAGGAGCTAGATGATGAGGAAGAAAGGAATTTAGCCCTTAAAGAGCTGGAGTTCCAGGTTGTGGTATACTTACTGGACCGCGAGGCTATTGAGACGGGTTTGATCAAAATGCTTTGGTTGGATGAGCATGGAAATACTGCATGGGAGAATCGAGTAGAGCCATATACAGTGGAACGGCTTGCCGTAGCTTTTCTTAGCACCACTCAGCTGCGTGAAATATCCAGTGGAACCTCTGGTCAAGACTCCTTGATTAGACGATAGTCTATGGAAGGCCCATGGATGCGAGGAGTTTCAATGCAGTGTTGCAGTAATTCAGTGAAAGGTCCTATGGATAGTCTTGGTAGGGGTTCCAATCAGGTTCTATGCAAAAGAATCGAAACTCATGTGGAATACTTCAACACTGTTGGCAGACCCACTGAAGAGAAGCCCAGTCGGTGGTGGTGGAACCAATATTCATCGTGGGGATAAAAGACCGGTCCGAGAAAACAACAACTCCTCGTGCTGTGCCCCGATCCCCAACACAAGTCAGAGACCGCTGTAGGCTGAGCACTCAAACGGAAAGGGAAAGGCAAGAAATGTCAGAGTATACACATATTGTAACGTGAGGGACAACAACCTTCGTTGTGTTTGTTTTCGGCTTGGTATATGTTCAGTCTTAAGCTTATCCCGTTTACAATAACAATAATCAAATAGTCGCCAGAGTACCTGTACGTGATACAAATCCGTGGGGTGTCTTTTCAGTCACATTGTCTATAAATTCGAAGTCTCATGTATCGCCTCCTCGATTTTCTACAGCTACCTACTTATTCTGAAACAATTCGTTCTGACTCCAATCCTAACTAAGATTGAGTATTCTCATCTTTTGTTTTGTCAAAGTAATAGACATGATAAGGGGGCTAGGACTATGCGCAGCACTGCACGTTAGTCAAAAGTATTGAGTTTCTGATTGTAGTGGGATTCCCTCATCTCCACAATTTGAGGAACCCGAGTCCTCGTGATTCCATCAGTAGTATATATCGAGATTTAGGGCTTATGCAGCTTATTTATACGAGCTTTTATTCGCCACATGGTCCGATCGGTGTTTGAAGCATGCCAGCCCAGCGCCGAAGGAAGCCGCCATAGCGTGGACGACTGAGTGTCTGCCCAAGTATAGGTCGTGTTTGATACCATTTGGCCCAATGATAGATCATGGCGTTGAATCCCCCGCCTGGTAGTACATATTGTAGTACGGATTGTAGAGCTATGGTGGCGGGTTAGCGGGTTCGATATCTGTTTTCGGAAGATTAACCCGCTTCACGATGGGTTACCCTACCAAACAAGAACCAGTCCGTTCATATGATCGGGGTATAGACATGACTACTAGTCCAATATTAGATCGTCTCAGGGCATATAAAGGGGCCCTTCTGATGACCAGTAAAGCAACAAACACTTGAAGATAACTTCCATTGTACCTTCTTCTTACTTCCTCATGACTTCAATGTTCAACTACTTTGGCTTCAATGCCCCTGCCTCCAAGAAAGATACCAAACCTTCCCCCGTTCGTGCCTTGCCTGCATCATGGTACACTTCACCAGAGATGTATGAACTGGAGCGCCGAGCCATCTTTTCAAAGAGATGGCTCTTCATCACCCACAGCATGCGGTTGAAGGAAACCGGCGACTGGCTTCGTTACGAGCTTGCAGGTTTTGATTTTATCATCACTCGCAATCGACAGGGCAATATCAACGCATTCCACAACGTGTGTAGACACCGTGCGTACCCAGTAGTTGAGAAAGAGGGTTCCGGGAATTCCAAAATTCTCGCTTGTCGATACCACGGGTGGTCCTACGGACTAAACGGCAAACTGGCCAAAGCTCCGCAATACCAAGAGCTGAGCAGTTTTGACAAGGAGCAGAACGGTCTTCTCAAAATTCACCTCAAGGTTGACGTTAATGGTTTCATCTGGGTCAACATGGATGCGAATGAAGTCCCGGAAGTGTCATGGGATGAACATTTCCGCGATGTCGATAAGCAGGAGCGCTACAAAGCCTACAATTTCGACGACTACGACCTTGACCACTCTTATGCGCTCGAGGGTGACTATAACTGGAAGATTCTGGCGGATAATTTCAACGAATGTTACCACTGCCCTACAACACACGCCGATATTCCTGAATTCCTCAACCTTGAGTCTTTCGACAGTGATCTGAAAGATGGACATATTCAACACCACTGCGAGTCTACACCGGAGCAAATCGAGAAGGGTCTTTACACTGCTAGCACGTACTACTTCCCTATGTCTGCCATGGTTGTCTCGTAAGTGTTCCCAGTCTTTGCTTCCTAAAATATATCATCCCCTAACATATACAGGCCACACTTTATCATGATCCAGAAATTCCTCCCCTCAAGTGCGAAGAAATCCCAGATGGCTTACGAAGTCTACCGAAACCGAAACTCCTCCGATACCGATTTCAAGCTTATCAGTGAGATGTACGCGCGTGTCATGGGAGAAGACAAAGTCCTCTGCAACAACGCACAAAAGAACCTCGACCGAAATGTCTTTACGAGTGGTGAGCTTCACCCCAAGTGGGAGAAGGCGCCGTTGTTCTTCCAGAGCACTGTCCGCGATGTCATCACGGAACACTTTGAGCGCGAGAAATCCGAGGGACGGGAGATCTGGCCGGCGAAGCCGAAGGTATCATGCAATACAGATGTCAGTGAGAAGGATGAGCAGATTTGTGCGGCCTTGGCTTGTGGAGCTCAGAAAGAGGTTTTGGCTTGGTGATTGCTTTGAGAAGCTTTTTTTCTATTACGTTAGTTTCTTTGTGAATAGCGTATGATATCTGGACTTTTTGGATTGAATTTAGCCTTGTTATTTACCAAATCTATGGCTGCGATGGGATCTTGATCAAAAAGACGACTGTAATGATTCTTCAAATCCATATCAACATTCGCTGTGATCATATATATCATGCCAATTTTAATCTTTCTTCAATGCTATTTCTTACTGCCTCCTCACGCCCTAAAATCCCATCTAACCGACTATAATACAAGTACTTTGTGGCTTTTCTCGGCTGAGAATAAATTGCCTTCTCCACTACCTCACGTTGTTGAGGACTAGGGTGCAGCCGTAGTAAAACATATCCATCCGGTCAATCTCCAGGTGCAGGGGATGCTTGTATGATTGTTAAACTACTCGGCATGCTGTATGATGAGGGCTACTCTTTTGGAGAGAGGAATTCATGTGTGACACTTACAGAAACCTACAGCAAAACCAGAACACACATCATATGGCCCATGTGATGTGTAGTCACCAGCAAAACAAATGGAGGCCGTTGATGCCGGAGAAACTAGGTATGCATAGCTTACAGGAGAATTGGCAAACCTTCGCGCGAGAAATCAAAACAAAAGCGAAAGCATTGTTAATACGTGGATGCTGACTTGAGCCCATTAAAGAAGACCAAAGAAGAAAAAGGGGCCGGAAATTGAGCTCTGAAATTCCGAGACATGGGATTTTCCATCACAAGCTAATCCCCCTTCTGCCCAAGGATGTCTAAGGATGCCTAGAAAATCGCGCTAAGAAAATCATTTTGGGCCTAGTATGTCGGAATTGAAGTTTTATAAGAAGGTCCGATACGCTCTTTTCGGATAAGTAGTTTTATCCTCTACTGCAACCAAAAACATGGCCTCATTCAATCTTCCCCCAGAGCTACTCGCGATCATCACATCTCTATCAAACACAGAAACCCTCAAGGCGCTGAGGCTAACAAACCACATGCTATGCGCCTTTGCAACCAAGAATTTATTCTCCACGGTCTCACTGTACACCGAGGATCAAAGCTGTGAGGGGTTCGAGTCTGTCATAACACATCCACAGTTGAATGAACATGTGCACAAGGTTCGCCTTAATACTGTCAAGGTCGACTATGTAGGTGGTAGATATATTAAACTGAGTGGAGCAAAACGAACTACCGTAAATTTGATAGTTGGCTAATATGTGGCGCACTAGTCCTCCGACGAAGAGCACGAAGAACTTGAGGTACCTTTCAAATGGAAGGAGCTCCTACCTATGCTTCCTAAAATTCCTAACCTTGAAAGCGTCGTTCTGCGCTTCGACAAAACTATCACATTCGACGACGATTACCAGCACCCACCCCAGTCAGTTGATTACCGAGAAAGCCTCATACGATGGCTGGGTGCAGGGCTGGTTTCTCTAAAGCAACCATTGAAAGAACTGGGGATTCAGAACCACCAGAATATGACGCCATTGAACCCAGATTTACAGCAAGTATTGTGCACGCTGAGTTCATTGAGACTGAATGTTGTGCATGAAACCGAACCTTCATGTATTCAAAACGAAATCGAGGTTTGTACTTACCCAAGCCTGTCCACAGGTGCAATATATGCCTAGGAATGATTCCTTATCCTAATTTGGCGAACCATCTGGCAGAAGGAGGCATTCCAAGATTTCTACGGACGTATACTGCCGTCAATCTGGCTGAAACCCATGATGGGATCACTCCGGAAGCTCTCTCTATACTCGAACTTTCCCTGGGGCTTTTATCCCAAATTCAGCCTCGAAGGGATTCATTGCCCAAATTTGCAGTCGCTCACTTTGGGAAACTTCTGTTTTTTCGAAGACCAGCAGGTCGATTGGATTCTGTCGCACTCGTCAACACTTGAACAACTTTACCTTGACGATTGTCTGATTTTTTTCCGAGCGAGAATACTGGACAATGAAGGCCAGCTTGCCATGTGTCCGATACCGAAATCCAGAATGGAATTCCAACCTGGCTACAGCTGGTGGGATTTCTGGCACTACGATTATCCAAGCCGGTGGAGTGACCTTTTTGCCTCATTCAAGACAGGCCTTCCACACCTCCGTCGGTTTGCCATCGGTCACAATAGAGCATGGGATGCAGATCCAGAATATGAGATCCCTTTTGAGAAAGAACTGGACCTTGTGCCGGCACTGATGCATGATCGGTACATGGCGTTTGAAGGCGGTCTGGTTGAAGGCCATCTGGGACCCTCTCAGTTTATTTCACCAGGGTGGAACGAGGCGGGGGATTGGCCACAATGTGATGACGAAGACCGCGAGGCTTTGAAGACATTATATGGGAAGATCAAGCAGCAGGTAGATTGTGGAGAGTTTACTGTAGGAGATCGCAAGGTGGTGGATTTGGTAGAAACTCGTCCTTGGTAATACATCAGAATGAATGAGTTGAACAGAAACGAAACAAGTAAGGGTTCTGCATTTCTTTCATGAATGAGCTATCAGCTCTTGCAGCTTTCTTTCCATTTCTAGAATGATTTCTCTTGATGAAAGCCGTCTCCCTTTTTTGAATTTCTACGTATCCTGGCGACTCGAGTCTATTTAGTCCACAGTGAATGTGAGAGATCTATATTTATAAATGCTGCTGTTTCATTAGCCTCTCACTGCAGAGATATGATGACACGTGACCCGGAAGTTCTGCAAAAGTAAAAGCCGAACCAATCACAAGGCGAAGAAAGCGGGTATGCGAAAGGGGGCTCACATCCCGGGGCTTACCCGCGGATAAGTGCTACCCCGGCCTCCCCGCGCTGATATAATAGCGGACCAGTCGCCCCTCGGCTGTTGAGGGCTGACCGATGCCAGAATGGAACCATCTTGGATTCACGCGATCGCAACATTCGGCAGTGGCAACGGGATTTTTGGGGGTTTGGCACCATCGCGGTTTCCCCACATCCATGACCAGCCGAACGATATGCCGTCGCCTACCGTGTATATAGACCCTTAAAGGTCGCGCTCAGCTTCTTAGCTTCTTCCTTTTACAATTATCTTCAATCATACACAATTACAAAATGCCTTCCACTCGCCAGTTTGACCCCAACTTCACCCCCTCTGTCATCAATGGCATGGGCCCCAACACTCCCGAGCGCGCTCGCGTGGTCTTGGGTTCCCTTATCAAGCACATCCACGACTTCGCTCGTGAGGTTGAACTGACCTCCGCCGAGTGGATGCTCGGCGTTGAGTTCATCAACTCTATCGGCCAAATCAGCACTCCCATCCGCAATGAAGGCCACCGCATCTGTGACGTTATCGGCCTCGAGTCGTAAGTTTCACATCTGACTCTATTTTTATTTTATTTTTTATTTCAAAAATAAAAATGAAGAACAGCGAGACAAAGAAGAGTGAAAACTAACTGATTTCATTAGTCTCGTCGATGAGATCGCCAACAAGATCATCACCGAGGACGGTATCTCCCCCACTTCCAACGTCATTCTCGGCCCCTTCTGGTCCCCCAACGCCCCCTTCCGCGCTCTCGGCGACAGCATTATCCAAGATCCCAAGCCCAATGGCCGTGTCACTTTCATGCACGGTGCGATCAAGGACATGGAGAGCGGAAAGCCCATCGTCGGTGCGGTCCTCGACATCTGGCAAGCATCGGCCAACGGCCAATACGATTTCCAGGACCCCACCCAGACCGATAACAACCTCCGCGGCAAGTTCCGATCGAACGAGAAGGGAGAATTCAACTGGTACTGCTACCACCCCACTCCCTACTCCCTGCCTACCGACGGCCCCGCTGGTGTCCTGCTCAACATCATGGATCGCTCGCCCATGCGTCCCGCCCACATCCACCTTATGATCACTCACCCCGAATACGCGACCGTCATCAACCAGATCTATCCCAGCGATGACCCTCACCTCGCTATTGACTCCGTCTTCGCTGTCAAGGATGATCTCGTTGTAGACTTCAAGCCCAAGACCAACGACCCCAAGGCCACCCTCGACTTGGAGTACAACGTTAAGATGGCGCTCAAGAAGCACCACCCCAACCCCAACTCCGCTCCCCCCGTGTCCTCCTTCGAGCGTCACGCTAAGGCGGCCAAGGAGGCCCAGGCCCAGGGAAAGCTTTGAGCTGTGGAAAATGATTGCACAAATTAGGAAGGCGTTCAACTTGACTCCTGTACATATTAGCATTTACTTGAATTTTCACGAAACAACCTCACGTTTATACGATTTATTTGTCCCTTCCCCAGGATTACCCCAGATTGATGTCGCGTGAACGCCCGTACTACCAGGTTAAGCTTTCAAGGTTCGCACCGTGGCTAGGCCTGGGTAACGTTCTAGATCGCGTAGATCTCCCGCCATGCAGGCCATATCTTAATCTGCATGTACCCACCTGCATGATGACCCTGGCCTCGGAATCTGGGGTCAGCACATCTTGACCAGTAGGATTTAACTTTGACTTGGCCGTTAAACATTCTTCCGCCACTCACGATATGGAGACTGTGTGCTACATCCTTCTTACTAGGATCGGGTCTTATATAACTAGTACAGTCTCCAATCTTACAATAGTCTAGGCTTATGGATACTCCCGAATATTCACTCGTCTATGTTCTACATGATGATACTAGTAGGTATGAGCCTAATGGAAATATGCCGTTCATTCTCTAGTAGCAACCGTGAAGAAACAAACTATACTCCTGTACAACCACCTAGAGAGTCCTCCGCGGATGTCCCGATGGATCAGGCCGCCAGGAAATATCAATTTCCTCCTCACTTGGTTCGCGGTAGGCCGTGGTGGACTGGGGTACTACGTGGCGAAGGCGCTCTTCGTTGATGATGTTGGTTTTATCAATGGCCTCCTTGTAGTCTCGGGCTGGGGTTGTTGTTAGCAGGCCTGAAAACAAAAATCAAGTATGTAGATAATGGCTCAAGGAAAGCACGTACTCATTCTTTCGTCGATGTCGGAGGAACCAGGCTGAACGGGATCTTTCATCTCTGGGGCGTCGATCTGCTCCGGCTCGTGTTCGAGATTGAGGTTTTGAGATTGGGGGCGGTTGACCATTTTGACAGCTTGAATCATCGAACGTCAGATATAGAATATGAGTTCAGCAATGTACAATGATGGAGGTGTTTGGAGATGTGGCTATAGTTATATGCTTGGACGGTTCTACGTCGTCATCATGACTATTCATGACATTTTGTAGGTCGCCCGCATGAAACTCGCCTCTCGTTAGGGAGGTTTGCCTGACTATAAATTAGTTCACCAGGTAAAATTGAGGTTATAAAATGGCTGTGACATTAAGCCCAAAGATAAATTCAGACAGACTGTCCGTAATTTATGGTTGAAACCTTGCAACAAAGGCTAATACTGTCAAGGTCGCCAAAGCAAAATTCCACTTGCCCCAAATGTCATTTGATTAGAATTTGGCCACCTGACGGCGGAATCCCATGTCCTTTACCTGTGATATTTTATGAAGCCTGAGGCATACTGCGAAATTTCAGCTCCTTTCGTCCAACTCGAACGAGATCGGCATTCAAAAGAGTTTCCTTCTCAAACCCATGCATGACTTGGTTTAGTACTGCCGCTGCAAGCTCACTCCGTTGTATATTCGGAATTGGCCGTCCAAAACGACTCACGATACGGAAGAGGTTGGCCACCAGCGCTCTTGACCAAGTCGTGGAATTAGCAATTAAGCTGGGCCGAGCGATGCAAACCTCGACTCCCTCTTTCTCGGTGGGAAATTTGAGGACCATGAGCTCTGTGTTGCGCCAATTTACCGAAAGACACATTAGCATAAATCCAGAACATATCGTGGGGTTTGAATTCATTACTCGCATATTATGGTAGTCCGCCATTACCACTGGCCTCTTTGTTGGGTCTCGAGGGATACCTTCCGCACTCAGGTACATGAAGCGAAAGGGACGCGCTGGTCCAGCTTCGTACATGGCCTCAAATCCGAGCTTGGTGCAGTCCTGGCACACACGCTTGACCTCAGCAAAGTCAAAGCCACCGGCGTGGAGGGGCGTGGCGGCAACGGTCCTAGAGGTACCACAAAGTGTTATCGTGACCCTTTAGAAGATAATGAGGGTATTACTTGGAACATACCAAATACAAGCATCGGCCCCGGCAAACTCGGCCTTCACGTAGTCAGGGTATTCACCATAGTCGCGAATGACAACGCTTCTCACCTTTGATGAGTTGACACTGTCGTCGAGCTGTACGGGCTGGCGAGCTAAAGCTACGACCTGAGTGATCTCGCGAATTTGTAAGCTTTGTCTCACGATCTCGGTGCCCAAGAGACTAGTCGCGCCAGCTAGGATGAGCTTCATTCTTGCCCGGAAGTCTGGTGTTAGTGTAGAAAGGATCTCTGTGTGCGGGGCAGAGAAGAAGTATGGTAGTTTCTTGGAAGGTTGGGAGGTTGGGTAAGTGTCAGAATTTGGGGACTGCAAAGGTTTGAAACCGATAGCGCCTTCCCTAAAGTATCACTTAGCTCCTTCCCTACATAAATTTACTTGTCTTTGTCAGAATAAGCATTAGCCTCCACGCTGTTGTACCTACCTAACTCTTCACAAGTCTTTGACTACATGCAGATCCACCTGCAGACCATCGGCCCATAGGAACCCGAACGCCTATTTGCCGGCCCCACTTGCCGATGTCGGCATGTTGTTAGATTTTCGGGTAATATAAGAAACGTAATGGAGGCTAGAAGTGCTATTTCTTGATGTGTTTACCAGATAGAAACTACGTAGAAAGAAGGAAGTGATAGAGCAACATTGGAAAATAAAAGCAAATATATGTCTGCAAATTCCCTTTTGACACACCGGGGGTTTCAAATGGAATGATTTCGAACAACTTGGTGAAATAAATATACTCTATCGGGAAGCCTGAGTGACACCGACACATTGTTGTAGATTCCGAAAAAGTCGGATTGTCAGAAGCAATCTTCATCTTAATGCAGACCATGCTATGTGTGTTCAAATACTAAGCGATCAGAACATACCTTCAATCGAACACAACAACCTGTCTCCCGGACCATGTATTTCGCAAAATTTGCTCCCATGGTCGCATCTTGGCTGGCCATAGATTGGTGAGATTATAAAGAGGCACAGCTGGAGGATAAGGTTTGTTGAGAATCACATATTTCCACTTGATTGCTCGGCTTCTACATCCGGACTTTGTCTCGCACATTGAAGAGAAGGCGCAGAAATGTGTGGGCTTTTAATATCAATAGGAGGTGAGAGGGTCAGTGGTATATGATCAGACATATGCCACACCTTGGCTGCCACTGTCTCCTGTTTGACTTGGCGCATGAATCGTTTTGACCTCCTGGGCGAACTCGGACTTAACCAATAAGTCGGTTTCGAAGCTCTTCACCGAAATCTTTTTCAAGCTATTACGCTTCGATTGTTCCGTTTGCTCCACTTTAAAAACATTGCCACAACCATCTTCCTCTTCAGATTTTTTGGGAGGCTTGGCTCTAGGAAGGGGCCTGTTGATTTCCTTGCCAGTCTTCGGTACCCGTAATTGGCCAACACTTTTCTCAGTGGAGATTGTTTTGTTCATCACAATCTTCCTCAAAAGACTCAATAGCCTTTGAGCAGTGACTTCCTTCGTTTCCCGATATATTCCCTTTATCAGTTCTTTCCACTGGTCCTTCAAGTGGCCTTGAACATCATAAGGCTTGGCTGATTGTACAAATTCAGCCCAGTCCCTTACAGTCCGCTCAGCAAGTTCTTTGCTAGCCTCAAACCACTCTTTATGGCTCTTCCCACACCACGGGGCTTTGCACCTCCGCTCTCGACGCCATTCCTTGATTAGTTCATAATGTACAAGGGTCTCAACACGTTGAGCGTGGGGAATATGATTCATGCTGAATAATAAGTTTGGCTCGTAACCGCATTTTGACCAGTTTGCCAATCGATCCGAAACGTTCTTTGCTGTCCAGCCAATCTTCACATGGCCAGGAGAGGATTCGCGATCAAAAATATACAGTGATCCTGTCTCAAAATCTCGCTTTCTGAGACGAGTGAGTATCCTTTGATAAACTGAATCGCCGGGAGAAGGCTCTACAATGTGACAACGAAACTCGGATAAAGCAGGCTGAGTGGCTGCGAGGGGATGAAGGTGGGCGAGATTTGGAGAGCTGTTTGCACGGCAGGTCTGAAGTTCGTGACCTATTCGGTGTTCAAGTTTGTTAAATATGAGACTAGAAGTGCTTGGGGAGGTCGGTAGATGACTGGTGTATGTATTTGAGGCCTTGCACATGGACGGTTTCCCAGTATCATCGGAAACAACTGGCGCGGCGGTTCGATCGCGAATGAGCCTATGGTAAATGTTAATAATGGGCTCCAAGAACCGATAATTGGTGCTTGTCACCCACATCACAGATTTTGCTTTATCCCAGGACTCGACTGCTTGTGCTCGAATTTCGTTAAGCCATCTCTGAGCCAGCGGTGTCAAAAGTTGTAAATCTTCTATGTTGTCCCGATGCTGAGCACGTCCCCATAAACAGCAATTGCATTGGGCGTACTCGCTTAGCATTTTAATATTGATGTCTTCGACTTGCGTCGCCTTGAGTAAATGCTGAAGTTCGACCGCACGTTGATTGTCTTTGTCGCGGCAATCGCTTCTGCACCTTGCGCCTTTCTGAGTGAAGAAAATGCATCTCCTTTGAGTCGATGGGTTCAGATCATTGAATGATATAAAAAAGAAATATCTGGATGGAAAACCATGGTGAGGTATTTGAAAGAAGAATGACTGATCAGTCTTCAGTCAGCTTCAAATGTTATTGTTGTTTCACTGAGCCTTATAACGGTACAGCGCACCTGAACGTGAATGAGGGGTAGCTTACATGGGTGTACCCTGTAAGTTACAATACCATGAGTAATGGAATGTTCTGGTGATATTTTGAATTCTTCCTACGCAATTTTGCATGGCTTTGATGCAGCAGAATCTTTCACAATGGATAGTAACCATCATCGTCCTTTATTCGGGATATACGAAGACGCGGTATTGTAAGATGAGTATAGATAGTGAAGCAGGCATGAGAATGTAAATTCAGTTCGTTCACTATGGAAAAATAACCAGAGAGATTCATTCACAGACTTGGAGTAGTCATTCATTGCATGGAGAATGTACTGTAAGCCGTCTAGCGAAAGGCCCCAAATTTCAGGACGGGGGAGGAGTTGACGAGGCTCCAAGTGGGAGGCCAATGGTACAGCGTAGCGGTACTTGATTCGGAGATATCAAACTCCTTCAACCTACAGTTATCGGCCGCTTGGTGGTACCGCTCTACCTTAACGCGCAGTGCGACAAAATATTGCCTAGAGGCTTGCTGACCTCCATGAACTATCGCAAGAACTAACGTCAGACTTGCTTCTATCCTAGCCCCGGCCAGATAGGTCATTCGTACATGGTTTGTAGGCTGCGCTCCCTAGCTTATATCTGCGGAATCTCCGCGAATAGAGTAGTTGCTCATCCAGTTGTTGTTTACATAGCAATGCCTTGTTTTTATTCTTATACCAGCTATGTGTTGAGCGTCATGTTATAACACATGAAACATATCTACCAATCAACTCGTGCTGTGGCAGCGATGCGTTGTCCTTGGGAGGCAGACCTGCTGTTTTGAAGCGGGGTAGCCTTTCTCCCAGGAAAGTGTTCATAAGCCCATCCAAGGCGATATTTTGATCATATTTTGAGTTCTCAGCGCAACCTTTTGAAATAATCAACATTCTATAATCCCACAACCGGCACCCAGTTTCAAAATGCCACGTAAGGGAGGCAAAGCTGCGAAATTGTGGTCGCTCCACCCAAAGCTTCATGACGATGTAGCACGGTTATTAGATGAGGAAGGGCTTCAAATAGATTTCTTTGACGCCGACGATGAGAGAAATAACATTGAGGAATGGGACACAAACGTTATGGGTCGATTTATATGCGAGAACAGCGGATGTTACTCCAGCGGTTGGTCGAGCAAAAAGATCGCGATTACAATTCGCATGTACCCCCAACAGCGATACAATGCACGAGTGTATCACCAGCGATGCAGAAATTGCAGAGCAGTTGGTCGGCTAATTCTGGATACCGGGTGCTATGCGGAAAGAGTGACATACTGGCTCAAAAAATGGAATGGAATTGAGGTGCAGCGGCCCAATTCTTCTGGCCAGAGCAGAGGACCGCACAATAGTGAACTTTGTGAAGGGTGTAAAGTTGGTCATTGTCCCAACTCGAATGATAATGACGATTTAGCATTGGTGCTGGCGAGGTGAGTTTGGTACCAAGCGTTCTTATACAGTGACTAATTTTTCTAGATTGTCTATATGAGCGCTGTGCTACAAGGCATCCCACCCATTCTTGGTATGTCGGTTATCCCCGATCTGAAAATACTTTGGCCAACTATCCAGTCCGAGTGGGCACAGCTTTGAAATGGAAAGACCAGGGTCGAAACTGCAACAAAATTGATCAGAAATCTGGTGGTACTCCTTGATCCCTGGTCTTGTGGTATATGACGCTCAGCAAGAAATTGGGCTAACATGTTTGAGAAATTATTTTCTTCTTCCCTGTTCTCTTTTATCTTTTCTCTTTCCTTTCCAGTTATCTTCTGATCATGTACGGACTAGTAAGATGCGGCGAGTGCTTTTATTGTCTTTTTCACCGATATTTTAAATTGACGCTTGACCCTTTGACTTGGTTTTTGTCCACAAGTCAAGTCCTGATAACCTCATAAAGGTAAAGGAAATTTTGAGAAATATCCTCATTATCAAAAGAAGTATATCTAGTTTAGTTTTAATTACTTCTTAAAATACTTTAATCTATATAGAAAAGTAGTATATATATTAGTTACTAGCTTTTTAAGGATGAGAGTATATCCTATTAAAAATATAAAAGTATACTTATTTTATTAATATATATATTTATACATAGAGTAAAATAAAATAAAGATATTGTTGTGTGGCATACTTTTGGTTCGACGCATAATCCCAGGAGTGAAGATTGGCCTGTGATGCCGTCGGAGAAAATGGTTGTTGGGCTTAAGCCTGCTAATTTCTTTGCGGGGAATCCTGGTCTGGATGTTGCTGTATCAACTCAGGAGCGGAATCGGAGCGTTTTGGTGGATGGGGATGATGATTCTAACTAAAGGTGAGACTGTAGGTGGTTCCCCGTTCCCCCACTGCACTAGCTAAAGAACAGTGAATAATTGACGAGAGAAAGAAGGAGAGGAGCAAGCAAGTCACGCAGTGTATTTGCTATCTGGTGTGCTTGAGGGAAAAGAAAGAAGAGAGAGAAGCAAAGAAGCAGGGTCTATGCGGTCACCTGATGAACCAACCAGTTTCATCCGAGTAAGGCGTATACCTTCTAGCATAAAGTTTGAAATCACAATCGACGCCTTTCATGAAAAAAAAGTGCATATACATCGCTTTCCCTCTCCAGATAACCACATGCGCGAGGAAGTCTGGGAATTCTGTGTGTTCCATAAAGTTTCGTTCTGACTCCATTCGTAAAGCCTTCTTTCGCATCAAATTTCCTGTCATCATTTGCATCTTTTCTAGGCTCATTGCATCCTGTGGCTTACTCCGCCTCGGTGACAGCGACTCGATGGTTGGAAAGTGTACGAAAAAGCTCTTGTCGCTGGAGCTAACTCCCTTGGTGACTGTATCTTTCAACTCTTGGGGGAGGAAACAGGATCGTGGTACATTAAATTTAGCCTTGAAGTGTGTCGATTGAACAGGGATGATCTCCTCGAGGTCATCAACAGTCCCGGGCAATGCGAAGGAACCGTAATAACCAAAGGCCCCTAGCAAGAAATCCAGAGCTTCCCAGTCCGATGGAAACTTGAATCCCTTTTGCTGCTGAAGAATGTTTCGGATGTTTTCGTTTGTCCACCAAACGTTCGTCAGTTGAGACCACGCACTGTCATGACTGGCAATCAGAGCCCGCAAAGCGGTCATATCTGGCTCGTCAGGTGGAATCATTGCACAGGCATAAACAGACCATGCGAGCTCAACATCCAACTCTTCGTTGAGATCGTGCTAACACCACGTATGTACAACTGAATGCATGGTATATCGCATAGGCTCATCCTGAGTTAAGTCCACAGCTCTGCGGACAAGCTCGACAAGGCCGTAGTTAACAAGATGACGCATTGTCTCGCCGAAGTCGAGCTCGTCTTGAACGATCCGTTGAACTGCTTTTGGCATAGCACCCGACCCTGCTTTCAGCCATTTATAGGACATGATCCCATCTGTTGTGTAACCGAGAATCTTTAGCATTTTGATAGAGCTGGGGTGGTCCTTTTTGAGCTGATCAACTGTGATGTGCCATGTGGTAAGGAGAGTATGGTTGTAAGAATCCGATTTTGGACTCTTCGTCTGCAACCTTTTCCACTCGCTTTCATAAAAGGCAAGATAATTTTCGAATGACATATGCGAGGTATGGAGATATGAGCCAGCAATAGCCAGGGCTAGTGGATGACCACCTAGTTTGGTCGCGAGCTTGTATGTATTTTTGTCTATTCGCACAGTTAGATTTGGATCTCAATGAGGAATTCAAAATAAGCAACTTACTTTTGAGAACTCCCTGACGCCCTGATGTCTTTGCCAAGATTTCCTGCCCATGTAAATCGCTCACTTTCTCGATTTTCATCGAGCTTTGAGAGTCCAATTTGACATTTTCTACCCTGGTCGTGACGATGACCGACCCATGATTGCACGCTGGGAGATAATTTTGAATGTCGACCCTTTCTGGGTGAGTATTGGTGGGAACAGCTGGATTATCATAGTTGTCGAACACCATCAACCAACTGGTATTCTTCGGTAACTCCAGCCATTTCTTGACGGCCGACACGACGGCATTAGAATTTTGTTCATTCTTTTCCGGGGTCACTTCCAGACGGTTTGTCGTTGGGTGGTCTGCCGTGATTCGTGCTGCTATCACATCATAGCTCTTTCGCATGGATTTGTCGCTCGTAATGTCCAGGAAAAACACGGCAGAGTATTCATCTTGATGCAACTGTGCATATTTGATCGCCAGTTGAGTTTTACCCATCCCACCTAGGCCCGAAACAACCACAGAGCGGCGACCATTCTGTTTTTGCAGTAGCCCTTCCATCTTTTCCAAGTCACTCTCACGAGCAACAAAGTGCGCCGTCTTGGTTAAGTGGTATAGGCTCCAATTCACCGCGAACCCGAGGTCTGTACCTTCGATGTCAGAAAAATAGCAATCAACTCGTGATGGGATATCCTCACCTTGGTCCCGGCGGCTCAGGAATTCACTAGCATATCCAGCCCGTTGTTGAATTTCTGGAACAACCATTTTCCAAACTGGATCCTCGGGACCCTCAAACCTATTGAGGTTGTAGTGATTCCGATCAAGGGGAACCTGGCTTACGTCCTTCGAGCGTTGAAGACAGGCCGACGTCTTAGATACAACGATGAAGTTTGACTGAATCCCACTCAGCAAAAGGAGATAAACATGGGAAGATGCTGAAAAATGATTGACATACCTTTTCTGGATCTTCCTCACCCCAGAATTTTCCCACCCGACTTGCAAATCGGTCCCAGAAACAAGTGATAGGAATAGGATGGTCACAAACCCGCGTTTCGAGATACTGGCCAACTAGGCCTTGAAGAAATTGACTTTTGGGTACGGAAGCAGTCATTGTCTGATTCCAGACCTGGAAATCCGGATCATTCTTGTGGTGTTCTTTGATCTTCTTAATCCATTCCTCGGTCGACGGGCCACCTCTTCCTTGAAATGGAACGCCAAAAAACAACAGTCCAGCGGTAAACTGAAATGCGCTGCTAACAGGATTGGGTGACTTGCCCCCAGAATTGTGTTTCAGGATAGAATCACGAAGAGCGTCTATAACAGGCAAGCCTCCATAGCTGTGGGCAATGAAGATCAATGGTCGGGTAGAGCCCTATTAATTATTCTCTTTAGAATCGTGTAATAGTGTAATGAGAAAAATGGACCAATGCTTACATTTCGAACCTGGTTTAGACGCCTGGATAATTGTTCGCTCACATCGCTTACGAACGTTTCGGTATGTTGTTCATCGCGGCTACCAAACCAGCTGGAAGGGTACCCAAATCGCATGATACGGGCGTTAGGAACAATGGATGGGAGCATACTCTGGTCTTGTAGCCAGTCAACCCTATTGACCTCAACCTTATTGCCATGAGCGTCAGTCTTGAAATTCTTATGAACCCAGGTGTCTGCTGGATCAGCCCCAATGCCGTGAACGGCAACTATACTGAAAAAAACCAATTCCGGCGTTAGCTCCAGCTAAGGATAGCACAGCTGATGACATACTCGATGATATTTTCTTTGCTTGTAGGCTCGACAAGAACCTTCAGATCCCAGTTCTTGTTGTTTGGTATGTCTTTATTCATGGCGCGGACATCGGTTCTCTCTTTATCGACTCTTTTCTCGCTTGTGCCTGGAGTATTGTCGCTCGGCCGTGTAGCTGGTGCACCGGGGACAGAGCTCTGCTGCGCCGTGCTATTTTTTCCTGCGATCATGCCATTGCTGGGCGGCTTTTCTCGCTCGGGATCCTTCGATTTGCGGGATATGATTTTTCGCAATAGACCCATGGAGCCTATCACTGTGCGATGGATGGTGCTTTAAGCAATCAATGAGATGTATATTCAACGACAAACTTCAATGGAGACAGTCTTTGGCATTTGATTGAAGGAATGATTAAGAAGATGGTTTGTATTTATGCCCCAATCCTTCACTTGCGATCTAAGCCCTTAGGGCGAAAGCGGCGCAAGTGGGCCTCGTTTATGTACAAATCCCCGCCTGTATGCCTTTAGTGGGTAAGGGACGCTGAACCCGGGTGAAGAGTGAGGCGAATAGTCGAGGGGCCGTGACGATCAAATACTTGTCACTCCCTTCCCCTCACGCTAACGTATGCACTGCGCCCACGACTGATACAAGCCACGGAATTAACTACGCCAGCAAGCAGCGCAAGTCAGCCTAGTTTACGACTTTCTGTCTGTTTTTTTTTTTAAAAAAAAATGGTGAGGGACATCAACCTGTTCAAGAGTGAAGCGAATACATACATAGTCGAGGGGCCGCGACAACCGACCACTTGTCACTCATGCCTTTCCCCTCACGCTAGTGTATGCACTACGCCCGCAATCAATACGAACCTTCAGATGAACTATGTAACTAGGGAATATAAATCTCAGTAGGCAACCGACCCACTTTCTCCTGATGGAGGAACGCCTCGGATGGATCTCGTGAGCCGCACGATGCGGCGGTCGAGCCCGTGTCACTACCAGGAATTTCTTTCTGTATATTTACTCCGTGCACTTTTCGAAGATTTCTAAATCTATTGCTACAGTCTGATTTCTATCTCTTCTCTATCAACTTCTGTTTTTATCATGACTACTCCTAATGGTGCACGAGAGTGGCTGTCATCGTCCCTACGAGGAAACCCTAACTCGCTTGGTGCACTATCTGAATGTCACACCTTTTGCGCCCAATTACCAGTGAGTTGAGGAACCGCAAGAGACCAATACAGTCCTGGAGCTTCTAATTTCTCATAAAATTTTCAATCATAAAGACTCAAGTCCAAGATGGATTGCAGCCTGATTCCCGGTCTCCTGTTCACCGGTCCCTCCGAAATATACAACGGCGTCAGATGTCATCTGAGCCCGAAGTGCATTCCTACCTCGATGAGTGTTTTCTGGTAAATTTGCAAATCCTGTCGTTACTATACATCTGTTCTAACAATTCTATAGGATGAATTTGATATCATTGTGGTGTAAGAATTCTATGGCACACAACACCTTGCTTGGTATTAAGAATTTAAAGGGCGTTCGCGAAACCCACAGCAACAAATCACGACCAATTACAATTACCCATCTCCCTTGAGCTCTTTGAAAGAGTGTCTCAAGCGCTGGAAATTTCTCCAGCGCTCTTAGGTGTGGTTCACACGGGACTTGCTTCCTTCATTGCCTCACCGAGGGCAAAGAGCGGAGCATCCGTCCAAGAAAACGAGCGTAATATGCCCTTTCCATTGAAAACTGAACCTAACATCAGCGGCTAAACTGTATACTAGAGCTTCTTATTCAACAAACTCGATCGCTTTCCTCTTTTTCCATGGGTGTAACAAAAACCAAGACAGGTCAAACACGAATCTTGATCTTTGGAGCTCAGGCATGGTCATTATCGGAGCTGTTTGATTATTTAGAGTCAGCCGATGCCTCTCTTGCAGCCAACATGTCAATCTCCATTCCGGCGTCAGCGCTTGAGCTCCAAGCCTGGTGGTTTACGGGGACGATGAACAGTCTTAAGAGCCGCATCCGTACAATCGAGAACACAACCGGGATGAGGAAACCAATTAATCACGAAGATTTACAACAGTCTTCTCCACATTGGCAGGACCTCGATATGGTACCCCTCCTTGGCGAGCTTAGTAGTTTGCTAAGCAGGCTTTCTTTCCTAAAAATGCAAGCTGAGACGGCGTTATACCTCATCCAGCGAATGCAACAGTATACAGAAGGACAACAATATTCAGAAGCAGTGGCTGACAAGACTGTGGAAGTACACCAATTCCCGAGCCATGAGGACCAAAAAGAGCTGCTTGTTAAGTTAGAGAACGCTCGAGGCTGGTATTTGGGGCTTGTCACTCAGGGTGAATACTTGATGCGGCGAACATCTGCCCAGACCGACACGGTATGCTTCTCCAAGTCATGTTTCAAGCGCGTACCACTCACAGGTCAACAAAAGCCCATCCATAGAGATGCTTGGAGTATATCGCTAATGAAAACTAGATACATTCTCTCCTAGCATCTCAGAACAGCATCGTCAATATCGACATTGCTCGCGCATCGAATGCTATGGCTGAGTTGAGTCGGAGTGACAATCAAGCAATGCTTAACCTGAGTGAACTGAGCCGCCGCGACGCCAAGCTTATGATTGAAATCGCCCGAGATTCACGTTCTGTTGCACTTTCTACTGCCCGGGACAGTGCGTCCATGAAAGTACTCGCTGTTGTTACAGTTCTTTTCCTGCCAGCCACATTCACTGCTGTAAGTAACTCGAGAAAAATCCATACCCATGTCATTTCCTTACGCGCTCGCAGACTTTCTTCTCTATGACCTTCTTTAGCTTTCTTGGGCAAGGAGGCCCAGAAGTTTCACCGTGGATCTGGATTTACGTGGCGGCAACCGGTCTCTTAACTGCCATTATTCAAGTAATCTGGGCGATTATGTCGCGTCGAAGCCAGGCCAGTCTACTGTCTGAGTCTGATGGAAAGGTGGAGGGGTTACAGACTCCGCCCTAGAAGTCCGAGCGAAAGTAGGTCTTATGCACCTTAGCTAACCCAATGAAGCAAGCTTGATCGGTCATCAAGATCGAATCCAGAATCTTTGGACAAAACATTGCCAAATAACCAAGCCTCGCTTCACAAAAGAATGGAAACATCTCCGCCAAGCCGGTTGAAAGCTCAAAGCCAACTCGGGACCCAGCAAGCCTCTACGAACCAACGCTTCACAGGTCTTTCTCTCCTTTCCAGAATCAATCAAAATATCCTTTGTCTCCAAGGCCATATCTTTTGTTTTGCGCTTACAGTCGTAAGCAAGTAAAGCCATTGTAGGATAGACATTATGCCAACAAGCAGAGATAAGCTCATCCAAGACTTCACTGCGACTCAATTCTGGAAACTCCATATTTCCGAATCGACGATCCCATTCACAAGCACTAAGTTCGACGTCATCATATGGTTCATGTCCATATAACATGAAGTATAGAAGAGTGCCGACGGCAAACTGTTCAGTTCTGGCAGAACAAAGACCGTAGGTTCCCTGTAATGGACCGGCAAGTATTGGAATGGCCCGTGGAGCTAAGACACCTTCGAGAAATTATCCGACGGTAGTGGCACGGCCAAAGTCGGTCAGCTTCAAGTTGAGATTCTCGTCCAAGAGACAATTGCTTGCGTGTAGGTCATTGTGACAAAAGCCCAATTTCTCCACGTATTCAAGCGCAGAGGTAAGTTGTTGTATCCAGCGAGCGACGAGAGCGGGATCCTCGTATTCCTTGACTCTGATGAGACACCCTTGGATGCCATTTCGTGATTTCTCTCGCTCTTGGCGTTCGAATAAACGAGGTGCGATTGCCTTGTTTGTGCAGTATGATAAAAAGAGATGGTCTGGGAGTATGAGAAAACATTCAATAATATTCTGACATCGATCTTGACGTTCATTCACTTTTTTGAAATAATGATTTAATAGTTTCTCTTAATCTACTTAGTATATGTAACTTAAAGGGGTAGGAGGATAAAATATTTTAGGAAGGCTTGTGCATTTACAAGAGGATTCTCTCTATAGAGCGTAGATTCTTGCTAGCAGTACAGTACAAGCAAGAAATTTATGATAGCCAATGAATATATTTTGTAAGAGAAAATCCATCTCATAGTTCTGGATTGATTCAATACATCCATTACATATAGTCTTCCGCATAACCCATTTTGGGTCGAAGGTCTTGACCCAGAACCCAACCCAGACCCAGTTGAGGCCCAGTTAGACCCAGTTTCTATATAAAAGGGGATATTGGCAGTCATAAACCAGCTAAATCAGCAGAATTACATACATAATTAACGTGTTTACTTAGTTTGTAACCCGATTTGGGGCCCCAGACCCAGTACTGGGTCGTGCGGAAGACTGATTACATACATGTTTAGAAGATCATTAAACAAGATAGGCATTTAATTATTTGATGGAACTTCTTATTAACTATGGCCAGTCAGTCAATTAAATGTGCAATATACCCGAGACACCCTAGTTACATAGTATAGTGTCTTATCATATCAGATAAAAGGTACCGGCAACGATAGCTATGGTGGTGATGCACGTAAGGGATCGGGCGCATGAACGCTCTTCATAGGTAAATCTGCACCCCTATATAGGTATCGGAAATGTACCTAAGTAGTCGGCTATTCACCCTTTCGGATATCTACAAGACCCCGCGGTAGTGAATCGCAATAATATCACAATATGCACGGGCCACATTTACGTATCCTCGATCCTGGACTCTGAATCTGAACTCGCAACACTATATACTCATTAGCTCTACAGAAGATTCAAATCGGTAGGATGAGACATTTATTCGGAGAAGTGTAATCAAATCATTCTAAAATGATCATAGATACGCCTAGATAGGTTATCTTACCTATCTCGGGAAAAGGAATAGCTCTTTCGAGTAAAGGTTTATTTGATGGAACGGGCTTTTTAGGTTTGGATACCACCCCGCATTTGATATAGAATCAATCTCAATAGATAATGTCTAGTAACTATAAGTAATAAGTTCTACCGTGAGCCCTAGTAACCCCACCAAGGATTTTATTTTGCGAAGTATTGGAATTTACACGTTATTGCTCCAATGCTCAAATCGCTGCTCCTATCGACTTGCCTCTCATTGGCCTTGCAATGTAGTGCAATAGCACCAGCTGCAACAGACTTGTCTTATGTCGTTCCGCCTCCTGCGGCTGATGGGGGAAAGACATGGAAGGCGGCCCATTCGCGTGCACAAGGGCTGGTTGCTCAGATGACATTGCAAGAAAAGGTCAATCTTGTAACTGGCCAAGAAGGTCCCTGTGCAGGTCAGACAGGCAATGTCACACGGCTTGGAATTCCACAGATGTGTTACCAGGATGGTCCTGCAGGACCTCGACCTGGAAACATACAATTTCCTTCCGGAGTGACTACAGCTGCTACCTGGGATGTAGAGTTGATTTATGCGCGTTCCTTGGCGATGGGCAAAGAATTTTATGACCTGGGAATCCATGTGGCCATGGGTATTATTACTGGTGAGTGCAGCATCCACCCCCCACCCCCTCCTCATTGGTTGTAATGCCAGTCGCTAATTCTACAAGGTGGACCGCTTGGCCGTTCCCCGAGAGGAGGTCGGAACTGGGAAGGATGGTAAGTCACTCTTGCTCGTGAGATCTTCTTAAGCTGATAGTTTGTGATAGGTATGCAGACCCGTATGCCACCGGAATCGCATCGTGGCATGGGGTCAGGGGCCTGCGAGACTCGGGTGTTCAGGCACTGGCAAAACACTTCATTGGATACGAGCAGGAGACTTACAGGTATTCTTCTTAGCATTCACCTGTTTGAAATCTGCGGCACTAATACCACCAAGGAACCCATTCAATTTTACAGAACCGTATAGCATCTACAATGCATCTGAGCAGGTCCCTATCTCCAGCAACATCGACGATAAGACAACCCACGAAATATACCTCTGGTCATTTGCTGAGGCTGTTCGTGCTGGCATAACACATATCATGTGCGGGTACAATTCTGTGAACGGCACTCATTCGTGTGCCAATTCCGAGTCCAACAACAAGATGTTGAAGTCGGAATTGAATTTCCAGGGAGCTCTTGTCAGTGATTGGGGAGGTGAGTGAACCTGGTACCCAGAGAAATAGAAACATACTTACTCGATTAAGCCACTTGGGGAACCCAAGCGTTTGTTGAAGGCGGACTCGACGCAAATTTGCCAGGCTTAGGCTTTGGTAAAATTCTAGGGCCATTTTACGACACGGAGCTCTACAGCATGGTCCAGAATGGAACAATCAAAGAAGCTCGTTTAGACGACATGGTTACCAGAATGATTGTTCCACTTATCGTGACGGGCCAGATCGACAAACCTCTTCCATCCACTGTGACCACAATTCCAGGGATGATAAACCGACCAGTTACTTCGTCTGCCGAGGTTGATGGCAAAAAGTTATCCGCCGTTGAAATAGCGCGAAAAATCTCTGCCGATGGAACCGTCATGCTGAAAAATACTGGCGCATTGCCTCTCCGCAATCCTCGAATCATCGCAGTCATTGGCCAAGATGCGGGCCCGAATCCTCTTGGTATTCAGGGTTGTGGTGCATTATACCGTAACTGTGGAATTCTGCAGAATAACGGAACACTCAGTCTTGGTGGTGGATCCGGATACACCTGGGCAAACAACCTGGTTACACCCCTGGACGCAATCCAAGCCAAAGCACGCGAAACCAATGCTTTCCTTCAATATGTGATTGATAATACTGCTGAGGAGCTAGTTTACGATACTCTGACAGGTAGTGGACTTGCAGTATCTGCTCCAGATGTTTGCCTTGTCTTCGCAGACAGATATCAACGGGAAAACATGGACCGCAACGATCTTGGCCTGAATATCGGAAACTGGACACGCTCGGAAGACATTATTATGGAAACTGCCGCCAATTGCAATAACACGATCGTGGTGCTTCACGTTGGTGGGCCAGTGATCATGGAAGGCTGGATCGAGAACCCCAATGTGACTGCTGTGCTTGCTCCTCTTTATCCTGGCGAGCAAACAGGTCCTGGCTTAGTTGATATTCTGTGGGGCGATGTTTCTCCAAGTGCCAAGTTGCCATTTACTGGTAAGATTCTTATTATATCGCCTCATGTGCGCATTTTGTCTGACCATATCTAGTGGGGCGAAGCGAGTCGGATTATCCTCCACACACCATATCGGATGAGCACAGTATTACACCTCAGGCAGACTTCACTGAAAAGCTGAAGATAGACTATCGGTGGTTCGATACTTACAACATCACGCCTCGCTTTGGTGAGTCAACTTCCTATTATTTATGCGCTGGAATGACATGATCTTTGTACTAACGGTTGTAGAATTCGGGTTTGGTCTATCTTACACTTCATTTGAATACTCCAACATCAAGATCGATTCGAAGGAATCTTCGGATAAACACTCTATCCAGTCAACCAACGAAGAATTCGTCGGCCAGACTGCTGGCCAATCTATTTATGATGTTATCGCTACAGTAACAGCTGACATCACTAATACTGGAAAATATACTGGCTCTGAGGTAGCCCAACTGGTAAGCTTAGAGCTCTTTATAACCAAAGCTAAGATATTGACCACTTTGCAGTACGTGGAGTTCCCTGAAATCGAAGAGGAACCCCCGAAACTCCTTCGAGGCTTTACCAAGATAAAGAATATGGAGCCTGGCCATCGTCAGAAGGCATCATTCCCGTAAGAACAACCCCAGAGATACTTGGTATTGCACTAACTTATATGTTTTAGTATCCGCCGAAAGGATGTCATGATCTGGGACGTTACAGAACAGAAATGGCGATTCCCGATAGGTGAATCTGTGAAGTTTTATGTCGGCGCTTCCTCGCGCAAACTGCCCCTTGTGAGTACATCCCTGTGATTTTAAGGTAACTTTATTGATTTAGTTTAGGAAATTGCACACAGTCTGAAGCTCTGATAGCGACCGATATATAGAAATTCTAGTTTTGTTTCATAGATGCATCTTATTGTGAACACTCGGTGAACGCCATCATCTCAGATTAGGCCCTTTATTGGGTATGAAACTCAGCAATACAGATAGCACCCCTCTGCTCTGCTCAATTTGAAAGGAGAAAATTGACAAGAAAGAACATGTAGAACAGAAAGCCCAGAAATTCGATAGGCTCTGATTTACTTGCCATTTTAAACAAGATAGAGTAGGGCTGAGCATTTAAATACTATCATTGAAGACTTTGAATTGGGATTTGAACACAAGAAAGCTTTGATTTTCAAATTGTAACTGGTACTTAAAAGATATACATAACCCCAAATAGCAATTGAAGCTTAATTCGAGATTATTGCGGTCCCTGGATCTCGCGAACAGCAAATTTGAACATTTCATTTGACGGGACGCTGCTTTCGTCAACCATTTTCTCTGCCGTCTCGATTCCGGCACCTGGAACCCGATATTCCAATGTGCATCCCGCCTGCGGTTTAGGACCCCAGGGCAAGGAATCGGGCAGTGGAAGGTACTCTGGCATGAGACCAAGTTGGAATAAAACAGTCAATTGATCCCAAGTAATGTGCTCATGATAAAGGCGATCGCCCCGGATGTTGACCACTGCCATAAACGGGATCAGAAGCTTCTTGCCCGTGGGTGGAATGCCAGGTATGCTATAAATCGCAGATAAAAAACAATATTAGAACAGCAACTTGCATTCATGGATAACAAGAAGAAACTCACAGCCAATCAACCATCTTATCATGTGTAAAATTCATAATAAATTCATCCACCACACGATCAATTCCTACTGTCCGGCTCACAAGCTCCAACACCGTGTCATCTGGATTGTTGAAGACAAAATGATTGGCGTAGAAATGGGAAAGTTTCCCTCGACCAACACCACCCGTCAACGTGGGGATATGATTGACATATGGCTCTTGAACCATGGTGTCCATCGTGTCCGGGACAGAACGAGTCTCAAATTCAAATCTAGTGTGCTCCTCCCAGATTTCTTCAAGATCGAACCAGGGCCCGTTCATCTGCTTTTTAAGGAATTCAAGGCATCGAGTGTGCGCGACCGTCGCCGATGAGGGCGAGAAGTGTTTGTGTGAGGGTATTATGAAGGCAGTTGATTGAACCTCAGGGTACCGATATACAACTTCCCCTTTGGAGGTAGACTTGCCTCCAGACTCTGCTAAATGATACAAGTGTGGCTTTGTAGGTTGCTCTAACAGGGTACCATATGATACGACAGCTTTTATCTCGTCGGTTTCATCGATCAATTTCGCGACACCCGGAACTAAAAGTGGGGAGTATACTACACCAAAAATGTTAATGTACACTCATTTAAGTTCACGACCAAGTGGGCACATGGTACCTATGAGACCATAGCTGGACTTCGTCGTGCATTTTTCATGTTGATTTAATGCATCCAGTGCTTCAATTAAAGTTTCTTTTGCCAAAGGGTGGCCCTCTGATACCTCTATCTCCAATGTGACATAGCCTTCTTCGGCCCATTTTTGGATCGGCTCAGGATCCAATGTTGGGACAGTGTTGACTTCATTGAGATTGACAAGGGACCGGATGATTAGCATACCAGGTCCATGACCTTGCCGGGACAATGGTGCGTGAATGGTCAAGTTGGGAGCTAACTTGACTGGTTGGGCGTTCGGGAGAGGCATGACTCGATAGGCGTAGTGTTCGTCTATCGAAAGTGACTGACAATAATGAAACCATTGAACTGCAATGAGAACGCGACCATTTTAGTTATTTGAATCATACAAAATAGATACAGGAATCCACATAATCACAATGGCATGATAGGTCAATCGCGTTCGGGTGTGTTCTGATAAGCTTCAGGTGCTCGGGCCGGCAGCCGTATGCCGGCTCTTTCCTTATCCGATACATACAAGATACAGAGGATAGAAGATACTTCATGTATTATGTAGTCATAGCTGAAAATGACAAACAACAATATGCTATAGGGATTCATATCATGGAAAATGGCCTCTTGACACATGCGGTCTGAATGGATACAAGCAAATTTCCCGCTTCATTCATGAATATATTCATGAATATTAAGATGACGTTACGAACACGCTCAGAGTACGTACTTAAATATGAAGAACCTCCAATCAAAAGCATGGCAAGAGAGATTATAGTTTTAGGTTTGTACCCGAGAAGGTTGCTAAATCCTTAACTGCAAGTCGTGCATGCCGAAAGTCAGTATCGAACGGCTCAGAAGCAATTGCCGGTTAGGGAGATAATGCGGAGTTGCATAGATGAGCACATTGCCCTTACTTGCTATCTTTTAGGCCTGATAATTCTACAGAATAGTCACTTTGCTTGCAAGGACTGAGGATTCTTTATCGATTAAACTAGTTAAGGGGAAAAGTTTATTATCGTAAATTTTTCAATGAGAATAGCTCTTCACCAAAGAGCGCTTTTTCTTACTAGCGCATCATAAATCACAGGACTGATCGTACATGGGGATATCCAGAAGTTTCAACCTGTAGAAACACAACATTAGATCTCACTTTTCTGTGGTACACTTGATTCCATAGAAATTCATCACTCACATAAGATGGATTTAACTGATCGAGTGATGTCACACCCAACAATGCCATGGTAGTCTCAATCTCATGCTTCAAGATTCGAATAGCTTTGCTTGGTCCAGCCTCCCCAAATACGAGAGAGTATAAGAATGGTCTTCCGATCCCAACGCCCTTCGCGCCAAGTGCAAGAGCTTTGACTATGTCAGAGCCTCGGGTAACGCCGCCATCGACGACAACCTCACATTTGTCAAACACCTCGGGACAATGCTTTCGAATGGACAAGAGAGTATCCACGGCAGATGGTGCTCCGTCCAATTGGCGACCACCGTGATTGGAGAGCCATGGGTGTACTCCATATTCCATGCACAACAGTGCATCCTCCCAACATTGAATACCCTTGACGGCAATAGGGAGACTTGTCATTTTTCGGAGCCATTCAATAGAAGATTTCCAGTCGAAACTCGACCAGACGGGGCTGCAGATATGTTAGTATCACGAAAATTCCACAAATGGGGAGAGGGACACAGAGCACTTACGGTCGCTGGACAGTTGGCTCTTTTGCAAAGTTTTCCTCGCTTTCCAGGTCATCATCGTCATCTTGGTCTGTCTCCAAGGACGCCACCCGTAAATCTCGCTCTCGCTTTCCGGCTCGAATTGCGTCAACGGTCAATGCGAAACCTTTGTATCCCAGCTTGACAGCTTCCTTGATTTGTCTTTCAGTGACTTCCAAGTCAGTCATAGCGTAAATCTGCCAGTATAATGTTTGATCTGGTACACGTGAATCGGCCATATCTTGCTGGGAAATGGCTGAATTGTTACAAACCCAGTGTAGGATTCCATGACGGGCAGCAGCTTTCACTAGACACAAGTCGCCCTTGGTGTTGGCTAGCTTTGCACCTCCTGCTGGGCAAATAAAGAAAGGCGCAGAGAACTTTGTTCCCAGGAGAGTGGATGAAATGTCAACATTCAAAATTGGTCGTAGGACACGGGGCCGGAAACGAATCGCCTTCCAGCTATCGCGATTCCAGTTGCATGCATACTCATCTTCAGCACCGGATTTTAGGACTAGCGTGGCGTGTCAGATATATGATATTTTCATTCATCAAGGGGCAGTACTTACATGCAAATGAACTGGCGGGAAGACTCTTTGAAGCAGCATGTTCGAAGTCAGAAAGACTAATGATAGATGATAGCTTAGGCTTTGGTCGAGATGACTCAATTACTGAGTCGGCCTGTCTGTTGCTAGTGTCATCTTGGGCAACGACACCTAAGTTTTTCCTTGGGGTCTTAATTAGCAGGACTCTTGCTATCTAGTGCGTGACAGGGAATATATGTACTCTGGCCCAAGGTTCTGATCAATTATCTCCGCTTGATGAATGGATTCAAATGCCTTAGTGGCATCACGACCTGCATGTGCAAGAATGATACTCGCTCCTCCAGGGTGTTTCTTGAGAAACTCTGTAACATCATAAACTTTGTCGTTGATGATAACCCAACAATTATTGATGGTGGTATGCTTTGCAACCTCAGATCTGCTCAACATCTGCATCAGAGGAGGCTTATTATTTGAATAAGGCAATGTGACCGATGTTCTTACCTATTCAGCGTCATAATGAAGGAGAGGAGTCGATGAAGAATATCCCTTGGCATGTGAACTTGAAAAGTGTTTACCCCAGGTTCAACCAATAGTAAAAAGTGACATTAAGTAACCTTATAATTCAATAAAGCAAAGGTTTAAAGGTTGCAATGAGTGTACCCGGCTATCAACCGTGAAAGTACTTGCAAGTATTCTTCGGAATTGAACGATCTCGGCTATGGGCAGCTATGAAGGCAGCTTATCCGGCTATGTTCCTGCACTGCCGAACACTAGCACGTAGCGACTGAAGACATTCAATTTCAATTCAACTTGTTTATTCCTCCTTTCAAAATGTTAGAGCATTTCCGATAATATCCGTACTTTTGCATTTTCAATCCCAGCACAATGTCAGCCAATCGCATGGATGCCATCTTTGCTAAGATCGCCGAAGAGACTTCAAAGTTTCAACTCGGCGACGAGGAGGTATGTGAAACTGGCATACTCTCAGTTATTTTTTGTAGTGCTGATACAATGCGATTTTGCTTTTTAATAGATTTGGCGTAAGCTATACGACCCTTTCTATCCCGAGCCACCACAGAATGTAACGGTCATCCGCGATGAGCGATATGGACCTTCGGACAGAAACCTCTTGGATGTATTTGTGCCGCATGGAAATGATTCGAACAGACCAGTCATGATGTATGTTCATGGGGGAGGATTTTTCTCCGGGGATAAATTGTGGACTGAGCAAGTCTATTCTAATATCGGGTGGTTTTTCGCTCAACGGGGTATCATCACTGTTGTGATAAATCATCGTCTTGTGCCCCACGTGGAGTACCCTGGAGGTGCAGATGATATACAATTGGCTCGCCAATGGATCTACAATCATATATCCTCGACTAGGTACGGTCGTGGCTCGGTCGAGAAGGTTGTACTGTTCGGTCACTCATCTGGCGGTGCGCATATCGCGATGAATCTTTATGCGGCTGGTAAGAAATACAACATCTATTTCTATCTCAACTTTTGAAATTGTGCTGAAAATAAAAAGGGGATCCGGAGCGCGCGTCTCAGTCGCCAGTTTTTCCTCCTGTGGCCGGAGTGATGTACCTTAGTGTGCCATTTTGGTATGACCGGACCAAGCCAGTTCGCCAAAAGACCATTCGATCGTATTATGGATCTGATTCTGAAGATGTCTGGGGAGTATGTGAATCCATGTCTTGAATCGCGTGTCCAAACAATTCAAATTGCTGACACGCATTGGCAGCCTAAATCTGCTTTGGGATTATTTCAGAGATTACCTGACAACTCACCACTATTGTAAGTGTTGCGAGCAGCTTTGATATTGTACGCTCAATCAAAATTGACTGTTGTACAGAGACTCTCAGAAGATACCTGTCTACTTGGGATCCGTGGAGTGGGAAGTGTAAGTACAAGGCTATCCTCTCTAACCCATGAACAGAACTCGTTTACTGATGATCACACCAATACTAGACCAGAAACAATCGACGCAACCTTGAAGTTTTTCAATGCATACAGATCACGAAGCCAGCCTTCTGGAACACTACCTGTGTTTCATGTGTTAAAAAGACACAACCATCTAAGGTGAGATTCAATTGCAACTCATCTATCAAAGAAAGTTGCAACATCTAACAATTTACTTTGCTGTAGCAATATCTTGTCAATTGGGACAGAGGACACAGTGCAAGGTGACCATTTGGTAAGCTTTATCCAGTCATGTGTGGGGTTACATGGAGGAAGTAGTAAGTTCTCGGCCGCAAACCCTCCTTTGTAGCCAGATGCACAAATTAAATAAAAGCAGGGCCCAAAGAGCGACTATAGTTGTGCTAGATGGCAGATTATAATAGTATGTAGCCTATCGATCAGATATTTAGATATATCAATGCTCTTCCCTTTCTCTGTCTTCGCTTCACATATCACCAACCCTTTTCCATTGAGTTTACTATCTCACCTCTGGTATAATAATCGAACAGCCTGGTAGCTACTCGCATTAGAGAAGGCTATAGAGGAGAAGGGGTGTTTCGCTTTTCCTTATCCACCGCTTGCCATAAACTCTTCTCTTAAATACAAGGTATCCTTAATTTGTCTCTCAAGGCTAAAAGAATTAACGAACAGACAATCGCCTGATACAGGATCGAGTGAATACACTTTCATTGATATCTAAGGCATGCTAGCCGAATACTACATACATACATGCATAATCACATCTGAACCGACAACTGATTCTATTATCTTCATTCAAAAAAGAACAAAATTGAAAGTACATCTATCTTGGAAACTTCGAGTAGCATATAGCCTTCATTCCTGTGAAGCCTTCGCGTATTACCATAGAGCCTAAATCGGGTATCGGAAAGACTTCATCTGGAAGTCAGTGAAGTCGGCAAATTCTGCGTTCTCTGTAACATCGACCGTGTCTAATAAATAAAGGGACATAAGTTAGCCAGACTGTTATCCCGATTGATGAAAGCTGCATATGGATATTAATTACCTTGTGGTTGAGCGGAAAGCTCCTTCTCTCTCTTTTCGTTCCACGAGTGATGAATCCAGCCGTAAATTGCGATTAAAATCGCAGTGACAATGAAAAATGCAAGCATAGTATATTTCGCCGGCTGGTAGAAAAAGATATTAGCTCAATCCAAGATCAAGATATTTGGTCTTCTCACATAGTAATTTGGTGCATCATGGGCTCTGTAAGTTTGGGGGCCAATGATGTTGCCAATAGCATATCCCAATTGATAAACACAGCCAAAAGCGAACTTTTTTGTCGAGCCAGCCACACCTGCGGTCATGAAGGCGATAATAAAAACAATGCAAATTGGGACTGTCACAGTTAGAATATTTCTGCCGGGTGGAGCTTAGAAGTATGTGAGCACAAACATTGATAAACCAGAACATATCCACCATAGCGAGCGCTATTATTCGAGCTTGGAATCCCAAGCATCATAGCGGAGCCGATACAGGCAAGAAGAAGTGTACATATACCAGCAAAGGTACGATTGGTCCGTTTGGCAAGCAAAAGAGCAAGGAAGGTGCCAGTGACCTGAGCCGCACCGGAGCCCATATTCAAAAGCTGTGTGGTAGGAACATCATAGCCAAATCCATCCACAATGGTCGGGCCTATATCAAGGGTCAGTTCAGTGTAATTGATTGGGGATAACATAAGATGGGTACTGCACATACCGAAGGCAGTCAAGCCACCGTTAGGCATTCCAGTCGCGATCAACATGAAAAATATCAAGTAAAACCGAACGTCGAGGAACGCCTCTCGAAGCTGGGGCCAGCTGAATTTCCAAACCTCGGTACCTGTTTTATTTCCTCGAACACGTTCGAGGGCAATGACTTTTTCTTCTTCGGTCAGCCACTTGGCATCTGTCGGAGACGAAGCAAGGAAAAGGAACAGTAAAACACCCGTCACAAATGTCATCGCTCCATATAAAATGAAGAGACCTTGCCAGCGGAAGTTCTCCGCATGATACATGCACCAGGCAAGGAAGCCACCGAAGATAGCTGCCCATCCGGATGTAGTGTACCACAATGCCACTCGTGTGAGCTGTTCTTCCTTGGTGTAGAATGCACCAGTAATGTAGATAGCTACAGGCACTGTTGAGACTTCAATGGCACCCAGGAAAAATCGCAATGCTGCTAGACTGGCAAAGTCATGGCAGACTGCATGTAACGCAACGATCACTCCCCATATCATACACATAACAGAGAGATATTTAGCCAGAGAGAACCGTTGCATTAGATAAGTTGCCGGGATGTCACCCCCAAGATATCCAAAGCTAGAAAGATATATTTGTCAGTTCACATCTTTTGCGACACCCGATCATTCAATGTTCCCTTACTAAACAAGTGATCCCAGCCAAGAGTACTCCGCAGACGAAAGATTGGTGTCTTGTTTGATACCCATAATCGCAGCGAATGATAGACTGTTTTTGTCCATGAGTTGAAGGCAGTAAATGACGAAGATCATCGGCATAATTCGCATGTCGATCTTCCATCTGACCCGCTTCGCCTCAGCTGAGTTGGGGTCAAACGCAATATGGCTATTTGCAAGCAAATTCAAGGCTTTGTCTCTGCTTGCACTTTCAATGTAATTGCCAGGGAGTTGCTCGCCCGCCCCCTCAAGCTTGGTGTTCTCCATCTAGTATATCACCGTCAGCGACCGCCTCATTTTCTTTATGAGGGATTGGAATGTTGTCCAAATTTTACCTTGAACGATTTCATATCGGAGTCAGTCATGATGCTGTGTCAAACTGAACAGCAGAGCGATGGCTTTACTAATAGGCAATAATTGATTTGACTTCTCGGCCCCGACTGCATTTTTGGGCGTCATGAATGAGAATAAACTCATATCGTGCACTGCCGGGGCTGATAGTATGCGGGGTACATTTCCGAGCAGAAGATAAGCAGATTGAAAAAAGGGGTTGGATTGGACACTAATTCGGTTATTCCACTTTTCTTGTCTAAACTTTGTTTCTGACCCGACAAATCACTTGGTACTATCTTGATATCTCGTAGCTTGTAGGATGAGGGTATTTCCTTTCCATCCGAGTCAGATATTCATCTGTCCTCCTAAAGCGGTACATTTCCGGTAGTAAGCTTTATCCGATAGAATTGATAAACAAGCACTCCATGGCTAGAAAAAGCGTGTGAAAGTTATCACAAGAACCCAAAAAGATCAAAACACCTATTACGATCGAGAATCCAATCAAAGTAAACAGATATGGCTGAAAGATTCGTTCCTGTTATCTCTCTCAAAGGTGAGCCCAGCCGATAGTTGAAGTCGCAATAGGCTACTAATAAGCTTTCAAGATTTCGATGAACGCAAAGAGGAAATTATTTCTCAGCTACTCAATGCAGCTGAGTACGCTGGATTCTTTACCTTGGTAGACCACGGTATCTCAAAGGAGGAGATTGAAGCCCAGTTTGCCATTTCAAAGGCTTTCTTTGACCTCCCTCCCGAGGACAAAGCTAAGACACCTCATGACCCCAAAACTAATAACGGATGGGAGTACAAGGTAGGTGGACATGGCTTACCGAAAGAGTGAATGTCCAATTGACTTTACTATCTAGGCTCAATTGCGCGCCAGTACTGGCACCTACGACCAGAAAGAATCCCTCTGGCTGCAACGGAATTCCGAATGGCCAAGCGATGGGGATGTTCCTAATTTTAGGGACTCCACGACTCAATTTATGAGTAAATGTGCTGGCATCTCGGACCAAGTGTGTATGTTTGCCTTACAACCTGGAAATAAATGAAAGAATTCTACCCCACGTTCTGTGACTAACGTTGATTTAAGTGTCTTGTTTTGCCATCGCCCTCGGATTCGGAGAGAATTATTTTAGGATCGCGAACGATCCCACTCAAGCCGACTGCTTGACGCAGCTCCGCTTGATTCATTATCCCGCATCTGAAAATGCCGTCGGCACCTGGAGAGCGGGAAGCCATACCGATATCGGCTGTCTCACTCTTTTGTTCCAGCGAGACGGAGAGGATGGACTTGAAATTTGCCCAGGCAGAGAAAGTCATTCTAGCTTTGCTAGCGGCGATGTCTTCACGCCCCTTCCTGCCGAGACCGGACCCATTGTTGTCAATATCGGTGATATGCTCAGTACGTATTATATGGAGACAAATTGTTTGTCTTCTCATTGCAAGCTTCAATATCTAACATGCGTGGCTATCTCTAGTGGCTTGGTCGGATGATCGCTTGAAGTCCAACTATCACCGAGTGCGCGCCAAGGACGTTGGGAAGTCACCATCTCGATACTCAATTGCCTATTTCAACCAAGCTAGGCGTGATATTTCACTCCAGGGCCCATTGAAGAAATAGTATGTCATCCCTTCCATTTCCCTTTAAGACTGGTCTTGACTAACTCTCTTTCCAGCCCCCCGATGACCGTGGGTGAGTGGTTTGCGCAGTCTGTGGCTAGAAACTTCAGTCAACAGGCGGCGATAAGTGCCTAGAGATTATATTTGATTCGAACACACGAGAAATGTAGTGTTACTTCAGAAAAAATGCCTATTCTTTTGGTCCTTCTAGTATTATTTTGCAAGTGGGGTTTTTGAAAGCGCATCGTGTATATATTTCTCATATGAGCGACATAATGTGCAAGAAATACACCCAGCTTGAAAAAAAATAAAGAAAGAAAATTATACCAGCGAAAAGATCCCCTCGAAAACGCGATCAGAGATTAAGTTTACTCAAAAATCTCGTATTCCTCCATCTCTGGGCAGGGCTGGGCGGTTTCTTCCGAGCTCCCCGGGGCCTGATAAAGGGCCTAAGATAAGGGGGACGCGGCGTATCAGCTAAGGTTTGATTGCCATCCTCCGCACTTTTGCTGTCAATTTTAATGATTCTGTCTCTGTAACCAATTTTAATCGAGCTTGACTTGCATCATAAAGCACCTACATGAGTCAAATTTCCAATGCCACGGCCTAAAGTACGCCCCGAAAACCGTCAAAGATCTTATCGCGCCTGTGTCGCGTGCAAATCCTCAAAGATAAGATGCGATGCGCAGCGCCCCTGTGGCTCATGCGTTAGACGCGACCAGGCCAGTACATGCGAATATTCCGGAGTTGACCGTCGACGACGAGTCCAAAGCGATGGTTTCCACCTTCGTGCCAACTCAGAAGCAGCATCGTTGCCGTCCAACATAGCACTAAGTTCCCCGACTTCCCCAAATGACTATACCGTTCCAATGAGGACTCCATCTTCTGTGAATCCATCCACTACCGGTCCTAGCGGTACCGCAGATCCAATTATCACTGCCACACCTAGCCGGGTGACCTCCCGATCAGAAACTCGTGAAAAATGTTCGGATTCTGTTCTTATGGTATATCATGCAAGATCGCGCTGACCATCAATTCCAGTGTATGTGGGAGAAACGTCTTCACGCTCCTTTCTTCATTTTTTGAGAAGAACGACAAAGGGCTACATTGGATCGGTTCCCTTCACTGATGAGGAGCGACATCATGTCGCCATTGAACCAGAGTCATCTACTTTGGACATGAATCCCGCACATCCATCGCCAGAAGAGGCATACCTGCTCCTCAGTTCTTATCTTGAGGCGGTACGTGAATAAATTCATGAATAAAACCGCATATTTGGAAACTCACATTCATTCCAGACCAGTGGCGTCTTGGACCTGTTCACTCCAGACGAGCTGGACAGGCTTATGGCGGAAAGATCATCAGAGAATGCCACAGTTCACTATTTTTCGAAAGTCGACCTTGAACCGGCTTTCAACCTTGCTCTCGCAATCGGTGCTCAGGCGCGAGGCCGGCCCGAAGATGTGCAACTTTCAAAGGCTTATTTTCTTCGCGCCCGCGAAATCGCTTTTGAAGGCATGCTCATGTCGCAGAACCTCAACACAGTACGGCATTTTGTGCTTTTGGCTTTTTACACCCTCGGTGCTTGTAACAGAAATGCAGCATCGATGTTTCTCACCATTGCAGCAAAGGCTGCTGTTATTCTAGGTCTTCACAGCTCGGAAAATGACAGTGACCTTCCCGAAGAAGATCAGTCCACCAGGTGAGAGCTTCATGTTAACCTCCGTCTTCTAAACCAACCAAAGATACTAAGAAGGATTTTCTAGAATCCGGATATGGAACAGCGTCCAGAATCTTGATGTTTTGAGCAGCTTTCTTCACGGCAGACTCAGGAGTTCACCAGTGCTCCGCCAGAATATAAGTGATCCCATACTATTTACTAGTGGGGATGATCAGAATGCCCAGTCTCTATTTACAGCCATGGCAAAAGCATGCATTCTTCTTGAAGAGATCGTCGATACGCTTGGCAAAAGTAATAATATTCTTCACGTACCCACTGCCGAAGGTGTACTTGAAAGACTCCGCCAATGGAGCCGGGGCTTGCCTCAGAACATACGACGGTTTCCGCATCCCTCCGCAAACGGTCGACCCCTTGATGCCGAGAATCGCCGAGTGCTTCTTGGCAGCATACATGTCTCATGTGTGTATTATTTTGCAGTGATACTGATCACTCGACCATTCCTTGTCGCGTACCTGATGTCCAGACTTCGCGGCAAAGCTCCTGATCACCTAATCAGTGACCCCGAAGAAGCATCGGATATCAATATCAAAAATAATAAAGTATCCAGGTTAGCTCAAGTCTGCGTCGGCTCGGCTATCACCATGGTTGAAACGTGTGTGAAAGCCAAAGCTTTGAACTTTACTTTTGGGAACCTCTGTCTTATTGAGTATGCAAATTCACCTTTCTGATAAACATACTACATCGGGATCATAATGAGTGGGATATTTTAGCTAACAGTTGTCTCTCGAAAAGAGCATGGATATTTGGCGCAGGTCTAGTCCTTGGATTTTCAATGTTCGCGGCGGAGCTACGAAAAGATATCGAGGCAGCTTTCGCAGATGCACACGATATTCTTGGCGACATCGCTTTAGCAAGCCCTCAAGCTCAACTATATCATAATATGCTTACTGACTTCGCCGAGGCTATTGCCAAATACCGGCAACGCGTGTCGGATGAAACGCATTACACCGTCCAGCACTACATGGATCGGATTCTGATTTTTGAGCCACCAACCGATGGGAATGCCCCTGGTCCACCAGATGACTATGAGAGTGGTCGGAATGTTGATGAAACATGGGGATTCTCGCTAGCTAATCCTACTCAGGCGAATCCGTTTGTGTTTCCAATGGGCCTCACAGCAGCTAATGCTGCAGATGAAATGTTGCGAGATCAGCATGATGGTTGGCTTGATGGTAGCATTCATTTTCCGGAGTTCTTTGTACCTGAGCTTGAGCCTTTTGATCAGCTATTTTATACCGTCGAGTAAGATTAATGGATCATCACTTTTTTGCGATATTTGAATATTAAAGGTGCAGATTGTATTTCAATTTTGAACTTTGAAGTAATGTATATCTGGATCATGACTCCTATCTCCCGGTTTCGCCTTGTTTTATGGAAAGCTTATACACGCATCACGAAGCTCCTTCCAGATTGGTAAGTCCGAACGGACTTACCCACACTCCGGGCCGGCCTGAGGCACTGACAGGCTCAAAGCAATGATCATCGGAGGTTATCCAAAGTCTTACCAGTCTGTTGTAGAATACCAATAGGACGGCAAGCTTGGACTTACAAATTCGTGCCTGAGGGAGAGAAAGAAGTTTGCTAAAAGCGGGATTAATTATGTTCCCGTCGTGATCAAGTGTGCGATGACTGCGGTCGTTCATGGTTGTTTCGAGACAAACGTGCTGTGGGTCATTTTCCGCCTAGTATTGATGACACTTAGTGCAGTCCTTCCTCCTACTAGAAATTGCCGTTGGACCGACCTCAAGAATTGCAATGCGGTCCCCGGATCACGCCCTATTGCGACCCCCCATATCGACAGAGATCCTGCAGAAACCGAATCTGGTTAGTCGAGATTCAATAATGACCGATAAGTAAGCACTGAATTGCTCCCACGGAGCTTCCCAGGTGCATAATAAGGAGCTGAGCCGCCTGCTTAAGGTCACATGGGGGTTGAGGACTATAGCCGTTTAACAATTCCAAATACGTGCAACTTTGTATCGGCCCGGAGGGAGATAGTCAGCCTATTAAGGTTAGAATATCGCAATATTTACAGCTATTTCTAGCTTTCTTGGATAGCTGCCGTGAACCACCCCTGGAGATAAGCTCTGCCTAGTCATAGTGGTGGGAGCAAGATGACGCAGGTCCGGGAAGCGGATGCATGTAGATGCAGCCCACACCCCTTGGTATTGATTAGCTTTATGGTTAATTCAACCCTAAGGAAATCGTAGTTTCAAGTCAATCAATTATCAACTAATACAAGTATGTAATAATATATGTATGCTGGACTAACATCACTACCATATTCGGTTAGTGTAGCCCCCAATGTATGCGACAGACTCGCGTGGCTTCTCCTAGGGGAATATCAACCAATAATATAGCGGTTTAATTCGTAATGTGGGGCAAAGGGAGTACAATGTACATCCATTTCATGATACTGTGGTCAGTCGACTAGTTCAAGTAACATCCAAGTTCTTTATTTGAAGTCACGGTGGGTTGCTACTATCAGTTGCTGTCTTCCATGGCCATGAGGGGAATATACTAGGTTCCATCGGACTTGCTACAAGAAACCCTTTTGATCAAGTTTAGGTTGTCACGCCGTGGAGGAGTAGGCCAATGTGTGAGATTTCCGGATGTTCGGCTCTACCTGGTCTATCTGTAACCCAAACCATTTTCAGATACGCTCCAGCCACGGATCTATATCCCCATTCAGTAGATAAGCTCGTATAGTGTCAACCAGTACATGGCAAAAACCTGCATTGATGTAAGGATACGATCCCAAACTCCCATATCAACGATATGAGACACGAAGTCTTCCAAGTACTGTAAATATCATACTATATCTGCTTCGGAGATTCAAAATGTTTTGAAACAAGCCAATGACACAATAAATGCCCCGTACATTCTGGATTGACAAAGCACGGATCACACCTGCTTTGTGCTACACTATCCTGGCTCCACTAGGCCGAGAACCAGCTCTTACCCCCAGTTCAGCTAGTTGCGTGCTAGTATACTGATGTGATTTGAAATACCAATTCCAAATCATTGTCCACGTGCTGCATGTGCCGCGCTTGACAACAATATGTAACAGCCAGTCGGCGTAGCGCACCCACACGACAGCCTGCCTGCCACACTATCACCAATTTAACAACCCGAGCCTCAGCCTTCTTCAGCAACTAACCGATTTGGCTAACAGACCTAACATCGGAATGACAGTCCATTCAACATTTGCTCAACAATAGACAAACATGGCTAATCTGCTGGTACGCCTTACCACCATCCATTATCTATCCTACCCTAATGGCGTGATGAAAGGACTAACGCTACGGCCAGCTCCGGGACGGAAGTCTATTCACAGCTATCAAGATGATTAACCGTTTACCCTTGGTAAAGGACCACCTCGGTTATCTCGAAATAAAGAGAAAGTCATGAGTATAGGGTCATTTAGTATGTATTTCTGATCACACCATCCATAGAATGTTCTGTTTGGGTATCCTCGGGGAAGAAGAGTGGAAGTTAGACAAGTACAAACTGCTCAATGTGGAAGATCGTGAAAGGACCTTTCAAAATATGGTGTTTGCCGAAACAAACAGTCAATCTATAATTGCCGACGCTTGAGCAACTCTGGATCGAGTGCATTACACTGAAAAGTCTCAATTAGTGGGTATAAATACCCACTACAAATACCTGTCTTATTGACTCAGGTAGTCTTGCTTTACCTAGGGGCGTATTAATATTGGAACATCAGCAATCTATCCAACTCAATATGTCGGGCTCACGACAGCAGCCTGGACTGGTGAGACAATAAAAACCTAGCCTATGAAGTGACTTTTGGCGCTGATGACTTAGGCTTGCGAGGAATGCCGCAAAAAGAAACTTAGATGCGATAGGCGACGACCTCAATGTGACCAGTGCGAGGATTCTGGTACAGCTTGCCTTGTAAATCAGATTCGCTCGCCACGCGGCCCCAAGAAGGGACATCTCAAGGCTTTGCGCAATCGCATTGGTTTGTTTGAAATATGATTTATGTACAAATTCCCTGCTGACGTGATTTTTAGCCACACTGGAAAGCATTATAAGTTCTGATGAGGGAAATCTCGTTCCGAAGGAATTGTTGAACTGTAGTGAGAATTGTCATTCCGACGAGCCAGCTCAATTGCTCAGCCCACCCCACGATTATATCCCTAATCCCACCAAGACGGAATACCATGGCATCCCCTACTCCATTGAGGGATCAAAAATAACCTCACCTATTATACCAATGACCTCACCTGATACTGAGAACTCAGATATAATTGAGGCAGATCTGTACGCAAAGCCCACATTACAAGTTCGGATATATCTAACAGCTAATTAAGTGATCAACTATACTTTGACAGAGTACACCCTGTTGCACCGATGATCCACCAAGGCCGGTACTTCTCCTGGTCACAGAGGTTCAACAAACCAGCATCTTACATTTGCTTGCAATTCGCAATGTGGGCACTTGCAGCGGCGTCATCGGCCCATTTACAGCACATGCGGGAGTCTCTCTATACCCGTGCGCGGTCCGGGATTGAGGCTTTAAATCACGATATCGAATCTACCAGTGCGGCCTGTCTCCAGGCAGCACAAGCATGGCTTCTCCTAACACATTACGAGTTCCGCTACATGACCTACCGCCGAGCATGGCTTACCGCAGGGCGCGCCTTTCGCATTATCCAACTTGCCAAATTACACGAGATCGATCGGCTCAATGACGTGAGCATAAACATGGCCCATCCCGAAGCATGGGCTGAGGCTGAGGAAAAGCGACGGACCTACTGGCTAGCCTATTGTCTAGACCGATTCCTCAACATCTCTGACGAGTGGCCTCTAAGTCTACACGAGGAAGTGGTGAGCATTCACTTCCTTTGTTTTACAGAATGTTCTAAGTACCACTAACATCTAATCCAGCTCTGCGTATATCTCCCCGTCTCGGAATCAGATTTCCAACACAGCAGACCAGTCCTTATGGACTCCTTATATGACGAGATCGAGACCTCGGGTCAGAAGATGCTACCGCCTTTCGCGGAGACAATCGTCCTGATTACGCTATGCTGGCACAGCGTTGCATTCCAGCGCGCCGCCCATGGTGACAAAACATCTCCGACAGACGGAGATACCTGGAACCGCCATACTCGACTCTACCAAATGGTACAACAGCGTCTGATGCTGGTCTCACTACCCCCTTCCTCGCCCGAGCTCCACGATCCCATGCGTCTCTTCACAAACATGCTTGCCAATGCCGCAGTCATATGGTTCTACAACATAATGGAGACCCTGCATGTAGAAATTGACGAGGAGATTATACTCGTTCCTCTCTACTCTGCGTACGAGATAGTAAGTTTGGCGAAGCCGCTCACCCGATCCAGCTTTTTCAAGGTGAGACCACCCCCTTTCTTTCCTGTTCACAGTGGCTTTTGTGTCTCACGAGGTTACACAGGCGCATGCGTTTTCCCCCATGCTACTCTATCTCTCGGCAAAGTTTCTCAAGACACATGCCGATCAACTGAGTACGTGTGTCCCCGTATCGGAGGATAAACAGGAGAAGTTGGAGGATTTGAAAAAGGCTTTGCGAGTCTTGCAGGGTGGGAATAATTTAGCGACGAGCTACTTGGAGCTGCTTGACTCCGACTCCGACTCGTTCAACAAATTGTGCAACCTGTCGACGGCTCAAGGGTGTACTATCTCTGAAGTTGCAGGTCAGAGGGAGCCACCTTTCTTTTTGGATATCATGAATCTTTTGTAGCTTTCCTTATCGACGGCTGGCGTGCTTTGGGATAATTGCTTTCAAATTCCTTTCTTCGGTCGTGTAGGGTGTACAGATGTAGTATCCAAGTGGTCGGTGCAGTTGAATAAGTGACATTCATTCTATTTCCACCTAGAGCAGGTTGCCTTGAGAAAGCATTCACTTACCTATAGGTATGACCTTAGTCTTGAATGATACTTGCTTTACCTAGATTGTGGAAAATATACCCGAATGGCTGCATAAAAATTGGGATTTGATTGGGCCGTCGAAAAGAAATAAAATCTGCACCTGGAAGCATGCTCAGCTGCTTTGCTAACAAACCCTCGAGACAATCAGCACTATGGACTGCCCAGAATTAGCGCAAAACAAATTCAAAGCGAGACAACAACCTTCTGAGCAGACACACCCCGCTTGTGAGTGTACATAGCCAGCTGAATTCGGTCCAGGCCCCTCCCTATAACATTCGGCTTGGGCGCAGCAACAAAAGCGCCAGTTGCGAGGGCCTCAGGGAGGAATTCATTGTAGATCATGGCGCCGATCTCGGTATGCGCCGCGGAGGTACCGGAAACGAACTTTGTTTTCACGCCACACCGCTTCGCCTTCTTCCAAATCTTGAAGTTCTCCCACACAGAGGTTGCTATCTCGTGGAATATATTGAAAAAAATTGGATTTCTTGCTAGGAATGGGAAGGCGGTCCGGACCACGAACTTCGAGCCGTCGGTTCTCGAGAGGACTTCGATGCAAGGTTCAATTGAGTTGTTTCCGATAGCGATGGCGCCAACAACCTTCTTATTATCCATTAGTTCGACAATCTGCTGGATGGTGACCTTGTCGTTATAGTCAAAAACTGCAGACGCGCCGAGATTAGTGACATATGCAAAGTTCCTGGGGGAGCAAGTGGTGATGACCTCGTAACCGGCTGCTGCGGCGAGCTGGATGGCGTTGCAACCGACACTGGTGGATCCACCCCAGATCAGGACCACTTCAGGACGCCAATCTGGGCCTATGGCTAGCGGGATACCAGGGCGGTTGAGTGAGAGAAAGTCTTGTCCGAACAAGGCGGTTGCGGCAGTTGATAGACCGAGGGGAATGACGCAAGCCTCTTCGTAAGAGAGCGAATCAGGAATCACTGTGGCCATGTTGTCACGGATCACAGTGTAGCGTTGAAAGGCACCTTCAGACGGGTTGTTGACGGCTTTATCCATAGAGAGCGCGTGAGCAAGAACCCGGTCACCAACCTTGATGTGACTGACCATGTCACCAACCTGCACAATCTCGCCGGCACAGTCATTTCCGAGTACAAAGGGGTACTTGATCCAGGAGAATATCAGTCTTCCCATCAGCTGCTTAGTCCAATCAACGGCATTGATGGCCACAGCGCAATTCTTCACGACAATTTGATGGGCAGACGGAGGCGTAAATGGTGCAACGCCGACCTCGAGGGGATCACTGCCACGGCTGGATCTGAGGAACCACGCAGCCTGATTAGAAGGAGGCTGGTGAGAACAATCCCAGTCGGAAGGCATCGGGGGGACGAATTGGGAAGGTAAAAGATACCGAACCATGGTGTAGATGCATGTATATGCGTGTTGATGGGAGGTTAGAAGAATAGAATCCAAGGCGACTGAGAATCCAACACGTGTTGAACCACCTAACGACTCAGCGCTTTACGTGAATTGAGGAGACAAACTCTTTATTTCTCTTTCATTGATCAATATGCCCAGACTCCAAGAGAATCAATTTCACAATGTTGTTTTTATAGGCTGTCATATATGTGGCAAAAGAATATTCTACTCCTATTCAACCTAAAGGGTTAGTGCGATGTTCACACGATGGAGGGTGATTTTCACTAAATTCTCATCTATATTGCGCGATCGCCCTTCTTATCCAGGTCGCCCGACAGCTCATTTCAAGTTCACTTTCAATTGTCAGAAGGAACATGTCGTTACCCCATGATACGAGAGTTTTGGTTGGCTCAAGGGCACACAAGCTCATTGGGGCTGTGAAAAGGGCTTGAGACAGATACCATCTGAAGAAGTCTCTAAGCAAACTTCCAAGTCCTTTGCAATCTGTTCCATATCAGTCAAAGTTGGCACTAACTTTTCGGAAAGGTTTGTCTCAGTGCATATAACCGTAAAGAGCAGCGGGGAAACGAGTGCCGATGCTAGAAATACAACGGAGATCTAGGACAGAGGTGATGAATTGCAGAAAGATATGGACGGGCTCTACGTGCAGAATCATCAATGTAAATGGGCTCAGAGTTTAAGTAACTCAATCCAGGGCGTCCCTGTAGATATCAGGGATAAATCGTTAGTGTTTGCCTTTGGCTTGGTAAGTTGGTAGCAGTGGTCGCGATTAAGATAGGATTTGGCTAGCGAATAGGATAATGATCCACATGCCGCTACCCAAACACGGGTAGCTCACAAAAGGTTCTACAATAATAGTGATCCGATATCTGGCGAGACCGGGCTCAACTTACAGTGACCCCGCAAAAGTTTCAACATCACACCCCCAGCCCTACTTGTTCAAGCAAACGAAGCTAGTGCTAATTCGGTAATTTATTAACTTTACTTTCGATGTGAGTTTGTGCTTGGGGTCGTCCGGATCTGGCCTCCGCAATAGATCTTGTTCTCAAAACGGCACAGTCCGATAGGTTACATCCTCCGATTGGTTATCTAGGCCAAATTGCACGGCAGAGATAATCCGACCTCTACCTCAGATAAGACTCTACCTACAATCTAGTATGATTCTCTCCCAATCGGCTAGCAAAGTATGTATGTACAATTGCTATAGTATCAAAATCTTCGAATACTATCAGGACGATAAGATAACGAGATAACAAGATAAGGTACCCCTAACGCCGCAACCGGTTAGACCGACTGCTTTCGGCCCACCATTCAAAGTGAATGTGCCACTCCTCACCGTCTGTTGGATTAACTTGACCTATCAGAAAGTAGTCCGCAGATAGGATTGGGTATCGAGAGCCAATCTTCATAAACTGTATAATAACGGTATAAATTCAATATTCACATGAACAAATAGCGTGGAGGTTTGTAACCCCAAATTTTGCTTTTTATCTACTTAGCCACGCTTCAGCTCTTGGTCCATCGTGGATAAAAACCACATGCATATAGCCCCTTGAAACACTCTACTCCCATCAACACTATCATCAACTTCACCGCAATTCCCTTGTCTTATCCTTGCGTAATTGCGAACACAATCGACAAAATGACCGAAAAACAAAGTATCGAAAGCGATCCTGCTGCGAATAAGACGCAGATGGACGCGAATGTTGCCGAGGATGCAGAAGAGCTGGAGCATTTGGGCATTGCCCCTTCAGAAATGAAGCGCAGCTTCAATCTGTGGTCATTGGTATTCCTATCCGCTTGTTCGAGTGTTACTTGGGAGGCTATTTCGTCGACTATTGCCCAGGCCTTGAGGTCTGGCGGAAGTTCTAGCTTGGTTTGGGGGTATGTCGCTTCTGCTGCAGGCGCGATCCTCATCGTCCTCTGCCACGCCGAATATGCAAGTATGATACCAACCGCTGGCGGTCAGTACCATTATGCATCTGAATTATCGCCCCCGAAAATTCGGAGAGTGTATGCTTGGTTTGCGGGATGGATAACTATGATTGGTTGGATTCTCTCCTGTGTGGCTGGCATCTTCGCGATGGCAACCCAATACCAGGCGTGGGCCATCCTCTTCGCTCCGGGATATGTCTTTGAAAGATGGCATACAACAATGGTGTGTTTTCGTTATCTCTCTGACGCCTGACCTCAGGTTTTCTAACGTTTCTAACGTTTCTAACGGCTTTAGATCACGATTGGTCTGACCACATTTTTCAGCGCTGTCTCCCTATTTGAGATAAAACATCTGCCCAAGCTGATGTACATCGGATTCCTCACACATGTAGCGGGATATCTTACTACTATGATATGGCTACTTGTCCACGTTGAGGAGAAGAACTCGGCCAAGATAGTCTTTACTGATTTTAATAATCAGAGTGGCTGGGAAAGCTCTGGTGTGAGTGAATGTCTTTGGTGGTATTATTCCGATCAAGAGATCTAACATTTTACCCCAGGTGAGCTGGTCTATTGGGTTGCTCAGTTCGGCTATTGGGTTCGTCAACTGGGACAGCTCAATTCACATGGCCGAGGAGATGAAACATGTCTCGCGCGACCTCCCTAGAGCAAGTAAGCTATTTCACCCTAGGAGTTTGATTTAAAATTATTTCCCTGAGAGAACTAACAGTCACCTTTATTAGTTTTGGCTAATGTTGCTGTGAGCGGAATCATGACCTTTCCATGGATCATTTCTATTGCATTCTGTATCACCGATATTTCCGGAGTTCTCAGTGGCCCCGTTGGGAGCATGAGTCCTATGTCGCAGCTCTTCTATAACATATCTGGCGGTAACAGAGCGGCCACAATTGGTCTTACTTGCTTCCTTCCGATCATCGGCATTGTAAGCGCAGGGCCTGGGATGATCTCCGCTACGTCGAGAACCGTCTGGGCCTTTTCAAGAGACGGAGGCCTTCCTCGGATGTTTTCTAAGGTTGGAAACCGCACAAAGGTACCCACAAATGCAGTAATCCTGACATGGGCTTTGATTTGTGCTGTTAGTCTTATCAACATTGGGAACACTACTGCCCTTTATGGGATCAGCTCTGGTTGCACAGTTGCCCTCGTCATTTCTTACGCTTTTCCGCTACTCATGAACGTTCTATATGGGTTCAAATACTGTGAAGTCCCAAGAGGCCACGGTAGGTTTACTTTAGGTCGTTTACATCGCCCTGTGGCGGTCGCGGCTTTGGCCTGGTGTATTTATATTATCACGTTCATGTGTTTCCCAACATACTACCCAGTGCAAGTTGCCAGCATGAATTGGGCCTCAGCTGTGGTCGGGGGAGGGATGCTTATTGCTGTATGCTTATGGTTTGTCTACGGACGAACTGGATACGTGGGAGCGATGCGGATTTTGGAATCCCATCACTGAGCATGCAAGCAGGTTCAAGGGAATGTTAACGATCGTGAACAAAGATAATGGAATTTCAATTTAATATATGTCACATTGACAAGTCTGAAATAACTATAATTGCTATGTATAATTTAGCATGTGCTCCATATAGTATTGTATTAAGAAGACTAATAAAGGAGACTGATAAATCTATCTAGAGTCAGAATGAGAGAGTGACAAATAGAACATTATCTAAATTGACCTCCATGTTATCATTCCGAAGAAAGCTCTCACATGTGAATCAGCAAATCTATCTTTCCAGCATAATCGAACCTCGTTTCCAACGCACTAAGAATACCATCGATATCACCTCCCTTCTCAGAAAAGCCAAGACTCTTGCTTAACGTCAATTATCCGATAACGTCAAAGGCATCTATTAGAGTTGTGGTCAGCTCGGGATTCTTCCATGTAAGTTTCAACGCAACGTACAATATTGAAGCCAAGCTCCAATATGACAGAGTTCATCTTGAGTGACAAGTTAATCCAGTTTCGTGAACAGTGAAAGGATAGTAGAACCAACTAAAGGCTCAAATTTGGTCAACGTGCTCATCAAGCAAGCAGAGGAAATTTGGCTCTTGATCGCAGCATAGAAGTTCTCGTCAGTTGTTGTGAAGAAAGTAGGTGTCAGGTTTCCATTACCTAGCTGCTGCTGAATACGATAAAAGTCTATCTGTCCGGTGGGTCAGCTTAACTTCCACGGGTTTTTACAACCAGCAAATAATTTGTTGAGTTTACCCTTTGATATCTTTTGTTAATTTTAAAGATAATCCTCAATGAAGCTTATCAATTGCGGGGAAGTTCTTACTTCTCCATGGGGTACGTTGAGGGTTTTGCGGGGAAAAGCACGCCCTCAAAAGATTATTTCGTATCTCTTGTTTTCCCCAGCCAATGAGGGAAATTTCCGGTAGAAATTAGGTCCAAGAACCAACTCTTCCATTTTATGAATGTTGCCTGAATTTGTGGAGGGGGCGAAAAAACAAGAAACAACCCCGGGGTCCAGTATAGTGACACCTTATGGTCGAGTTAGTAAATATAAATCAATCCTCTTACTCTAAGATATACGAGAGAACTCGATGTCCCAATTTTCCTTTGCGCTGATCGTAATGAAATAAGCCCAGTTCAAACTAGTAGGACCTTCAGGGCCGGTATTTGACTTTAATATTGGTTGTTTACTTGTGTGTAGGAAGAGGTTGGAAGAGAGTAGAGTGATACCCCTTATGTGAATGCAAGAGTGCTGATTTCAGTCTTAATATTTGATGGGTGAATTGAGCATGATCCAGTGCCCGTTAGTACACCGGATAGAAACCTCGTGTACTCTCTTCTCGGCCTGCCTAGCTCTCTTTATTTTGTAAACTTTTGCCGTAGCGGACGACTCACTACTCGGCGGTGGCTTCAAGGTTTGGGTTACTGATGTTCGTCGGTGCGAAGAACATGGGGATGCAACAATTTAGATCGAAATCTGTCTTCCAGTATGTCTAGGTCAGTGTGAAATCCTCCTGTGTGCGTTCAGTGGGGCCATCAATGTCATCCCTACCTTCCTGTGAGACTTCTCTCTTCTCCCGACCTTCGGATTAGCCTCATGCTCGATCCCAAATCTCGCTTACTTGAGCTTGAAGTCCCTCCTGCGCAACTGAAAGATTGTAAAATGTTTCACCTAGAACCTCGAGTCGGTTCTCCAAGCGTTGTACGATCACGACGGTGGACCCGCCCGAGTCATTTGCGATTTGGTCAAGCAGGCCCAGTATAACGCCTGCTTTCTCCAAAATTTGCCCACCCGCATGGGAGCCGTCGGCGATTACATTGTGTAGGTCTGAGAGGGCCGTACGGTCTTGTTGGGTGAAGGAAGGGCCACTAGTGTCATTCATATCTTCCTGGATGTCAGCTGTGTTTCTTTTAGTTACGAGAGAGCCCTCACTGATAATCTTTTCAGTGTCGAGATTGCATTGAGCTCTTTATGTATTGACTAGCGCTAGGGAGGAGGCTTGTGGCACGAGCTGGGGTGCTCTTGCGAGACAACGTGCCATGAAGAGGAAGAATCACTGCCAACATAATTATATAATTCATAATTAAGGTCTAGCCCAAATATCAAGCTTAGTATATACTGATAACCTAACAAAAACTGAGAGCAGAGTGAAGTGAGGGAACATCATTTGTGATATTGAAAACAAAAAGCAACGAGAGGCTATACATTGAACTAAGTTCATTCAGATGGTCTTATCACCGCCTAGAATAGTATTTTCCTAGATAGTCTGAATTTCATCACCTAGCGACATCTTTTTCATGGTTGAAGCAATATTTAGTTGACATCACACCTTAGTATATTGTGTTTGATACGAGTCGAAATATATCTTCAACACAGCCGTCATATTTTCCCTACTGAGTTGCATATAAAGATTTATAGCACATCATATTAAAATAATTGCCCACTGCTTCATGCGGACATTATGGGTGACCGTTAGTTTTTTCCATGAGGCCTTACTTACCTAGTTCCCCCTGCGTTGATATTAGCCCATGAATACCTTTCGTAGGGCGAGACGTGAGCACACAGCTGGGCACGAGCTGCGATAGACCATTTGTTAGGTGTGCCGAATCCCAAGCTCAGCATTCATCCACTAATCTTAAGTTAGTACACGGGTAGGACCGGTGATAAATAAACGACCACTTTGCGCAGTAGAGGTTAAAGCTTTTGTTACCAGCAGATCCGCCATCCCCATCTCTTTTCTCGTTGTTCAGCGCTGGAAATTTGTCAATAATACACTTCCCTAGAGAAAATCTCCATCATACTCTAATATCGCCGCCTTCGGGATCTCCAAGTTTACTACGTTATCAATTAGGATAGCTCAAGTTCAATGAGAATTTTCTGAAACCCTGTCTCTCCTGACCCTTGAATTCTGACACAAAGCCGATAAGCCCTTAGCCAATCTTGTCACTTCAACACCGAGATATTAGTTCTTTGACTCGGTCGCAAGCACTCAATTAATAGAAGCTTAACAATCTTCTGTGATAGTCAAGGTCATTCAATATACATATGAAGTTGGGCTGATCTCAGCAATGGGTGCTGTTTTTTTGGTGTTGTGCACCCTACACCAAAATAATTTGAGCTCGATTGACAAAGGATATTTAAGGATTGCAGGTTTTAGTGGTTGTTCTCCTTCCATCCTTCCTTTGTTAAAGTGTCATGAAACCCCATGAACTGGTGGATGTGATGCATGTATCTACCACCCCGGTATCCTAGACCCTTGGCAGCACGGTGTGTTAGATCGCTTTTTGAAAGAGATCATGTCATCCTAACTCCGAAGGGGAAAGAGAGATCCTCGAACAAAGGCCATTCGGGGTCATATTTGCACCGGAAGTTCCTAGGGTGCAACAACTTTCTTTGTTGACCATGGCGAAGGAGACATTTTTACTTGTTCTCACAACAATCAAACATCGTGGCCTCGAGAAAGATCGCGTTTAAGTGGCCCTTAAGAGACTCTCAGACCCTGCGCGTTACTCTAAAGAGAATATCTGTGTTTCATATGATTCACTGGCTGCATGAATGTATATTGCCTCCGCGATGTTGCTCTCAGGCGTGACATTCATGGTGTAGTTCTTTGGAGATATATTTATAAAGCCACACGTTATTCTTCACAGAGGATCCTCATATCCGGCAAATCAACAGAAGATGGGGTCTTTTCAGAAGGGCATCTTCCTCGCCCTGTGCGGTCTCCGTTTGATTCAAGGGACAGTTGTGTTGTCTGTAGCTGAGCCTGAGGTTAGTCTCAACTCCTCCAACTCTCAACCCCACGTTCACACTAGATTCTAACCCAAGATAGAACAACCAAATCAAAGACCGGGCCCTGTACACCTACCCATATACCTGCCCCTCCATTCTTGTCGGCACCGGGGATACATGTGACGATCTGGCTTCCAGGTGTAGCATATCGGCAGCATCATTCACTTCCTTCAACCCGACGACTGGCTGCTCCTCTTTGCCTCGCGGAAAACCCGTATGCTGCGGGCCGGGAGAAACTCGATTCCCACCGGATAGTGGTGGTTACTGTTACGCTTATACTATTCGCGATGGCGATACATGTGCGAAGATTGCCGAGGGGTACAAGATCACGACGGCCGATATCGAAACTTGGAATACTAATACCTCAGCATGGTACGGATGCAACAAGCTGCAGCAGGGGGGCCAGGTTTGCCTCAGCAAGGGCGAGCCATCAATGCCAGTGGCAATTGGTGGTGCGGTCTGTGGCCCCCAAGTGCCTGGAACAGCACGCCCCATATTATGGACTAGTATTGCCTCTTTGAATCCATGCCCTGCGGGTCAATGTGTGAGTTTTATCAGGATCTGATTTCGATCCCGCGGCTAGACTGACCATATCTTTAGTGCTCTACAAAGGGTCAATGTGGTACTGGCAAAGACTTCTGTGACTCATCTGCACCTGCAGCTGCCGCGCCACCAGCGCCTGCAACCAAAGCTAAATCAGCTGTCTCGGAAGCTAAAGCTGCAACTGCAAACGAAGTTACATCCGTGAAAACTACATCTGCACCAGCCGCTATCGCGCCACCTGTGCCTGCAACTAAAGCTATATCAACTTCATCTACAACCAAAGCTACGTCGGCGGCATCCGAAACTAAAGGTGCACCATTGTCAGCCAGAAGTTTTGTGACAATGACAGCTGCAGCTGTGACAGTGACAGTTAAAGCCGCATCTACAACAAAAAACGCGGATCCGCATGCTTTCACGACAGATATACCTTTGGTTGATGTACCCTTGACATTTCTACACCCAGAAGATACGAAGTCCGCTCCAGCTGCCGCCCAGACCAAGGCGGCCACTGGCGATGTTGCTGATTTCCTGAAACCAGCCAAGGAGATCAGTATTTTGGCGAGCCAACTTCGGAATAATTTGGTCTCTACAACCACAAGTGTGACCAAGGCCACGGGTGCTGCAAAAAGCAAGGCCCCAAGCGAAAACTCGCAGACAAAAAAGTCACCGACACAAACCGTAAATGGTGTCGTCACTGTACCCAGTGGGTGGTCGCTGAAGATGTTCGATGGAATAGGTTGCACTGGCAGCTACGTGTTGCTTCAAGGTCACAACAAGAAATTGGAGGACAGTACCTGCATGAAATTTCGCTCGGCGAGTACGCTCCAGACCGATGTTACCGACACAGCTGTTTCATGTCGCTGGTGGACTATACCAGAAAGCGGTAATTGGGAGTGGAGGGACTGTCACAGCAATTCTCTGAATAGACCCAAATCGTGGATTATGTCGAATGGTTTGTGTACCGTTTCTCCCAATACGAAGTGCGATCTTGTCAGCGACATTTCCCAAACCTATGGCTGGCGGGGTCCTGGGTTGTGTCAAGATCGCAAGACGGTGGATCCGACATTTGGCTCTTTGAAGTGTTATGTTGGATAAGGTTGAAATTGGTGTATATCAAGACGAGATTTTTCATTGCAAATCAGTTACTCGAGGTTGTTTATGGTTTCCAGCTTGTGAACTTTGCGATCAAATTATCATAAATGGCTATCACTTAGAGGAACTTATTATACATCAGTAGATGGTTCCTTCTCTTTTACCAGACTCCGAGCTGGCCATCGCTTCTCAACCGCAGCAATAACGACCGTCATAACAAGCTCAAACGCAAAAAACATAGCAGCAATCTGGAATCCCACTTTGAAATGAGGTGCTTGGCTGCTATTATAGGCCAACAGAGGCACCCAAGCATTGAATGTGAAGGCAACTGCCTCCATGACTCCAATCACAACAACACGATGCTCAGCCGAGAAACCGCATGTCTCACTAACCCAAGACGTGAAAATGATACCCGCGCCGGTCTCAATATAAGTCAACAACCATCCCGCCATCATCGCCGCGGTGTTATGTATCGGCCAAACAGAGAGAATGATAGTCCCAACCAATGCCGGAACACAAGCAAACACAATCACAGGCCAACGCATCTGCAAGTAATCACTTGTCCAGGCGTACAAGAGCGTGAAAATAATCTGCAGCCCATACCCGGCTGATGGGATAACGTTGACTTCTTCGACCGTGTATTTGTGAGTTGACTTCAGCCACACGTTGAAATACGAGTAGATTCGCAGACCACAAACGTGCGCAATAAAGACGGTAGAAAAGAGCCAGACTGGCCATGTGCGAAAGACATCGACAAATGTTCGCCATGTGAGCTTGGCCGCTGGTGCACGGCCGACGGCTTTCATTCTTTGCTCGGCATATTCAGTATCCTCTTTGTTGAGCCACCGGGCCTTCGAGTCACTGGGGGAATCAGGAATGGCCCAGAACCCATATAAAGCAATGGGAACTCCAAGAATTCCATCGAAAATAAACAACCACTGCCAAGCGGACAGACCTGCGCGGCCATCCATGCCAGAGTATAGCGCCGCCTGGAGATAGCCTGAAAACATGTTCGCTGCGCTAGAAGAGGCCTGGAAGATGGCGCTTCGCTTCGCCAGTTCTTGTGGTGTATACCAATTTCCTAGCAGCGTGATAATGCCCGGATACGCGGAGGCCTCGAAGAGGCCGATGAAAAACCGGAGTGCAAAGATGGTTTTGGGGCCCTTTGCGCCCGCAAGAGCGATCACTAAAACACTCCACAAGAGTTCAAGGGCTGGTAACCAGATTGATGGGCGGATTTTGGTGAGGATCAACTGGGATGGAATTTGCCCGACGATGTAACCGATGTTCCAGTATGTCGTCAAGTAGTTCAGGTCGTTTCCCTTTAGGTCGAGTGTCTCTTTCATGCCTGAAACGTAGGCATTGGAAGTCTATGTATTCAAGTTAGTTCACTGATTTTTTGTCTCAGCTCTTTGCTTACTTACATTAGATTGATCCAAAGACTTAATGAAGTATGCCGTGCAGGCATAGCTCAGTAGCCACCAGTCGACTTTCTGAACAAGCTTGCGCTCTCGAGGCGACTTATCCCAGGTATCCCATATCGAAGCTTTGAGTCGAGCTCGTCTGGTTTGCTGTATCGGTGCTTCATTCTCCTGTTCGCTTGGAGCCTTGAGCTCCTGGCCCTTGACCTCAGACGTCGTTTTAAGTTGATCGGCGTGGTCGAACACCATGGTCGCTCAAATCAGCAGTGGCTTGGAGAAATGGTAATACTTCATGATATTCACTCGATCTAATATTTATACTTGTTAACCTTGAATGAAGTTATCAATTCTTTGTGATAAGCACATCATCAAGCCCTATATCGGGGCGGGTCCGCTGGTTATTACCCCATTGAGACTAACCTACACGTTATCATCGGCTGATATGGCGTGAGAGGCTTCTGTGGATTATCGTGGATTATCGTACGACTTCACATATCAAAACTAAAATCTTAAAGAGCGCTGCTCATCGCTAATTTTGTGATTATTTACTCTACAAATTATCATGGAAGTCGAACGCGTGGCTGTTATCGGTGCGGGGCCTTGTGGCCTGGGAGTCGCAAAGTACGTTTGTTTATTTCTTTTAGGCCAGGACCTGAATAATTAATAATAGATTCTACGCAGGTATCTTCTTGCAGAACAAAAATTCAAGACCATCACTATTTTTGAACAGCGCGACCAACCTGGAGGTGTTTGGAATTACACCGGCGATCAGGGCGTCAGCAATGCATCGGTACTTTCTCGCTCTAAGCCAAGCCAGGAGCCTCAACAGCCCGTGAACGGGACTTTTATTTCCCCTGTATATGACTCTCTCGAAACAAATATTCCAAATTCGATGATGCAGTTCACCGAGTCTCCGTTCCCTGCAGGAACCGCGCTATTTCCAACCCATGTCGTCGTGAAAGACTATCTCCATCAGTACGCAGAGGAGTTGAAGCCGCTCATACGTCTGCAGTCCTTGATTTTGGATGTTGTATTATCGAGAAAACATCCAAAGCCGGAATGGACTGTGACGTGGCGCGATCTGAAGACTGGTGGTACCTTGGTGGAGCAATTTGATGCAGTTGTCGTCGCGAATGGACACCACAATGACCCATATATCCCCGAAATTGCTGGCTTGGCTGAGTGGAATCGAGCCTACCCAGGCTCTATCATTCATTCTTCCTCTTATAGGCGTGCGGAATCATTTTCAAACAAGGTATGTAACCCACCGCCCACCAAGCCACCCACGTACTGAGACCAGCAATAGAAAGTTATTGTCGTCGGTCACTCCGCCTCGGGAATTGACATCGCCACTCAAATCGGTCGAGTCTCAAAACACCCGCTGCTGATTTCCGAACGGACAGCAACAACTCTCTCCCCAGAACAATCCGCTATTGCCGAAACCCTTCCGGAAATCAGCCTTCTCAGTGCCGAGGACGGTCGCGTGCAGTTTGTCAATGGCCATGAAGAGAGAAATGTCGATCATATTATCTTCTGCACAGGATACCACTTCTCTATCCCATTCTTATCATCTTTGCAACCGCCTCTTGTCACGGATGGCGTACGCCCTCGCCATTTGTACCAACATGTCTTCTACAGCAAAGAGCCCACCCTCGCTCTGATAGGATTCCCTCAACGGATTGTACCATTCCCTTTCAGCCAGGCGCAAGGCGCGTGGCTCGCACGCATTCTGTCTGGCCGAGCAGCGCTGCCTTCTGAGATTGAAATGGAGCGGTGGATTGGGGAGTGGACGGTCGATCATGGCGATGGACGTAGCTTTAATACCCTTGCTTTCCCGCTTGATGCGGCTTACATCAACTCCCTTTACGATTTGAGTTCAAATGCGGCGCGGAAGGAAGGTTTGGAAAATGATGGGCAGGGCAGAAGACCCCCTTTTTGGGGTGAGAAGGAGAAGTGGACGCGGGCGAGATTCCCTTTGATCAAGAAGGCAGCGCAAGCACTTGGTGATCGACGAGCTGAGGTAAAGAGTTTGGAACAGCTTGGGTTCGATTTTGAGAAGGAGGTTGCGCAAGACGCTGGGGCTGGGACTGCGCGTCTATAGACGGACATTTGGCATCGCGGATAGAAGAAGATTCCAATGAATTAAAATAAGCGATAAGAAGGAAAAAACAAAACTCTTATTTAGAGTACATCTTCTAATAATTCATACAGTGAGTTTCTAACAGGCTTTCGCCCATATCTTCTCCGCTGGATTCAAATTACCCAATTTCCAGACCAGCTACTCTTTGAAAGCTTGGACTAGTTTTCCAATGGAATGGATCCAGTCATCGTTGGCGTCCAATCATCAGTAATAGGGAGCGCACCAAGTACCGTAAAATGCTTCACCTAGGACCTGGTGTAATCCACAAAGTCAAAGACGAAGGGATCCAAGGTATCGTCAATCGCGCGAGTAACATACTAGCCCCAAAACTTAGCGGCGGTTTCCTTGTTGAATCCAATGAATTCGTATGTTTCACGACTTCTCAGCTCTTGGGGTAGCTCGATCTCCTCCTGTGGGACGTTGGCAAAAGTGGCCGAAAGGCATAACGCCGTCACGGATATTTTGTGTTTGTTGTTCTTTGTCGGACCTAGAAGCCCCTTGTCCTGGAAGAACACTGCAACTTGTGCAGAAATAACAGACATAGTGCCGGCAGGGCAAAGACTTGAGAAAGGATGAAGTTGAGTGAGAGATGAAAAGATCAGGATAAACAATCAGGGCAAGCAGAAAGGACGATGAGGATACGTGAAAAGCTCAAGTAGACCACTGCGTGTGATGTTAGTGCTAGATCCTAGGCACCTGGCCTCCAAATATGGTTTAGTAGAAAGCGCCCAGAGAAGGTACGACCACTTCGTGTACTATGTAGACAAGAATACTCGGCCGTGTGATGTCTTTTAGTAGGTCTTGCTAGCTGCTCTTTCTAAATGTCTTTCTAAATGTCTTTTCAAATGTGCGTGAAAGGGGTAAAAAAAAGCATACCTTGTGCAAGAGACTTTTCTATGTATGACCAGGGAAATAACTAGTAAAAGCCCACTTGGCTGACGAACACTCCCTCCCCTCCAACAATTCGCTCAAGACGCTGAGGTTGGGAATGCACGTCTATGAACGGAGAGATATATATTATAGATAGGGTATCAAGATTCCAACAAATTCCAATGAGAAATGGGGAAGAAAAACAAGACTCTCATTCAGAGAATACCAGGTTCTACATCTCCCAAAGATTCATCCACTGCGTTTCTAAAAGGCTTTCACCTATGTCGTTCTCCGCTGGGTTCAAACTTCCATCTGTAACGTTGAGCCGATTACCCGGGATTCCAGTTTCTAGGCCAGCACCTAAATTGTCTATAGTAAAAGACTGATGCGAAACCCTTCGCTCCGCAAGCTTTGACCTCAGAGGCCAGATGTAAAAGCTTGCCTCGCCCATTGTTTCGCTCAGCAATGCTTCGAGATCATTTTGAACAGATTTTAACCCCATTTCAGTATCTAAACCTGAAGTGGCTATCACAGAAGACCCGGACAATTGGCTTCGTGCTATCAGCGGGCTGTTTTGATTTGTTGTCACATCTGCAAGGCGCCGCAGAATCCGAGACGCTTCATGAGCAGCGGTCCAGGAGGGTGGGAAGTATTCAAGCAAGGTTGCGAGAAGAGGAATCTCGGGAATATCGTCAAAGGCTGGGGCCCATTGGCGAGCACAGTAGAGAAATATCGCAGCCAATGAAAGGAGGCGACAGAGTGTAATCCAGTTCATGGGCATATGTCGGTGGTCATGTAGTATAAGGCTCAGTCGGATGTACTGCTGCGCAGCACCTTGGAGATTTGAAACATTTTGTTCGGTTGCAGAATCGCCTTGTGCAGGAGTGTACAATAAGAGAAGCAGGTTCTGGTAGCGGACATTAAGCCATGTGATGGTCGTATGAAAGGGAAGCTGGTCCGGTTCTCCCAAAGTTGAGCTGGATAGTAGACAGCCCTGTGTATACCAGTCTTCGATTTGGAGTCTGAGGTCTTGGGGACTTATAGAGGGGTTGGGATCATAAATAGCGTTGACAATGCGTGTCTCAAGTTGTCGCAGAGAAATCATATGCCGGCTGACCTGCAAGGCGATTGCGTATTGATGGCCTTCTTCAGAGCCATATTCATGAATCATGATGCTCGGTAAGGGTACTTTCATTATATTGTCGGGAAAGGCAAACGGCAGTCCGTAGGATATGCTGATCATGCGAGTGAATACATATACTGACCAACCAAGTCGGCGACGGAGCTCCAGTGCCCGAGGGGAGAGAGTCTGGCAACTGGGAGACTCATTCATCAGTCCGACTGCCAGGGCATGATTGGTGAGAACACCAGCGATGGCTCGTGGATCTTGGTCACCGGGCTTGAACAAGAGATATAATCCAAGGAGGAGCAATGTTCCTGCCGATTGCTCGTCCACTCGAGAGACACACTCACAGAGTACCGCCTTAAGACACGGCTGGAAATCTCGCTCCTCGATATTTTGCACTTCCCGAGCCCGCTCCAGGGTCGTGAAACCAATAGCCATTATCATATAGAGGCGGTTTGGTATAGCCGATTGGGGGAGAAACCCATTATCTGCCTCCTTATTGCAAAGCGTATCAAAGTCTTGAAGAACAAACTCGCTATCCATAAATGGGTATGTGCGATGAACGTGTCGAAAATAGGCCTGTAAGCACTTGCGACTCGCCGCAACAGAAAGGGACACGTTCTCTTCAGCCTTAGAAGTATGGCTCTCTTCAAACTCATTCTCACTGCAGTCAATCTCAATGGTCGTCTCGGCTGATGGAGACTGCATTGGGCTGCCCAAGGCCATATCCCGCCCAGTCTCAATAGACTCGATCGGCGATCTACCATCTGGAAGTGCATCGTTCACAAGCCGGCTCAGCCAGTCAATACGCGATCGCAATTCACGCTCACGCGTGTGCGGACTCACAGATTCCTCTTCCAAAGAGCAAGTCACCCAAGCAATTTGGCATTGCTCACAGGATCCATCAGGAGTTCGGGAGCACCGCTTTTTTTGTTGTCGACAGCGGCGACACGCAGGTACAGAGGACCGTCGACCATTCACATTGGTGGGTCTATCCTGTCGGGATATTCTCTCCGGTTTTGATGAATTTCGATGGACCCGGAATCGATGCACGGCGCCCTCCATGATTGTCGGGGGGAAGGGGTTTTTGGAGAGATAGCGCGATAATCAACCAACGGAGCACGTCATTTCTCCCCCAAACTGGAAATACCCATCGGTTCCGCACCGCGTTGTATATTCAAAAGGCTTGCTTCGATTCTTCGAAGTGGCTTCTCAAATTTACATCTCTGATCCGGAAGAAATCTCATCATGGTATCCGAAACCGAAGCGCTGGAAATCTACCACAATGCGATCCACTTTGACGGGCTAAACATCGCCAACTGGTCCCGCGAGATCTTCGAAGCCTGGCAACAAGGTGGCATCACCGGTGTATCCTGCACATGCGGTATCTGGGAAGGCTTTCGTGATGCCATTTCCAACGTGGTACAATGGAAAAAGTGGTTCGAAGAGCATTCCGACCTCATCGTACAGGCGCATTCTGTCCGCGATATTCGCCAAGCAAAGCGCGATGGAAGAACGGCAGTTCTACTCTCCTGGCAAAACACAGCCGGCATCGAAGACCAAATTGATTACCTGCGCGTTTTCCGCGACCTAGGCGTGCGCAAGATGCAACTCACCTACAACACGCAGAATTACTCAGGGGCTGGGTACACCGAGATCTGCGACTCGGGTCTCACTGGTTTCGGTCGACAGGTTGTTGATGAGATGGGTCGATTGGGTATTGTGGTTGATTTGTCGCACGTCGGTCCAGTGACTAGTGAAGATGTGATCGAGTATGCGACTAAACCCCCTTGCTTCAGCCATGTGTTGCCGGGCGGTCTTCGTGATCATCCACGCAACAAATCCAACCATCTTCTACAGCTCATTGGTAAGAAGGGTGGGTTTGTTGGAATCAGCCAATTTGGACCACATATGGCCAAGGGTAATGATTCGACCATCGATGATTACGTTGCTGCGATGGACTTTGTGATCGATTTGGTTGGCGAGGACCTGGTGGGTGTGGGTTCAGATGCCAGTGAAGGCCACGCGCGACCAAGTGATTTCATGGCCTGGTGTAATCTCGACAAGGGTTATGCGCGTCAGCTCACACCTTGGGGCAGTCAGACTGTTGTGAAGCCTCTGGGTCCGTTGAAGGAAAGGCCAGAGCTCGCCAAGGCTATGGCCCGAGCAGGCTGGTCGAAATCAAAGATTGAGAAAGTGTTGGGAGAGAATTGGCTAAATTACTTGGAGAAGATCATTGGCGAGTAATTCTATCACTTCGCACTACCAAGGAATCTTTTGTAGAAAATCATTACTCCATTATATATATACCACACCCTCTTTTATATCACATTTTCAACCAAAGGGCCCCATCCTCCTCCACCCGGACTATTTATTTGCATCATTTCCCCAGCCTGTAGGGCGAGAGCAGCCTTTCCACTCAGAGAAAGTCTCTCTAAGGCTGTCTTTCCATCATTCCACTTGAATGCGTAGTTCTTCCCCACAGAACCAGGTTGGCCCCCGTTCATTCCATAGGGAGAAAAGACTCGTCGATCACTGAGAATGCTGAATTTGAGCGGAATCCTAGCCTCAATCTCACGGACAGCACCATTACCCCCTTTGTATGTCCCATCACCACCGGTATTGGGATTGATGGCATGTCTGCGAATGATGACAGGAGTTCTCTTTTCAACAACCTCCGCATCTGTAATCTTTGTATTCGTCGAATGGGCCTGAACGGCATGTTCACCGTGCCAGCTGGGACCGGCGCCACAACCGCCTCCTACGGTTTCGCCATAGTTCCATCCAGGTTCAATGATCCCAGTAGCAGGGTCTCTGCCTCCCATACCCCAGCCGAAGCTGTTCGCACAACCAGAGAACGCCGCGCAGCACTCGAAAGCTCGCAAGATTGTATCAATAACGCGTTGGCTTGCTAAGGTACTCCCACATATGGCCACGGAAGCAGTGGGTCTGAGGATGGATCCCTTGGGGATGCGGATGTCTATCGGCGCTAGACAGCCGTCATTTAGAGGGATTTCTGCATCGACCAGACACCTGATACTGTAGATGACAGCTGAATGGGTGATGGATATTGGGCAATTGTAATTTCCCCACATCTGAGGACCGGTTCCTGCGAAATCAAACACTGCTCCGCCAGCTTCGTCGATTGAGATTGAAACTTTAAGAACAGTACCGTCGTCAAAATGGTCACTGGCTGTCAAGGGCATGGTCTTGGTTTGGGAAACCTTCTTGAGATAATCTCTGACAGCTGTTTCTGAGTTTGTCTGGATGGCATTCATGTAACGATGCACAAAGGCAAAACTGAATTCAGCACACATTTTCTGCAGAAGAAGAATTCCCCGCTGGTTGGCCGAGATCTGTGCCTTGATATCGGAGATATTATCATCCAATCGGCGAGTTGGACTGCAGCCAGGGAGATCACCAGCTGCCAAAAACGCCTTTCGCACATCGCTTTCAAGGAAGACCCCATTGTCAACTATTTTCATCGAGCGAACGTTGAAACCTTCTTGCCATAGCTCCTTGGAGTCTGGCATCATAGACGTAATTCCTTGGCCGCCGATGTCGGTGTGGTGGCCACGAGCTGCAACATAGAAAGCAACAGTGGACTCGTCGTCCAGGAAGACCGGGGTGATGATAGTCAGATCTGGAAGATGGGTTCCGCCAGATTCAGGGTGATTGCTGAGAAGTACGTCACCGGCCTTCAATTTTCCTTCCCAAAGACGGTGCTGATATTGGATTGCATATTGCATGCTCCCAAGGTGAATAGGGATGTGTGGGGCGTTAGCGACTAGCTTTCCCTCTCGTGAAAATATTGCGCAAGAAAAATCCAGACGTTCTTTGATGCTGGTTGAAATAGACGTACGCTGCAGTGTGTAACCCATCTGCTCGGCAATTGCCATGAACCGGTGAGAAAGAATGGACAGCTGGATCGGGTCGATGGTTTCAGAAAGACGGGAAATTTCAGTATTTGAAGTGTCAGTCTGCGATTTCTCGAGTACTAAATGATTTGGAAGGAGGTAGGCATTGAAACTTGACTCCACGAAGATCGTCTGGGTTGCATCAATCAGCAAGGCAGGACCTTGCACCTGACCGGTACGCTTGAATGAGTCAAGCTCGAAAATCGGAACTTCGTGCCACTTTTTCTCGAAGAACACAGGCTGAGTCCGATCAGACTGCAGGTAGTCTGTTTGAGATTTGACCTGCTCCAGGATCCCATATGGGGATGTTGTCTCTGTAGGAACGCCACTTTGCCCAACACCACGGACCTTGATCGAGTCGATGTGTATTTTCCTTTCGAGGACGAAAGCAAACTCTCGTAGGTGCGTGGCTATGAAGGAGGCTCCATAATCCTCACCCTCGGGTTTCGGGATGACAATGTTGGTGTCTGTGCCCACGTATCTCAAACTGAGAGATTCTTCGAAGACAATAGTAGACGCATCCGCACCCTGAGATAAGAGTGCAGATCTGACTTGAGACTTAAGCTTGTCAATCTGTGCTCGAACAACATCTAGCACTTCGAAATCAAAGAAACCAACGAAGGGAATTGTGTTCTCAACCTGAAGGTCCGCCTGAGAAATACCGACAGCTGATAGCAGTGAAGAGTGTTTGTGAATGAGAATCCGTGTGATGCCGAGCTTGTTGGCAATAGAGCAAGCATGTTGACCACCAGCTCCTCCAAAGCTGACCAAAGTGTGGCTGCTTGGTGCGAATCCTCGTACTTCTGTTGCGTTGCGCATTGGTCGCGTCATGGTCTCATTCGCGACATCAAGAAATCCGAAAGCGACCTCTTCTGGGGTAAGCGTTTGACCGGTTTGTTCATTGATCTCGCGAGTGATATCATGGAACTTTTGCTTGGTAATATCGAGGTCCAAGTGTTGGTCTGCATTCGGACCGAAGATCGCTGGAAAGGAAGAGCGGACTAGTCTTCCCAGAAACAGATTTGCGTCTGTCACAGTGAGAGGTCCTCCCTTTCGGTAGCATGCCGGACCCGGGTGAGCTCCTGCGCTCTCAGGTCCAACAACAAACAGCCCATGGCGCGCAAACAGCATCGAGCCTCCACCCGCTGCGACGGTTGCGATGTTCAACATCGGTGCTGTGATTTTTCGGCCCCCCACCGTCGTCTCGGTTAAATAATCATACTTGCCGTCATAACGGCAAACATCTGTGCTGGTTCCTCCCATATCAAATCCGAGAACAGGGGTCCCTTCGGCAGCATCAAAACAGGTTCGAGCGATTCCAACAACGCCGCCAGCTGGCCCACTGAGAAGAGCTTCATTTCCGCGGAACTTATCAGCTTGCCTCAGGCCGCCGTCGGATCCCATAAACTCCACCCGTTGAGGGAGTACACTAAAGCCGGCCTGGAATGCCGTGACATACTCTTTGACGATTGGGTACAGATATGCTTCTGAAGAAGCCGAGCTGCTGCGTTGCAAAAATTTGATAACGGGGCTGACGTCGGAAGCTTTAATCACAGTTTCAAAGCCCATATCTTGTGCGATCTGCGCTACCTGGTCCTCGTGGGAAGGATACAGATATGAGTGCAGGAAGGAGACAACCAAAGACTTATAGCCTGCCGACTGCAGCCCGCTAAGTACTTCTCGAACCTCAGCAATATCAAGGGCCTTCAAAACCCTAATCACTTCCCCACTTGGTGTTCGTACCAGTGCGGGATCTGTGATTTCGGCTGTCTTGTCCAAAGGGAATGGATTGAGATCGTAGTCCTCGATGGTGATGCGTTCGTCAATTTCTACCGAAATCGCATGCAGCGCAGGAGGCTTTCGGACGTTCAAGTCAAACAATTTTGGTCGCGTCTGATCATCAATAACGCAGACATCTTTGAAGCCTTTAGTAGTGACCAATGCAAATTCTCGACCTTTGCCTTCCAGCAATGCATTGGTCGCGATCGTTGTCCCGATGCGACAGGATGCGATCTGGGACCCGTCTAGCTTTTCGCAGACGGGTATTTGTCGCCCTTCTATAACCTCTAGTGCTCTTCGGATCGCCTCTGTAGGGGCATCACGATAGTTCTGCGGATCTTCCGACAGTAGTTTGAACACAAGGTCATCGCGACCGGGGGCTTGCACCAGGACATCACAAAATGTACCACCGCGATCTAGGTGAAGACTTAGCTCAGGACTTTAATTGATGGCGTGGTATCATAATTACATACCGATAGAGATGTTTATGCCTGGATTAGTTGCCATGGCTGGTTATGTGCGGTTTGGCGAAGACAGAGCTCGCTAGCAAACATCAATGCCAATGGATTTAAAAACAATGAAGCTTCATTACCTTGATCAAAATTAACATTCCTACATATGTACGATACTTCCAATTGATACTGAAATCACGCATTATTCAGTGGCTGTGAGGTGATCCGCCTCAATGTACTCCTCAGTGGACACCAGTCCCAAAGGGGAAATTATTTTCGGAAGTTCGCCGAACACTATCTTGATCTCCTTTGCCCATGCCAAATGGGAAACAGGCCTAAAGTGGGCATTCTGTTCGGCAGCTCGTCGACTGCTATCTCGATGTCCTCATCACAGGTTATAGTGGCTAAAACGCGTCCAGGAGTATTAATAAAACACATGTTTACCCGGTGTCAGTGCCTGAGGCATCTTGCAGTAGTTGGAGCCTTGGGGCCTGACAGTCGCTCGGCGGTGTGCGTCGCGCGGTGGTTGATTACGTTAGGTTAGCAAAGTCTCTGGAGATACCTAGGTTTATCACCCCAACGTACATATTAGGATTAGTTGATAATCCGGTTCCGAGGCATTCTGACAGGTATCCCCCAACTCGCTTGGGACTTACCCTGCCACGACAGCCTGGGGGAGAACTCCGCTAATGCATGCACACCACCTATAATAAATATGGTATTCTTTCGAATCCATACAATAGATGAAACATAGTTAAAGTAATAAGCTGTATGATAGTAGTTGATTAGTAGGAAATATCAGTATTGGTATTACAATCAAAAAAAGCAAGTAGGTGCATATACATGCGTAGTTCTCACCCGAGCTATCGTGGCAGGGTACGATGAAGTGGCCTTCCTGCTAAAGCTAGTCCCGTCTTGGCAAGCTTTTGGACCTGAACCAAACCGGCACCCATGGATGATGTTGACTAGTTTCCTGTCATGTCCTCGATTCACGGGGCATGATATATCGGAAGACGGATCCTACATGAACACTGCCAAAACATTACAGCCATCATGACCCTTGGCCGACTGCATTTTTTGACAGCCCCATATTGCGGCTGAATCCCATGTAAGCCTAGATCAGCCTGACAACGCTGACCCGCTCACCAACCTACCAGTTCAGCAGGTCTCCGACCAACTCAAAACTCGGCCATATCATCAGATCTGATCATTACCATGGTAGATCCGGCCATCTGGGTAAAAGGAGTGAGTTCGATCTGACCACAACCCTTTGCTACCAGAAATCATCTCGCTTGGCGATATGTCCGACCAAGGCGGGGTTTTTGGCGCCTTTGGTGCGGTGCTTGGTTATATCGGAGCAGAGGCAGCCACCGACATCTGGTTTTTGTCGTTATTATGGCCCCAGCGATCATTCTCCTATCTCACACTTCGATCCATCCCAACCCTGGCTCTCCTGATGCCTATGGGGGGTCCTTTGCACAAAGCCGCTCTGAGCACCTTCGATATCGCCAACGCCCGAGGTCTCTTGAAGGGCGCCCACGAAGGCCACATGCTGGGCACTTCGTTCTTTGAACAAACGGACTGGACCTACACCATTCCCGGTACTGCTAGTCCCGAGCCCCGCGCAGCCCGTAACTGCATGTGGGCGCGAGCTCTTCATTACATGCCTCTACCCGCCGAAACCCCTGAATCACTGGCAGGGCCATCTCCTCTAGTCACGGGCACTACCGTCGAGAAGGGCATCCTCCCGCGCGCCGACAATGGCCGCATCCCCTTACGAGCGAAAGTCGCCGTCTACCACCTCATCTTCACTCCAGCAACGGCAGAAGATAAAGCCTCGCAGATGGCGTTTGTGCGCGAGAACTGCGGCCGACCAGGCTGGCACGTTTACCTCAGCATCTTCATCGCTGAGCTCTCCGGCATCATTATCTTTGCCGTCATCTACGCCATCGGCCGATCACTCTGGTGTCTCATCTGGCTAGCCCCGCTGCTCCTCCGCTTCCTGAGCGCCTTCTTCGCCCTCGACCGAGAGCCCCTCACCCCTATCTCCTCCTCCATCTCATCGCTATCAACCACACTGATCACCGAAGCCGAATCACCTCGTGATTTCGTCCTGGACTTCCCCCAATCCCAAGGCAGCGACCTCATGCTGTTCACAGGTCTCTCGGCTCTCGTGCAGCAGTTTTTCCGACACTACGGCCACCCAGTCCGGAACCGAACCCGGGAGATTCTCCAGATGTGCATTATAGCGCTTTTCGCCGCTCTATTTCCGCTAGGATTGCTGGCCTCGACTCTCTGGATGCCGCCGCTGGTTCAGTACGCGTGGATCTGCTACCAGCTCTACATTGTCATGACGATGCATATCGTCCGCTACACGTCGTTTGGACGGGACACTAGCACGGAATCTAAGATCGCTGATTATCTGGCGGATCGGCCGGAGATTCTTTTTGGGGAGAAGAGGCATGGGGCTGAGACGGTGAAAGTTAGTCTTATTGCGACGTATCATGCGCGGCATCAGGAGGGGAAGGATTGTTTGGAGCGGTTGGTAAGACGGTAGTTGTTGGTTTGGCTGCAGTGATGTCTTTAGTGCAATTGACAATTAGCCTCTTTTTTTCTTTCTTATATTCGTTCCATTCGCATCAATAAATCTGATCTCGTACTAGTAGAAGCACAGCCAATAGCAGAACAGCGCGTTAGCTTGGTTTTCTAAGATATAGCCCCGCTTCTGACCCCCTCGCTCGTCTCTACGAATAAACACTACTACCAGCCTCTTGCTGTTATTTGCACTTATATTAGACGGAAAAGCCAGCATAACAGCATGAGCCCCGATGACTGGGTGCCCGTGCGGAGCACCGAGAGGGACAAGGGATACCCCCTCGCCACGTTGATGCGGGTGGTCTACGGCGAGGACATGGGCATGGGAGAAGGGTACAGCAGGTGTTTCTCGATCATGTATCGACTAGCTCTGGAGCTGGGCGCGGTCGACAGTGTAAAAAGCCCTGACGGCACGGTCATCACGGGGTTTAATGATGACCTTGCTGAAATACTACGACAACATCTTACCCCGGGGCAGGAACGATCATTTTACATTCTATGGGAATGGTGGGCGACGTGTTCCCGAGTATGTATTGTGGACGAAGCAGAAGGTGAATACGATGATGATTACGACGACCTCTTTGGCGACGACGAGTCTGACTTCTACCCACAAAACCACGTAGAGCGCGAGACGATCCACGAGGCTGGTGGGATCCGGTACAAACTCCGCTTCAACTGCCTCTATAACAAGTGCATGGCAACGCTGTTCAATTCTGAATTTGAGAACTTCAAAACACACCGAAGCGGCGACGAGCTGGTGAACCTTCGACGGGACTTGGCGCAGGAAGCTGCTTGTCTAACCATTGCGATTGAAGCTTGCTCCCCGCGAAGCCAAACCCAACAGCCAGCTCAAGTGCCATACTCCCCAGATGGCCAGAGTTATCTCGCTCACCGGTCAGAGAGTTCCCCGGTCTGGTGCGCAGGGAGACGGGTCCTGGGGAGCATCGACCTACCCGGGCTGGATCCTCGCTGCAGCGCCGGCTCCAGTATCGACTCCTGCCCCTGGCTGGGAGAGATCAGCGGGCTCCCACTTTACTTGTGGGATGTGAAAGAGCGGAGGACAGTGGAGGTCTTTTCGCTGTGGGAAGAATACGAATTCGACATCCCGTACACAGCCATCAGTCACACCTGGGGCCGGTGGCGGCAGCGCGATCAGCCTGGGGTTAACATGAAATCGCGCGTGCCGTGGCTGATCCCGCGGAACTCACTGTTCGATGTCGAGCGACTACCAGATATCCTGGCGCAGATCCCGACGGATACCCCCTATATCTGGTTTGATCTGGTTTGTATTCCGCAGGAGGGCTGCGGGGAGGAGCTTGACGAGCAGCTGCGGCAGGCCATGTGGACGGAGGTTGCGAGCCAGGCATCCATCTTCAAGAGCGCTAAACACACCATTGCTTGGTGGAATACCGACTCCGCCCCGGAGTCCTGGGACGGCATGCGCAGCGCCATCCAGTGGATGTCCTCCATATATCTGGACCTCCAGTTCTCGGAGTGGGACGAGTCTTCCATACGTATCCCGCCGTGGAAAGCGCATGACCAGCTCCAGGCCACGGGGCTGTTCTCACCGGACATGACCATCCTGCCCTGGTTCAGCTCCCTGTGGACGCTGCAGGAAGTGTGCCTGCGCCCTGACATCTGGATCTGCAACAAGAACCTCGACCTCCTCACGGTAGGCGACAACGGGGCCCTCGTCGCCTTCAACACGCTCGTCTCCCTCGCTGAACGAGTAAAAAGCACACTCATTAGGGAGCTTAACGATCTAGCTACTCCAGCAGACCGCCTTCTCGAGCGCTGGAAGCCCCTCGTCCACCCAGGCTTCCACGAAGTACTCGACCTCCTCCATCGCACAGGAATGGACAATCTCCATGAGCTGAAGCGCGAGCAGATCCTCTTCCTAGCGACCAGCCGATACTGCAGCCACAGCCGTGCGCAGGCGATCATGTCTGTCCTCGGCATAAAAGAATGGTACAACTCCGCCACTGCCATGCCGGAGCAGCGCCAGCCCAACAAACCAGGCTTCGTCTTCGACCAGTACCCGCTCGCCTTCGTGCAGGAGGTCGCGAGCAATTTGGGCTCTAGCTTCTTCATCACCGCCATTCTAGCGGATTACCCGCCCGTCGACAACGTGAAAACTCAGGACGTAGTCCGGGGCACTATGCTCCCCTTCCGGGCCCGGATCTCCGAGCCGCGACGCGTGGATGTGCCGCGCTTAGAGATGGGGGACCATCCGTCCGTATCAACGTGGGAGGTCCGCGGCGATGGGGCGGTGTTCCTACCGGAGGTGGAGATCCTCTTCTCATCCGATAGCGACTATGGTGATATCAAGTATATGAAATGCTTTGTCGATTTGAGTCTGCCGGTGCCTGAACATATTGTTGAACGGGAGCACTTCCAACCCCAAGGAAGCATGTATCATGGGGATCTCCGATACTGGATTAAACAGCTCATCCCAGAGATCTACGGAGTGAGTGGGACGTATTATGCTATTCATCTCCGGTACCGACCCGGACAATGGGATGGTTTGTTGTTGAAGGCCGTCGGTAGTGGAGACTCTTCGCAGCCGGAGAAGATGATCAAAATCGGGAATCTCCATGTGCTGACCTTGGTGGGAGATGGGGAATATCTGCCCAGGCGTAAATCAGTGGACGTTAACTGGATTGTTTTGTAGATTCGGATCTTTGTTATAATGATTGCCTTATCATATTGCACAATCTGTCTCCGTATACGCTCTAGAACAGCTATACGGCTACAAGGTGATACGCAAACCGTCTCTGGAATGGTCGAGAAAAGAGGAAGGTCATCTCTCACGAAATGTTAATTAGGCCTAAAGATCCAAAATAGTATATTACCTAGGTAATAACCATCAGTGCACAATTTATTAATTAAAATTTCAAAATGGTAGATCTAGATAGGTGCCCTAGAGATACTATTTATGTTTAAAGATATATAGGTATTCCAACTTACTCTATGCTTATATATTCTTATCTCTCTCACCCCTAGTCTCCGGAATTCTTACCCACATCACCTATATCACCCATACTCACCCTAACGCAAAATACAGTGGTGTTTTAAGGCAAAGGGCACTTTGAGAATTGACCGTCTTTAGTATGTGGCTTCAATACGGCTGAGCGGACGGGAAGCCCTGTTTTTCACACCCTATGGTCGTATGTATCATCTTACGTTGGGAGAGGAACATACTTATACATAGAAAAATCCCTTGGACAAAGTATGCCTTTTTTATCGCCTGTCTATACACCTTAAAAGATCACCTCAAAACATATCAAAAGGCCGCAAAGGTGGCCAATATTCTTGTATTGGCAAATGTGAAAAGGGTACCTAGGTATGCAACATCCCACAAAGAAGCGTTGAGCACTGTATGGAGGAAGAACAGAGAGATTAGTATCGTTAGACTAGTATCGTTAGACTCTAATACTGTGCAAGACATCATAGTTCATGAGTATTGCGAGTTATTTCTACCATACAACTACTGTGAGAACAAAGTAAAAGTATTGGCTTGCTGAGACTGAAAATAAGGGTAAAATGCAAATCTAACTAGACCTCATCGGATATGTTCCTTAATGAGCTCAATCACTTCCGCATTTTTCTCTAGATGAACGCCGTGATTTGCATTCGCAATAACCCTCAATTCCGCACCTGGAATCTTTGAAGCAATGGTTTTGGATTGCTCTGGCGGGCAAATCCAATCACGTTCACCCACAATAACCAAAGTCTTCGCAGTGATCGAATGAAGTTGATCTCTGTAATCGAAATACTTTTCCTGTTCAGCATAGAGATCATCTTTGGATGGTCAGCTTGCTTTCGTTGCGATATATTAGTGCTGGCCACTTACTATGGGACTTTGCATAGAAAACGGTTTCAATGTTGTGTTTCAACGCAACATCAGGATCAAAATGTTCGCTATACAGCGGTGCAGCTGCGTACATGACTAGTCGGAATTCGAGATCGCTTTCGAATCGACCGAATATTTTGTCTTTCAGGAATTTGATAGAAAGACCGGGGGCTTTGGATGCTCTTTGTTCCAGAGTCCGAATGGCTGTTTCTTCATCTATGTTCAGTTAGCACATACATCATAGTGATGTTTGAAAAACACGCTGAAAGTCGCAAGGTGTCAAACCCAATATGGCACTTACGGTGATGCGAAGGAGCAGTTCCTCGAAGAATCAAATGTGAAACTCGAGATGGATAGGTGACGGCATACTGCTGGGCCAGGAATCCACCAAAACTCCCACCACATATAATACAGGGTTGATCGGCTCCAAGGAAATGCCGCCGCAATCCCTCAATATCTTCAACTATTTGATGAAAAGTAAAAGGCTCTGTTCGTGAACTCTGACCATGTCCTCGAAAGTCGAAGGAAAGGACCCGATATGAACTGGACAGCGGTGAGTATGCTTTGAAGTCTGACTTATGGTCTCCTGTTATAGTTGCAAAGCAGACTTCTCAGTGATCTATTCACGTTTTTATCGCAGAGATAGATGTGATAGAGGCTCACCAAACCCTCGGCCGCCATGCAGGGTGATTATGAGCGGTCCATTCTCAGGTCCGACTAAACGGTATGCTAACTGGGCGCCATTGATAGAGACAAATTCAACCATTCTGTGTTCCAATAGTAGGATATTTGAAAAAAAAAAGAAGGAAGTCAAATGTGGTAGAGAGGGGTGGTCAAGCAAGTGACAGAATGTATGTCTTGATCCTGTCCAATTCAAGAAAGCCAGTGCAAAGAGAGAGTACACAATTGCCAAAGTCCGCAAATCAAATCCCGGAAAGAGGATAACATGTCAAGCAAGCTCATGTCGCGATATCGGCCCCGCACCGAGAAATATTTCCGTATCAGGAAAGGCCCCAACACGCAAGCTTTGACGTTTAAAGACGAATCTACGCAACTGTTGTGATAAATGTCGTGATAACCTTATTTTTATTTTTTATTGATCGTTCTATATTGTATGTAAGAGCTGCCATCGCATAAATGACTCTTCTCAGCATGGACTCTGGCCGAATTTTCATTGCAGAGCCAATTTACAATGCCTATCTCAGCTGAAGAAAGCGTTCAAAAGCCAACTCCAATTCACAGGGGGTTGGATAACGCTTCCGGTGTACAACAAGATCGCAAAAATGTCACGACTGATTCATTGCACAGCGTGGAGAGGTCGACAATTCAAACCGACAATGCTCAGGCCGAGTCCCGCCAACGTTGGTTCCATTGGCATGAGCCAGGGACTTCAAAAGCCGACAAAAAACTCATTTTCAAACTGGACTGGTTCCTTCTCAGCTACAGTTGTTTATGCTTTTTTATCAAGCAGCTGGATGGCAACAATGTGTCCAATGCCTACGTCTCTGGCATGAAAGAAGAGCTTGGGTTTGGACCAGGCAACGAACTGAGCTGGATGAACACATACTTCAGTATTGGCGCAATCATCGGAGGACCAATTTCCAATCTCGCTTTAACTGTTGTTCGGCCGAGGTACTTGCTGCCTAGCTGTTTGTTCGTCTGGTCGCTCTGCGTACTTTTCCTGTACAAGTGCAACCACGCATCTCAGCTCTACGGCCTTCGATTTTGTATTGGATTTTTCGAAGCCGCAGCATGGCCCGGAATCCAGTATGTTCTTGGATGTTGGTATCGCAAATCCGAACTCGCGCGCCGAAGTGGTCTCTTCGTCATGTCCGGAGTCCTGGGACAGATGTTTTCAGGCTACCTGCAAGCCGCACTGTTCAAAGACATGGATGGAAAAGCTGGATTATCGGCGTGGAGATGGCTCTTCATTTTTGATTTCATCCTTGCCATTCCAGTCGCCATATACGGTTTCATCTTTTACCCCGATACGCCTCAAAACACCACTGCATTCTATCTCTCCGAATGGGAAAGAAATCGCGCGAGAGAGAGAATCGAGGAAGAGGGTCGAACCCCCGTTGGAAAACTGGACAGCACTGTTTTCAAACGCGTCCTGCTATCATGGCAATTCTACACTTTCTCACTCGCATACGCCTTCTGGTCTCTCACCTGCGGGTCATATGTGATGCAGTACTTCGGGATTTGGCTCAAGTCGCTGAAGATATACTCCGTGCCTCAAATAAACAATATTCCCACTTCCATGGGTGCCATCAATTTTGCTTTCATGGTCGGCACGGGATATGTCTCCGATAAAATCGGCCGACGAGGACCCGTCTGTTTCGCAGTTGGATGTCTCCTGACCTTCTGCTATGCCATCTTCACGGCCTGGCCTGAATCAAGAGGGTTGAAGATGGCTGCGTTCATTATCACGGGTTGTTATGGATGTTATACACCCCTTCTGGCAGGTTGGGTCAACGCCTCATGCGGTGGAGATCAACAATTACGAGCATTTGTTTTGGCGTTCATGGTCAGTCTTGGATCGGCTGTTGTCATCCCCTTCCAACAGCTGCAATTTCCTAGTGGAGAGGCGCCCAAATTCACCAAGACACACGGCTGGGTCAGTGGGCTGTGTTTTGTTTTGGCGCTTACTCTGTGGACTGGGTTCGGAATCGACCTTGTGGAACGGATTTTCACACGAAAGCGCAAGGAGAGTCTACCCAAAGAAACCGATGTTTAGTGTCAGGATCAGCCATAGGATATATTTTGAGGATTTGATTGTGAACTATATATAGATCGATAGTTCAGCTATGTATAAAGACGATTGTATTTGTTACGCTAGGCTTTCTCCCTTCATCTTGTCTATTTTTAGCGTATTACTCTTCTAGTGTGGAGTATATCAAACAAGTTCTAGCCGTTCTAATGGGTTTATATCGATAAATATCATGTACTAGATGACTCTATTGAAATAAATGGAGAATTTTAATCGCATCTCTCCAGAACAAATCCCCCAAAAAGAGCTAAGGCCGGATTTTGGCTACATGTCCAGTCCCATCTTGGATTTTACCGCCGAAGACTAGTGTGCGGCCTTAGAGCCTCAACCATCAGAAATTCGTCTTACATCTCATCTTTGCTTGTCTCTTTGTTTTCTCTTCCAAATCTCTTCTCTCTTTAACTATTTCCATTGATTTACTTTCATTACTTTCATTACTCTCATTACTTTCCTAGAATATCAAAGTCATGGGTCGCCTCCACCATGCAGATCCCCCTGCGTCATCCTCCCACTCACTCCATTCTCTTGACGACGCGCCGCCTCCATACACAGATGACCCCGAACTCATTCTCGCCCCTGTTCAACATGCCCAACCTATCCAACCCGCCCAGCCTCCTCCAAGCATCCGACCCCTCCGCCTAATCGACTCCGCCTACGTTCTCCCCGGCGGCAACAATGGCAAACCCGAAGACAAAGTCTCTCTCGCCCTCGAACCAACGCTCTCAAGCAACCCCAACGAGCTCTACGAGGCCATCCGCCGGCAAATAAAGCTTCCGCCACGGCCGTTACTCTACATCCATGGCACCCACACCGAATCAAGCAACGACAACAAGAAAAGCAAAAACAACACATGCACAGACTTCAAATTCAGGCTGGATCTGGCCGAGACCATGCTGACCGGCTGGGAGGGCGGACCCATGGACGTAAACTGGAGGGAAACAGAAATCCTCACAGATGAGGACCTCAAACCCGCGTATCGGGGAGGAATCCTCCGCTCGCGCATCTACAAGCCGCCTAAGTCGCGTGCTGCTATCAGTCTTGAGGGGGACAGCGATGCCCTCTTAGGACAGGATCACACCGACATAGAGGATAACAGCTCCCCAGAAGCGAAAAACCTGAGGATGTGGTGCGAGCGCTTCTGTCGTGACCCCGCTTCGGTGAAATCGTATGCTCTGCCCCCTATACGCGCACAAAATACACTACTAATCTCTATTACCCCTATACAGATTCACTCTGCATCGCGAAATGAAAGGTTTCGACTCCAACGCCATGCGCAACGTTCTCTCCTCCCACATCCGCGAACTCAACTACCGCGGCTCCATAGCCTTCCAGCTCTTCATCGCCCAGCGCTCCGTCACAATCTACTCTCCCCACTGGATCAACCGGCTCCGCACCAACCGTTTCATCTGGTGGACTGTCGTCCTTCTCCAGCTCTGGATCATTACCTGGCCGGTTATCTTCTTCATGGAGAAGAGGTATGAACTCGTGCACACGCGCTGGAATGCGTCGCTTAGACCGGAGTCTGACTCTGCGTTGGCGACGTGCTACGCGTTTGGTCGTGATGAGTCTTCTTTGGCGGAATACTGGGCTCCGGCTGTTAAGCAGGCGGCATGGACTCGGCGACAGGGTGGAGGTGATCTTTTGACGCGAATGGATGCGGATCGTTTGCAGGGGTATAGTACCCAACAGTTACTTGGTCTTCGGGGTGCTACTTCGGATACTGAGGTTGAGCGCCGGGAGAGAGTTAATAACGGTGAGGGTGGGTTTGTTGATAATGTTGTAGGTCTGGTGAGAGGGATCAGTGAAGCTGGGCAGGATTGGAGGTTTTCTGCGGGATGGGGTGCTAACTCTTAATCGAATCTGCTTTAGTTGCTTTTAGTTGGGTCTACAGGCCGAGATAATGATGTCTCTTCAAAACTTCAAGTGGTTTTGCCTGATTAAGCTGTCTTCGTAAAGTAGTCCAGGGCTACCGAGATATCAGGCTCTCCCTCTACACAAATCGGCCATTAGTTTCGATATCCGATATTTAATCAAACGTCAGCCTCTCAAAATGTTTACTAGACTCGAACTTCAAGGTTGGAATTCTTCATCTTGGGTTCATTGTCATACTGGGCTCTTGGCTTCAAGTTAAATTTAGCCAAACCTCCGATATTGCTTTGTTCCCCTAATGTTATTCTCATTGCATTATGCATTTAGCGTCGAGTACTTTTCTCTCCCGTCCATCCGATCCATCCTTTACCTCGGATCTCTTTGTTCTATTAAGTCCCTTGTTCAAACCCCCCCCCCCCCCCCCCCCCCCCNCCCCCCCCCCGTTGTATCCAGATACATTCGAATCCCCTGTTCTCCAAGTTTCTATACATATCCATTCCTTTATCTGTTTCAACTTAACATAGACGGGATGCAAGCACTAACTAGATCATGGACCGGCGTCTCTTATATAGCCTTTGTCCAGAACTATATAATATCCGCTTGGTCCAGCACCTAGCTAAGCCAGTCAAGTATATCAATTCCCGAATAACAAGACCAGAACGCCCCCAGGACTTTTGAATGCACTTCAATTATTTTCATTAAAATTTTCAATACGATGTCCCAATCCCCATCTTCCCCCCTCAATAAAGTCAAGAATTTCTTCCGTCGTAGTAGAACTGGCGATGGAAGTGGTACAATAGCACCTCCACCACCAGCACCAGAAGGTGTAGAGGGTGCTGCCACACCTGCTAAAGCTCCCTCTACCTCCAAGGACAAAAAACGGAAGCTTGCAGCTTACCAAGGTGACGCCACCAATGATGGCAACCGTACCCCTATGCAAAAAAGACTCGATAGAGCTCGTGGCACACTAGGGCTCAGGAGAACAAGGGGCATATCGACGGATCTCAATCTTCCCAAAGCTCCCGAGCAAGATCCCGAGGAAGGTGCTGAGGAAGATTCCGAGGACGATTCTGAAGATCCTGAGGAAAATCCCGAGGCAAAGCTTCCTAACCTCACTGCGAGTCCTAGGAGCCCTGGAATGTACACTGGTAGGCTTTCCTCGAAGCTGAATCCAGACAAAATTCACATATTAGACAGAACACCTAAAAGGGCTAAAATTAACCATTATCAAGCGACGGGGGCTGAATTTGAAAACTGGATGGCCAACACCAACCCAGCTGGGCCTGCATGCCCAGTCCGCCAGTCCACACTAACACTTGCTGCTCTAGTAGAGGCCCGTCCCCCAAATGAGCCACTATTCAAGGTATGGGAAACCTCGTTCGTTCCCCCACCGCGTGAAATCAGGGAGAGTCTTAGGACGACAAACCTTCCAAGAAATCCGAAAAGTGACGACTACCGCCATTCGAAGCTACAGCGCAATAAGATGTGGACCGAGGTGTCCACTTACGAGCATTGCATCGTGGGTGGTGCGATCGTTGTACATGCAGCTTTCAGACATAAATGGGGACCCCAATGGTCTGACATTGCTCTAGCTTTATACAAACGGGATTCCGAAATCGATACCCTTCAATATGTTTTCATGGTAACAGTGGAGAATGAGGAGACACTCCCCTTGGTGGGGAGGGTGCTATACCGAGAGAATAATCTTCCCGGTCCTAGGAATAGATCTATAACTCCAGCCATTCACACTTGGAACCTGAACACTCCACAGTTCCAGCAAATCCTAGGATCACAGATGGGGAGAGCGGTGGCCCGCCTTGTTCTAGCGACTTGGCCTGCAGGTACTCATCAGATCCCTACAATTCACACTTGGTTTTTGAGCGGCAACCTACATATGCGGTTTGATATTGCGCGGATTGGTTCAACTGGCGCTCCTCCACCTCGCGCTCCTCCCCCCGCGACTCCTCCGACCCCTTCCCCAGCTGCAAGAAAAGGTCAACGTGGACGAAAATCCTGATTGCTTTTCGTGGTCTTTTGTCGGATGGCCTAGTACATGGGTCATGCTAATGAACTTCCTGATGACTGCTTGGCTAATTTATAGATCCTTGATATGCATATTTATTGAACGGGGCGTTGCAGCGAGCGCAAGTTAGATTTGTCTATCGATAATATATAGTTGATGTTTTGGCTACTGCGATATTTGGATTTTATATATCAAAACATAGAGTATCAATAAATATCTTTCACGCAAAACATTTAACAGAACATGTATCTACAAGTTTCAAATTCCCAGCACCAAGCATAGCATCAAGGCCATCAGTAGTATGAAATGAAATCTAGATTTTGCATTTAGTACCATGTTCTCATACGCCATATCCGACACAAATTGCTACACATATATACAGATAGGAACCCTCAATTGGCCAACTCAACGGAACAGAGATCACATCATTCCACCACAACAATATCCAAAGTGTCAGTGCTGTGTCGTGATCATAAGATAGGCCAATCCGTGACTCGAAGATGAAACTTTAGAGGCGATGGTGCAAGACCCCAAGCCGGCATATCGGCATAGATAAACGTGTTTTCGACTTCTGCGGGGAAGTATACTTGCCATATAAGGAGCAAATACTCCTAGGAAAAGAGCGATATACTCCATTTTGAAACAAAATTGCAATATATTACACACATCACAATGGCACCAGGCCTCGATACCCAGATTGTCCCCGAGGTTCTAGATATCAAACCCAAGATCACCGATACCCCGCAACCTAGCATCCTCCGCGAGCCACTCAAGTCATCGGGAAGCTTGAAGGAGTATGAGAATTTCAATTCGACACCCATTATCGGGACTGAATTCCCGCATGTGCAGCTTACGGAGATCCTGAAAGACGAGACAAAGATCCGGGATCTGGCTATTCTTGGTGAGTGCATTTTACTATATCCCATATATCCCATACTAAATCAAATTCAAATGAAATGAAACAAACACTGACACCACAAAGTCTCTCAACGAGGTGTCGTTTTCTTCCGCGACCAGAATCTCTCATCCGAGGAGCAAAAGACTCTCGGTCAGAAGCTGGGCGAGTTAACTGGGAAGCCAAGTACATCGAAGGTGATTAAACCCTCTAACCGTACGAGATATATATTTGAAAAACATGCTAAAACTAACAGCTCCACCGCCACGCCGTCTCAAATAGTAAGAGAGGAATCGCCGTCGATGAGAACGGTCATCTAGATGATGAGATCTCCGTCATTTCATCCGAGGTATGGCTTCTTCTCCCAATATCTCCCTCTCTTTGTATCAAAGTATCGAATCTAACAGATCTATATAGTCATATCGCAAACTATACGGCGACAGATACAAGCCACACAGCGGCCGTCTCGCAAGCGAAGGATGGCACGCAGAGTATGTAACCAAACTCCAATTTCCAGCTCTGAATCTCCACCCGCAAACGTTAACCAAGTTTAAAGTATAACATTCGAACACGTACCATCCGACTACGCTCTACTGAAGATCACAGATCTCCCTGAAGACCAATCTGGTGGTGATACCCTCTGGGCTTCGGGCTATGAGCTGTATGATAGACTATCGCCGAGTATTCAGAAGTTGGCAGAGGGGTTGAAGGTTGTGCACCACCAGGTAAGGAGCCCTCTGTCCCAATTCTCCCAACATAAGTATGTAGACCACAAATATACTAACAACTCCCAGCCTGCATTCAACAAAATCGCCAAAGAACAAGGCATAGAGCTCATCGAGGGCGATAGGGGCGCTCCGGAGAATACAGGATTTGATTTCAAGGCGACGCAGTAAGCACCATCTTTGAGATAGACCAGACCACTGAATTCCCCCATGCATTGGCCTATTTTAACTCCTGATCTATCAATTCAAAATCCACCTACTAACCAATCCATCAAACAGTCCCCTCATCCGAACAAATCCCGTAACAGGCTGGAAGAGTCTCTTCGGCGCGGGACAGCAGGTTGAGCATGGCTGGATTGAAGGTGTGACAACGCTCGAAAGCGAGGTTTTGAAGAAACTATGTAAGTTTACTAAAGGCTACATGCCGAAGGTTGGAAAGATACTCTGCTAACGAGGTCATTGGAATATATAGTTAACCGGCTTCTCTTTGAGAATCATGATTTGCAGGTTCGGTTTACATGGGGGAAGAATGATCTTGCTATTTGGGATAAGTATGACATTCCTTTGAGAGATAGCATTGGTTCGGATATAGGGTAATATGCTGACGTTGGTGTTTTAGTCGGTCGGTTTATCATACTGCTACCAAGTGAGTACTATTTTCCATTGATTTATAGCTATGTACAATGCTAATGAGGATAGTGACTACGATGGGAAGCGTCAGGGTAATCGGGTCGTTTCGCTTGGGGAGATCCCGTACTTTGATCCGCTGTCTAAGTCACGGAGAGAAGCGCTTGCTCATGGAGTTTGAGGGTTGGAATCAGGCACTTTCTAGGTGATGTACAGATTCTAAGGGGGCTTCCTTCTACGAAAGCTTGCTAGAAAATATCAGACTATATGAGCCGTTAAGCTCCGTTTCATTGAACACTAGACGTAGATACTAAGGACTGCTATACACCAACTAGAAAGCATCTCGTCATCCCCCGATTTGCAAAGCCCAAGCGATGATCATCACAGGGTAAAAGATGAAAGCCAGTTAAAAAAAGATACATGTCAGGGAGAATCGAAAAAGATATATGAAGCCCCTTCATAAAGGTAGGAGCATTACAGGAGGAGGCTGGCGCCGAAGATGGTCGACACGATAGTGACGAGGCCGACGGTTGCGGGAGCGAAGCTGAACTGGGAAGGCTTGAGGCCAGCGGCAGCGCCGGTGGAGCTGGTGCTAGAAGCAGCAGATCCGGTGCTGGTGCCAGTGGCAGCGGCGACTTCGCCAGAGCCCTGGGTGGCAGTGCTGGTGGACTTGGTGCCGGAGTTCTGGCTGCCCTTGCCGCTGAAACCAGGGCCCTTGCCGGCACCATCGGTCAGGTACTTCTTAGCGGGGGCGGGCATGGCGGGAAGAGAGTCGGAGTCGACGTCCCAGTTGGGCTTCTGCATCTTGGGGCAGCCGGAGGCACCACCGGTAGAGTTGTAGCCGCCGTTTCCGGTGGGGTTCGCGGTGGCGTCGAAGGCAGTCTTGAGAGCATCGTAATCCTTGTTGGGGGTGACGGTGTCACCGCTGATCTTGACCAGACCGTAGTTGTTGCCACCCTCGGTGTACTCGTAGACCAGACCGCCGGAGTAGACGGGGGTCATCTGGGTGGAGTAAAGGGCCTTGACTTCCTGGAACTTGCGGGTGTTGATGTTGCAGCCGTACTCGGAGAGGAAGAGGGGGAGTCCATAGCCGGTGAAGTTCTTGACCTTCTGGTCCCAGCCGGAGGTGGTGAAGGAAGAGGGATCACACCAGGAGTAGTCGTTGAAGGCGAAGAAGTCACTGCGCTCGTCATCGGTACCGCAGTTCATGTACTCGGCCATCTCGAGACGGTTAGTGTTGACATCAGCGGCGGAGTATCCGACAGGGACCGCGCGGAGCTTGCGAGCACGGAGGTAAGTACGCATGTCACGAGTGACAGCCTTGACGTAGGGAGCGGCCTTGGAGGAAGGACCGTCGTTGATGACCTCGTTACCGGAGAAGAAGGCCAGGGTGTTGTCGTACTTGGCGAACTTCTCCATGGTGGCGAAGATGTACTGAAGGTAGACATCGTTGTAGGACATCTCGGGCTCGGCACGGTTGATGGAGTACTTGGGGGTGTTGACATCGAGGACGAGGTAAATGCCGGCCTCGGCGAGGGCAGTCATGCACTCATCGTGGTCCTGGGAGTTATCGACAGAGTAGACACGGATAGTGTTCAGGCCCAATTCCTTGAAGTTCTTGATGTCACGCTTGCAACCATCGGCATCAGCGATGGGATCGGTGAGGTCGGAAGAACCACCGGGCTGGTAGTCAACACCGCGCATGTAGAAACGGTCATTGCCTTTAAAGAAGGCGTTACCCTTGACAGTGATGGGAGTGACATCACTGGCGCGGGCCTTGATGTTGGTTGCGGCACCGAGGACAGTTGAGGCGCCCAGGGTGATGGCCGTGGCCATGGAGGCTACGGAGGACTTCATAATGTGGGAATATAAGTGAAGAAAGAGCGAAAACTGGTATGAACGAGAGTGGGAAATAGATGCGCTCAGAGTATTAAAAAGAGAGTGAATGACAGACTGAGAAACGAAAGTGAGGTCAGAAAGAATGAAAAGAGAAAGAAAAATAGCAAGGGATGAAAGGGTTATGAGGCCAAGACCCCTCCCCCAAGCGGCAAAGGGCTGGGCTGTGCTATGCCAAGGTACGGGCAGGGTACGATGTACATTGGCTCTCTGCTTTGTCCTGATCAGCAAGGGTCATTATTACTGTGGATTTTATGTGGGGATGACCCTGAATGACTGATGTCGATTGGATAGATTTGGATATATTATTTATTTATTTTGTTTCTGGTTTTGAATTGTCAGGTCCTTGGTATTCTAACATATGATGGGTACAATGGTACAAATATATGATATACTAGAATTTGTACATATGTACTCCGTATGTGTCACTATATCAAATGTATACATTACTCTAATTCCATACAACATATTCTAAGTTAGATTTATCCTGCTGCCTCCATAAAACCCTGAGTGGACCCTACCTTGGCAATGACGCGCTTTGTATCTGGGCCGATCGCACTTCAGGGGTCTTGTTATGATTCTTCTCCGTACGGAGTACTTTGTAAGGGTCTAAGGGGTCAAGCTATAGGGGTTCAACATCAAACGTGCCCAAGTTCTAGAACCCAATCAAAAGTCCAATTGAATCGTTGACTCTTCTGATTCGCCAAAACACTTTTGTCTCGGCGCCACTAAACCCACCTGCCCATGGGACACTCACTTTCAAACGGTCTATACATAGACCTGAGACACTTGACAGTATGTACAACAATGTCAGATTTGCCATGCAGCAAACTGATCTATTCTTTCTCTACTTTGTACAACGCATCGCTTTGGGATGTTCAAACGTACATGGTACATACGGAATATGAGAACACTACGAAGTACTTTGACCAAATCGACAAATCACGGCACAGAGTACTCTGTAGATCCCGTTGATATGGCCCATAATTCAGAATGTCTCATTCATTCGGTATTCTTGCCATTGTCGACTATAAACTCCATCCACCCCCAAGACCCGACCTATACCCGACAGTCACCAGCTCAGCTGCGTCATGAGCTTATGAGAATATTTTGAGTGTCGAGAGTAACCTTGGCATGAGAGAAACAGCGACCGTAATTGTTTTTCCCTCTGCGATTGTCTGAGCCGGGTATTTATAGTCGGACCTTTTTTTTTCACTGTGCCTTTCCGTGAGTTTGTGTTTATAGCCGAGTGGTCATTCACCGCATTGGTTATTTCTGCCAGACACCCGCAATGGAACATCGTATTCGTGTCTTCGGAGTCCTCGGGACATCTCGTGAGAACAATAAGCAACTGCCGGTACACCATTGGTCGCAACTGCCGTTATTGGCCCTTTAAACAATCTCCAGATTTATTTGCACAATAGAAGCTACCCAAACCAATGACCAACAGCTTCTACATTCTACACAATACGACGCTTCTTCAATTTATCCGTTCCATGCACCCAATCCAACAACCCCAACGATCCATAATTCAAATTGAACTTCTCATGGTGAAGATCATGCGCCCTAGCCCTATGACAAAAGAAATCATAGCCACTATGAACCGTCGCCGTATTTACAAGCTCATAAGCCAAGAACACCCAAAAGGTCACAATGTGGCTCCCCAGCAACTGCGGCGGCAGAGAAATGGGCAATGTATTAGCGACGATGTGCTCAATCGGATGGGCGAACTGCGCCGCCAGTGCGATTGGAGCAGTGAATCGGTGATGTTTCTTATGAATGCGGATGTAGAGGGTGGGTATATGCAGTATCCGGTGGGCGTAGTAGAATAGAGCTTCGCGCATCAACAGGCTGAGCAAGACGTCGCAGAGGATCTCGAATAGGCCTGGTAGGGATTTCTCGATGCGGTATGTTGATTTAAGCCCAGCATAGCTGGCTGCGGACAGCAATGTCAGATGAAGTATAGATGATATGATCTGGTTTTGTACAACGACTAGAAAGCAGCTTGCGATCTCGCGGCAGGTTGGCTGTTTGGGGGCTGGCTGGATTTTGTGGCGCTGGGAGAAGGATGGCGCTATCACTTCCAGGAGCATGTAGCATATTGATGGTAGCCAGAAGGTAAGGACCTGGGCGAGAAGTGTACCCACAAACTCGATTTTCTGAGGCGAGTAGTTGGCCACGATGTGGGCCCAGGACGCCGTGGCTTGGGATAAGACCTGATCCAGAGAGCTTTTTAGGACATCCATGGTGGTTTGCGTATGTGAAGGCTTTGTCTGAGAATTAGCAAGATCTGGGGTCTATTTAAATCTGCATTCTTCTCGTCCGATATATCTGCCTCGGTTAGTTCCCCAGACCCCCAGACCCTTTCCCCCGCAGCGGGCATCGCCGCCAATGATCGCTCTGCTATATGCCATGTGAAAAGGCTTAAAGCTCGGGTATCTGTAATATCTGTAACCTATGCTCACTTACTGGGCTAGCTCAAAGGCAGATGTGAAAGTTTGACCGCCAGAGAAAACAAAAAAAGAGACCGAAACATGCCAAGAGATGGAGGAAATATGAATCCGTGAATAGCTTATGAGCAGGCTGGTAGATAGATAGATAAATAAACACAACAACAACAACAGGAGATAAACCCTGTCAGGTTTGAATGGAGTTCCATGTTCAGTATTCGAAATTAAATATCAAAGCAGCACTGCCAGCTCCTTACAAGACCATCCCTCGATATCCAGTTCACCCACAAAGATGCCCATCACAATCCCCTAAGCTCACAAACGACGTCAAGTATCAACGAGTGGGATCGTCCGGATCCCAGCTAGACGCACGGTGTATTGCATGCAGCAGAGGGGCTAGCCCGATTCCCAACGCCGACTTAGCCGTCTATATCACCTCCCCAGCCTAGTCATCTATTAGGTCTAACATGGTCCATGGCATTCCCGCGAAAGTGATAGACTTGACTGGGGCAGGTCTCGACTTTGCCACGGAATTCGGTGCTCTGAATGATGGTTCTTCATATGGCAAAAGCGTAAAAGCTACTGTTTATATCCAGTCTAGACCGCTGCTTGGCCATGGGCCATATCGGTACTTTTTTCACACTTGCTGCTCTCACCGAGTCAATCGATGGTAGCAGCATTAGTCCATGCATATGACCTAGTGATCGTACGCGAGATTTAGGGGTAGATTGCTAGGATAGGGGGGATCGTTGAAATTTTACGAGAGGGAATCGAATTGGTTCTCCTTTCGGGATTTGGTAGTATTGGGTTGCTGGGGTAGTGGCAGGGTTTGTTGTGGGCTCATCCTTTAATTGTTATCACACGGTTACATGGGTTGTTGAAGCTACGCCTGTACCTCATTAACGTGGACAGGAGCTATGCAATTATAATCAATTATCTCTGCATTGTAGTATGAATGACTTTGCTTCCCGTGATATATATCGAGCATGTCAACACGAGCATTGTCATTGCCAACCGAATCAACTACCTTTGATTTTCAAAACCCATGTGATAATAGTTTGTGATATCTGCAACGTGATGGACCTAGCAAGCTTAGATACTTCCTACAACATGTAGACCAATGCATGTTTCACACACTTCCTGTGGACTTATAATTGTGGAGAGAACCGGTCTAACGCAGTACGGCGTAGTTCCTACTACAACGTACCTCGGTCCAGGTGAATTAACACTTGAAGTTGACCTTACAAGAGATGGGAAATGGCTATCGCTTGATGAGTGAATAATGTAATGTTATTAACTCATGCGAGTACTCGCTTATGTAGGTACGATGTACGTCGTCGGTCGCTTATGAACATAATCAAACTCTTCCCCGGGGGGCTGTTGGCGCCATTGGCCATGATCCTGCAGATGGTTCCATAACAAATGGAGCTATAATTTCAAGATCGACTAGAACACCCCTCTCCCCCACCGCTCAAATACGGGGCCAAGTACGGAGTTTGTACATCAAATCCTAGGTTCGTCTAGGTACAACGTATATTGTAGATATAGCCGATGAACCACCTCCTGAACAAATAAAATAGTTGGATTGGAGCTCTGCGTCGCTAAGCTTTGGGGATGGTTTACTATTAGCTCTGGAGAACCCCTAACGCCCCATGTCATGCAGGGGAAAAAGTGTACCGCCGCCAATAGAGTATGACGGAGGCACTTGGACCCCTGTAAAGTGACAGCTCACACACTGACAGGCCTGGAACCTGCATAACCAAGTTTTATTCGGAGTTTACCAAAATAGGCTAATCTAAAATGGTCCGTCTACTTACAGATCATACAAGGGATGCTATCAGGGTTTATTGGCTCAATGATGGTTGATGGTGGGGTGGCGAGGGTACTTATAAACAGTGTTCATGGACCAGGCAGAGAGGGATTCCGTGGGAATTTTATTAGCTGCCGCAGGTTAGAATATATTTTATTGGGATTGATAGGATGGTTGGCTTTTATAAGTCTTTCTTGGTCGTTGCGTTGGGGGTTTTGGGTTCGGCAGCCGATTCCTCCTTATTTGATATCAACATCGACATTGCCTTGACCGAGCGATTGTGTGGAAAGCATAACACTGCTGTGCGGAAGGAATGGTTTGTAATTCCTGATTTTCCTAGGTTCAATTGAGAACTAACATATAATAGGGGAGAGTTGAAGAAAGCTGAGCGGATCGACTATATTGATGCGGTGTTGTGTATGCAAGGGAAGCCTCAGCAACTTCCAAGAGAAGAGTACCCGGGAGTGCAGAACCGGCTTGACGATTTTGTGGCGTAAGTTCTCTATAGCTTCTTTCTAGATGCTAAGGACCGAGTACTGACATATCATATAGTACCCATGTCAACTACACACTCAATGTCCACCTTAGTGGTCTGTTCCTCCCGTGGCACCGTCACTTCCTCTGGCTTTGGGAGACAGCCTTGCGAGACGAGTGTGGCTACTCTGGAAATCTGCCGTAAGTACCATTCACTGACTACGACCCCTAATCCATAATAACACGAACCAGGTACTGGAACTGGCCATTGTGGTCAGAGAATCTAAAAGCCAGCCCTCTCTTCGACTGCAGCGAAAGCTCCCTCTCCGGCGACGGCAATTACAACCCAGGCGAACAAAGCCTCTCCGGCGGCGCAGTAACCATCCCACGAGGATCGGGCGGCGGCTGCGTGCGATGCGGACCCTTCAAAGACATGCAAATCCACATGGGACCCTTCGACCGCAATATTGCCTCATTCGACAAACTCCCCGCCCCAGGCTTCGACTACAACCCGCGCTGTTTCAACCGCAGTCTAAATAATTTCGTCAGCAGCAACTACGACAACGAAACCATTGTCGATCGACTCCTGGCCGCGACAAACATCTCCGATTTCCAGACCGTCATGGACTACTGGCCCGCGCGGCCGGGTGGGGTGCTGGGCGTGCATGGCGGCGGACATTTCAGCCTCGGAGCCACACTCCAAGACCTCTTCACGTCGCCGCAAGACCCGGCTTTTATGCTGCACCATGGGATGATCGATCGGTTGTGGAGTATGTGGCAGGCCAAGGATGAGGACCATCGTCGGTTTGCACTCAATGGTACGAATAGGCTGTCTAATCCGCCGGGTGCGCCGCTTGTCACGGTTGACATGGTGATGGAATTTGGTGTCCTTGATCGGCCCAGACGGGTCGGCGATGTTATGGATCCGACTAAAAAGCACTATTGTTATTCGTATAGCTGAGTGACCTCGGGAGTGACTATGGAAGGTGTGACCGGGCGAGTTTGGGATAATCATACCAACAATTATTAATGTGCAATATATAAAATATATAACATATACCCATAGGAGTTCCAGGGGAAGAGAACCCCCTTTTCGAAATTTCCCAATGGAGTAAAAAAACAATAATCCATGACAACATGACTCTGGGCTATTCTTGTTCCCAAGGTTACTATTGTTAGCCCTGAGACCCCACCAATGATAGGAGATAATGAAATTTCTTACTTTTTGTAATTCGTGGCACAGTTCCTCTTATACGAAGTACTCCATGCATGTTATACATATTATACACAAATATAGACATTATCTAAAATAGTTCACCTCGGTATATATCAAGCCTTGGTTTTGGGCCGATCCGAGACATTTGAGTGGCCGTAAAAATTCAGCCACGCCGATGATTCTCGGGATTATCATTCACTAGTGCGAAAAATCAAGAAAGATATCCCCCAAAAAAAAGAGAGAGAGAAAGAAAAAAAATAAAAAGATTATAGAATAACATTGAAATATTGCCACTCTGGGCCTTGCATGGTTCCTTCCAGTCATCTTCTCTTTAATAATCTCACCTGCTTTGTTGTTCTTTCTCCCCTCTCTTCATCGTCTTACCCAACTCTCTCCACCTTATCAGCAGATCTGTCGATCTTCAACCGCCCATAATGCTGCGTATCAGCTTTCTTCAATTGCTCTTTGTGACACTTCTCGCTCTGTCTGCGATCTTCGCAGTAGAGGCGGTGCCCGGGACCTCGAAAAGTGAGTCTCTCCAAGAAGGGCCTGCCGACATTAAGGCAGTCAAGCTCCATGATGCTCTGCATGCTCTCTCCGCCAAATTTCGTCATGGAATCTTCCCGACTGACCTTCAAGCCGCTGAGGCTCTGCAAGCTGAAGAACCCACCATTGCCAGCCTTGTCAAGCTCGCCAAGCGCCAGGATAATGTCACTGCCAGCCCTGATGCAACCTCAGCCTCAGTTCCTACTGTGACTACTACTAGCACCGAATCAACCTCTGAGCCCACCACCACCTCAGCTGCTGAGACCACTCAAACCAGCCAGACCAGTGAGACCACCTCGGCTTCTACCACTGAGTCGACTACCAGCGCTCAGCCAACCGTCACCTCGGCCAGCTCTACCAGCTCTAGCAGCGAGACCAGCGCCAGTGAGACCAGCTCTACTAGCTCTACCAGCTCTGCACCTGTCACCACCGAGACCTCCACCACAGTCTCGACCGAGACCACTGCTCAGCCGACCACTACCACCACTACGTCTTCGACTGCCCAGACGACTCAAGTCGAGACCACCAGTGTTCCCTCGACCCTGTCGACTGCCCGGAGCACTTCGTCCACCTCGACTACCTCAACCACCAGCCAGCAATCGACTACCTCTGCCCAGACCACCGAGCACACCAGCCTGAGCACTTCCACCTTCAAGAGCACGACCACCATGCCCGATGGCAGCCTGAGCACCATCACCTCTATTACGGTGATCACCCCATCGGCAACCGGCAAAGCCTCAGCCGCCACCACTGCGGGCAAGCCCGGTCTGCAGACTAACGCTGCCGCGCTGCCTACCGGCATGGCCCGTGAGGTTTTCGTCATGGTCGGCGGCGCCGTCGTGGTCGCAATGGCTCTGTAATGGATGATCGGTTTTTGCCTCATCGCCTGCTTGCATTTTTATCTTTTTGAACGGCGTTTTTAAGCAACATCGCATTGGCTCTGCATCTTCATGACATTCGTCATTGTACTATCTTTCCGCACGACCCGTGATGACCCTACTCATGTCTCTCCTTATCTCTTGGGCGTTCAATGGCTGGCATTCATTATCTGCCTCGTTTGGCCTTTTGTTTCTCGCGTTTTAACAGCGGTCTCGAACATTTACAGCGCCCAGCACACGCTAATATTCCATGTGATTAACTTTTAGTGCATGTTCAATCTTCATTTTGAAGATAATGCAAAAATTGCGCTCCGGTATCAAATTTATTAGCTTATAGACGGTAGAGATTCGTTGATTCGTAGATGTAGTAGATGTAAAGTATCCGAGATGATTGGAATGTGCACAGGGGTATGTATGGTATGTGTGCTCCGAATGTCTGAGCTGGTTCCGAGGAACTATCGTTATCGTTCGGGATTCTGACCTTCCTCCCACTGCTCCTCCTCCATCCAGTACCGGATAACGCTCTCCCAACCAGCAATATCCTCGTTGCGTAGTAGAACCGCGATGTCAACATTCAGCGGGGAATCCGGATTCGGATAGCTCAACAGCCACTGAAGAGCCTTGAGTGTGCCTGCGAGACCACCAGCCCCAGCCGGCGACCATTCTTCTTTCAAGAGCGACAAACAGACATTGCCCGTCTCAAAGTCGATATTCGGGTGCACAATCTTAGTTGTGAAGTGGATGATCGGTGGCGCAAGAGGGTAGTTTGGGGGGACTTCAATATTAAGGTGCCAACGTCCACCTGTTGTCGCGTTAGATTGACTCAAATACACCCGGCGGAGGAGTTGACTTTGTGGACTTTGTGGACTTTGTGGACTTACCCTCGTACAGCGATCCTTCTGGGCCCTTTAATACAGCTTCCCAGTGTAGTAGGTCGTCATGATCGATGGGTCTTAGGTACAGTGATGTTTCATTTTCCCCTTCCTTCCTGGCAGCCTTCAGCTCTTTCATGAGCCTTGGTATTGTGAGAGAACTAAATTCCTGAGACTCCATGTTGAATGTGGTAGATTGTATACAATATACAATAGTTGTAATTGAGATGTGAAGTTGAAGTCCGCCCCCTCACGGAGTTGGGTCAGGCGGCAATGCGATCGCCGAGGTTGGGGAAATTCCGCTCGGCCCACCCATGGATCGATCATCCTCTCACGTGAAATTGATTTCCAACCTCCTCGCCTAGTCCCGAGGTCATTTTCTTGCATTTGTTTGTTCGATCGCTGTTAATTTGTCATGCGCACTTCTCGCACTTCAAGGGACACCGCGAAGGTGCTGCAAGCACTGTCGCCCCCTATCGGACGACAAACGCGCAACTCCAATGTGAGCGCGTTGAAAAGTTTCAGCTATAATGCAGATGCAACTCCCATCATCAAGACGGAGTCAGAAGATGTCTCAATACCACCTAGTCTGTCCGTTGTCAAAAGCGATGATGAATCTTCCCTCTCCGAACTCTCTGAGGCCGACACGGCGGACATCGAAGACCTCCTTGAACCACCATCGAAGCGCCAAAAGCGCAACGCGAGCCCTATGAACCCGCGAGTCCTCAAGCGGAGCGCAACTTCCCGCACACCACAAAAGGTCATAGTGAAGGATGAACCCGACCAGAAACCAATACCGGCACCCAAACAAAGACGACTCCCGGCCCGGACAACCCGCGACATCGATGGCTCGGTCAAGGTCGAGCCCCCGTCCAACTGGGAGACGATGTACGAGATCGTGAAAAAGATGAGGGCAGCCAACCCGACTGCACCGGTAGATACAATGGGCTGCTCGGAGCTATACTGGCGCGCGTCATCACCAATAGATCGTCGGTTCCAGACTCTCATCGCATTGATGCTCTCATCCCAGACGAAAGACACAGTCACGGCAGTAGCGATGCAACGTCTCCATACTGAGCTCGGGGATGGCAACACAACGGCTCAAGATGTCAAAATCAAACAAGAAGATGACGATTCAAAACCCGTCGACAGTACCCTCAACCTAACCAACATCTTAGCTGTGGACCCAACGCGACTAAACGAACTAATCCGCACAGTCGGCTTCCACAACAACAAAACAAAATACATCAAAGCCACGGCGCTGATCCTGCGAGACCAGCATGGCGGGGATATCCCCTCGACTCCAGAGGGCCTCATGGCGCTTCCCGGCGTCGGACCCAAAATGGCTTACCTCTGTCTGAGCGCGGCGTGGGGTAAACACTTGGGGATCGGTGTTGATGTGCATGTTCATCGCATTACCAATCTTTGGGGATGGAATAAAACTAAAACACCCGAGGAGACGAGGAAAGCGCTCCAATCGTGGTTGCCGCACGACAAGTGGCACGAGATCAACAAGTTACTTGTTGGGCTTGGGCAGACGGCTTGTTTGCCTGTTAAGCGCCGCTGTGGGGACTGTGATCTGGCTGGCTTGAGGCTCTGTAAGAGTGAGATTAAGGGACTTAAGCCGACGATGCTGAAGGCTAAGAAAAGTCCTGAAATTGATGAGCCCAAGGTTAAGATTGAGGCTCTTTGATTGGGACTTGGCTGCTTTGGATTACTGGTTCAATTTATACATTTCATCCCTCTCTAGACGGGAGAAGGTGGTGCCGGTGTACTACCCGCTTGATACGTTTCCCTAATGATCTAATATAATTAATCTTCGTCGAATTGACCGAGCCTCTGGAAATGTGGTTTTGAATCAGAATTATTGCATAGCGCACGGACCAAACACCGCTAATCTTTCTTTGATGCGACCTCCAAGACTCCTTTGTTGTAAGGTTGTGCACACTTGGGCAACCACTGGCTGGAGGTGCTCTATTCCTGAATCATCGTTGCCGCCGTTGGCCCCCAGGTACAATTCTCGGCACTTCGCTGTCGCCTACCACAGGCCACAATATCCAGACGGCAAATGAAATCTGTTATTCTACCGACCTCGGGACCAAGGACGGGGCTGAGCAAGTCTCGTTCTCTCTGACTCTTTGGGTTAAATGGCCTGCTGCCAGAAATATAAGCAATGCCCCATCCTCACCCGCGGGTGTAGGCTTGCTTGAATGGCATTCTGTATTCGCACGCTCAGTCTACAGGACTGTCGCGAACAACTTCCCCCAAGAATTATTACGAGCCTTTCATTTCGGCTCCGAGGACGTACAACTACAAGATCTGCTAAGAACTAAGGACTTTGATCCCCGAGATATGGCTTACCATGGCCTATTGCAGACGGCCGCCTTTTGGTGAAGCTCATGGAAGAAGGAAACCTCACTTATTTGGAGAAGATGAGGGTAAAGGGTCTATATAGAGGTATAACAGATGCTATCTTTTATGGCGGCCATTGTGGGTACAGTTGATTTATTTTGTAATAAGGAACCCAGAATAACGTAAGGTACAGATTGTACCTATAAATTACCTCAGTTACTGACCTATATACGTATATTATACATTGCTAAATCTAGGACGGACTCCGGTTAGAATGCCGCACCACCTACCTATTATCCTTATCATTGCCATCCATATCGAGGCCACAAAGAATTAACTAGTATTTAGTGCTTCTAGTATATTCCCTTTAAAATCGCCACTTGTGCCCCTAAAACCACTTCTACCCCCCAAAGCACCCCGTTCACAACTACGCGCTCGTTCTGGAACCTTTCTCGGCTCTATCCTTTCTCATTCATTACCTTCGCTTTTTAGTGAGCAAGGAGCAGCCATGTGGTAAGTGGGCAAGATTGGCAATCGTGCTCGTCTTAGGGAGTCGCTGATCAAGGCAGTGGAATCTTCGGCTACGTGAATTATCTCGTTGAGAAGAACCGAAAGGATATTCTTGACACACTTCTCAATGGTACAATAGATAGCTTGAAACTCCCCACTTAGCCTTCGTTACTAAACATGAAAACAAAGGTCTTTCAAGCCTGGATTACCGTGGCTACGATTCAGCTGGACTTGCAATCGACGGTGACAAGAAGAAGGAAACTTTCATCTACAAGGAAGTCGGCAAGGTCGCAGGGCTGAAGAAGCTTGTCGCCGAGGAGAAGCCCAATCCCACCAAAGTCTTTGAATCGCACGCTGGCATTGCACACACTCGTTGGGCGACTCACGGCTCCCTGTCGCGTACGAACTGCCACCCCCATAGGTATACATTCAGCCTTGCAGATCTGTAGTGCAAAGCTATATAATCAATGCCATTGGTCTAGGTCCGATCCGGAGTCGGAGTTCGTCGTTGTCCACAATGGTATCACCACAAATTACAAGGATTTGAGGGGCTCCTCGTGGGAAAAGGCTTCAAATTCGAAACCGAGACCGATACAGAAGCCATTGCGAAGTTGGCTAAGTACATCTACGATAAGAACCCAACAATTGAATTCAGCACCCTTGCCAAGGCTGTTACCCGGGAACTCGAGGGCGCCTTTGGGCTACTTATCAAATCATCCCACTACCCTCATGAGATTATCGCTGCTCGTAAGGGCTCGCCGTTGGCTATCGGTATCCGGACCCAGGGCAAGATGAAGGTTGATTTCGTTGATGTCGAGACCGGTGACGAGACTATCTTACCCGCCGAGACTATATCCCAAAACGAAGCAATCAAAAAGCCTCATGGGTTAAGCCTAAGCAGCGCTAGTTCTGGTAACATCCTCGCGCCCCCAGACAAGAACATCCTTCATCGTTCGCAATCGAGGGCGTTTCTATCGGATAACGGCCTGCCAATACCGATAGAGTTCTTCTTGTCATCCGATCCTGCTGCGGTGGTTGAATATACGAAGAAGGTTTTGTACCTTGAGGATGATGATATTGCTCACATTCACGACGGTCAGCTTAATATTCACCGTATATCTAAGGACATTGGCACCTCGAATGTCCGTACTATTCAAACACTCGAGCTTGAACTGCAAGAGATGATGAAGGGTAACTTCGACTACTTTATGCAAAAGGAGATCTTTGAACAACCAGAATCCGTTATTAACGCGATGCGTGGCCGTCTTAACGCCAAGAATTCGACCGTGACACTTGGTGGTTTGAGACAATACATCCCAACTATTAGACGTTCTCGCAGAATCGTCTTTATTGCATGCGGTACCTCTTACCACTCCTGTGTCGCAGTCCACGGCATCTTCGAGGAGTTGGCTGAGACTCCAATTGCTGTCGAACTAGCTTCAGCTTTCCTAGACAGACAAGCTCCTGTATTCCGCGATGATACCTGTGTTTTTGTCTCTCAGTCTGGTGAGACTGCAGACTCTCTTATGGCTCTACGCTACTGCCTTGGGCGGGGTGCTATTACCGTGGGTATCGTGAATGTCGTTGGGTCCTCAATCTCCATCTTGACTCACTGCGGTGTCCATATCAACGCCGGTCCCGAGATCGGTGTCGCATCAACCAAGGCATATACTTCCCAAGTGGTCTGAATGGTTATGTTTGCCTTGGCGCTTAGTGAAGACCGCTCAAGCAAGACCCAGCGCCGTATTGATATCATGGAGGGCCTTACTAAGATCTCCGAGCAGATCAAGGAGGTTCTGAAGCTTGACCAGGAGATCAAGAGACTGTGCATGAAGTTCAAGGACCAAAAGAGTTTGCTACTCCTCGGTCGTGGTAATCAGCACGCTACTGCTCTTGAAGGTAAATTTCAATCTTCCACTAAAAGCTCTTTAGGATGATAGATGCTAACTATTCTGTAGGTGCTCTTAAGATAAAGGAAATCTCCTATCTCCACTGTGAAGCCGTGATGTCCGGTGAACTTAAGCACGGTGTTCTGGCTCTGGTTGATGAGGCATTGCCTCTTATTATGATTCTAACCCGAGATGATAACTTCTCTAAGTCGCTTAACGCCTACAACCAGGTTGTTGCGCGTAACGGCCGACCCATAGTTATCTGTAATACCGGCGACCCCGAGTTCCCTAGTGACAAGACCGATAGGATCGAGGTCCCTCGCACCGTTGATGCTCTTCAGGGTCTGCTCAACGTGATTCCCTTACAGCTTATGGCCTATTGGCTTGCTGTAGCCGAGGGGCTAAATGTTGACTTCCCAAGGAACTTGGCTAAGTCTGTCACTGTGGAGTAGAGCAATAGATCAACTCATGAAAATGGTTATGATAAATGACATAGAGTATAAGAATACTACTAGATCTATTGTAGCTTGCATGGACGCTCACATCACTTCCGTATCATCCACTGGGATTGACGTTGCATTTTAAGTAATATTGACCTTTCCATTGGCACCTCAAATATATCAGTTTACTAGATACTTCAACTATGAATCAAAACGCCCAAGCTATCGGATCTCTTGACGTCTTCCATATGAAGGAAAAAGTAAGAGTAGAGAAGAGCATTAGCATTAGCCAATTGCTTCACACGCGCGAATCACTCCCTGGGCGAATCGGCCTTTCAGACGAAGACAGAACGGAGATAATTTACGCTCACCTGGCCAGATGTAACTAAAAGGACTCATTTATTTATTTATCCATCAAACCAAGCCACCACTCTCTGAAATCGCGCCGAAAAGGAGACCCAGCTCTTCAGCCCGACAATACGCCTCATCAACCTCCTCCTGGTAGAGCTGAAGACTTCTCTTCCTCTGCACCGTATCCTTTTCTCCCGCTCTCGCCATAGGCTGCGACTCTTTCTCCGACGCAGGCCACTCAATCGGCTGCACCAAGACGGCGGGGCGGCTGCGGCCCGTGCCGCAGATCAAGGCGGTCGCGATCTGAGGATGCTGCTCGATGACCGTCTCGTAGGGGATGGTGTTGAGTTTCTTCGCATCCGCCATAACGACCACATCATCAATACGGCCCGAAGAGCGCCACCACCCGGGCATGGAGAGATGCTCGATATAAAGATCGCGCATTTCATAGGTCTCCACGTCCAGCAACGTGAAGAACACACTCTGGAAGCGCTCCTTAGTCTTATCCCGCAAATGCACGAGCTCGTACATAGAGCTCCGCAAAGCCCATAAAGCCCATATCCCAGCCCAACTCAACCCACAAATAGGTTGGGTTTTGGGCCTGGCCTCGGGCCCACCGATGGGCTTTTAATGGGGGCCCAATAGGCCCCAAACAGTACAAATATGCCGAGAATTCAGAAGTTGAACCCCCGTTTAGGGATTTTAAAATTACCCTTCGTTTTACCCCCGTTTCTAGGCCTTAGTCTAAAGGTAATATTTTATTGGTTTAAATCTTTTAGAATCAATTACTAGTTATTTCTCTATATCACGTTTAAAAACGCGAGAAAAAGTGTTTTTTAGATAATTTATAAATTACAGAGGTTCGCTTAGAAAGTAGTAGTAGTACTCCTATATCAATCTAAAATATATATCTTGTCAAAATATACATTTTTTACGGTATCTCGACCTCTATTTAGCGGATTTTATTTAAATTTAAAATATATACTTATATAGCTGTAAATATTATGAATTCATAAACTTTAAGCTCTATATAATAAGTAGAAGGTTAGAATACGGCGATTACAAGATACTGGGCAAACCCCCCTTGATGGGCTTTAATGGGCTTTGCGGAACACTACTCGTACATATTATCTGCGTAGTGACGAAGCTCGTATCCTGGATTCTCGTTGTAGCGGTAATAGTTCCACATATCGGGCGGGGGGATCTCGCCAGGCAGGATCCCCGTTTCAGTAGATGCTATGCCACCAAAGAGTCGGGTGCGTTTTGAGATGACCTCTCCGGCATCTGTGGGCAGGATACCACCGGAGTAGGACACGTTGTGGAGGAGGGGTAGGGTTTCAAGGAAAGCTGGCTCACGCGATATATCGATCAGCACGGAGGGGCTATACTGGGCTGTTTGCACGTTGGCGGTGAGGTGCAGGTAATTTGCGTCCTCGCCGCGCAAGGGCCATTCGGCCGGTATCACGACGGGTTGTCGCCGAGGGAGGGGAAGAGTTGGAAGGCGTCGTGCGCAGCGGCAGAGCCTTGCTTGAGGGTTAGGATCTTTAGCGTGCCGGTTGAGCCCGAGGAGTGTAGAACTACGTAGGGGTCTTTGCGGGCTTCTTCAAAGGTTTTGGTGTAGGGGTAGGGCTCGACTGGCAAGTTGGATAGGAAGTAATCCAGCTCTGGCAGGGTGTATCTGTTCATTTGGCGTCGCTCGAGCATGGCTTCTGTCGTTTCGGTCATCTTTTCGGGTGTGAAGAGGATCGTGCAGTTCAGCTTTTTGAGGAGGGCCACTTGAACTTCTGGATGGTTGCGTGGGGAACTATAGAATATCTAAATTGCAACATGTTAGCATTAGATTGATTCGGATTGAACACGGGAGAGGAAGGGAGTATCATGCGCGATGTTCTCATAGATGTCCTATAGATGTCCTAGTGCTGTACCTTCTAGCCGGCTTCGATTGATCCTAGGGTTAGGATGGGGTGTCGAATGTCCATCAGAGACATGTAAGTCGCGATAGGGGGAAAGTCCATACCTTTGCCAAGTATCTTCTCGATTCACCAGGCTGAGCGGTTGACCGCTTGTACAATCTCCCCGTACGTGATCTCTCTCTAGCCATCGGTGACTTTCGCTCCTGCCGGGATGGATATAAAAGGCTTCTAGGGACTCGAGGCCGCCAGGTCATCAATGATATTGGTCAGAAGCCTCTGCCCATGGACTTGCTTTGCTTTTAGGATTGCGTCAACCATTTTGAAATCTTATGGAGATGCTAAAGCAGAGAGAAGGAGATAATGATTAAAGTGGGTGGTCTTTCTTGATAGAAAAGAACAGACAGCTACGTTTATACAGAGTATCTTGAACATGGGTTGTGTTGAAGTTATGAACACTTATTTGTACAATCATAACAAGATTTTTAGGTGAAGACATTGGGATCATGAATCTCGTTTGACAATTCTATTAAAACTCTACCATTGTTAACAATCTGTTAAAATATATTGATATTTAAAACAATTTGTTATAACTAGAGCAGAACAGGGTACTACCCCTTGTATGACGCCACTTTGGATGATAATGACCTACAGCAGCCCGGAACGCCGAGGGAGGATTTTATTTGCTGAAACCAGTAGAAACCATTAGACGAAAAGAGAGGTTAAAAGTGATAATTCAGAGGTGATCCCGAGATACATCCCTGTAATCTCAGGATCTTAGAATCTGACAGATAACATTGAGATAGAAGCTTTGCGCCGAGACCGAGGGAACGCCGACAGGGGTCCGTGCTGTCCATCGGTGCGGTTCGAGCCGTCCCACAGAGCGGGTCGAGATTGCTAAAAGTATATCGACCAAATACTACCATATTGTTATGAACCCGGATTTCTGTCAAAATATCAAAAGTGGCAAAGGTACCGAATCCCAGTCGCACCTCAGCTGGTAATCGGAACAGTCTACTCCGTATGATGATGTGATGATGTGTTTAATTATAGTTCGATGTAGTTTCCTCTAGTCAATTTGGGCGCTATGCGGACTTCTTCAGCTATGTACAGGCGGTACCATTGTTGTATGTGGAGACCGTGTAGGTTACAATTCTGTGCTACTCCACTGGGGAAAACGCGGCTTCCGTGGAAAACAGGGAAAAACCATGAGAAACCTAGACCATACTCGATATAGAAATACACGAAGGGAGGCGTTCCGTATATAGGAACTGTGCCCTACGGTTATCCTCTGATCTCTTCTATGTACTAGGCTTGAAACAAAAGATACCCCTCCTTCACTGTGGTCGAGTTTAATGCTAAGACGAGCCCGGAAAGGAACTTTGATGGCTGTAGGATTCGAACCTACTATATCTTGCATATAGCTGTGGGTAGGGTCCCAATCATACCGGATAGCTCTTTGATGCATACTAGGTGATCTACTACTACGACCAGCCAGCCACCCACTCTACTCCGTATGTCGGAGCGTGATAAGGGGTTTAGATTGGGCAAAAATTGTAACTAGGTAGAAACGGCTTACGATACAATCTCATAGAGTGACAGGAAATACGTAAGTAGTTGCACCCTTGGCCCCATCTAGTTCACAGCCAACACCACTTTCCTAAAGCGTGTAGTATCTATGAATGGTTTACCCTTAAACAATATACGAAGCTGCGTTTTCGCGAGCAAAAGGCTGTATTCTTCTCCTCTATACCTCCAAAACTAGTCTAGTCCTTTTATATATGCCGCACCCATATTAATACCAGAGATTATTATGATATAAGTATTATTTTAAAAAAAAGTTGGCAGAATAATATATAATAAAAGGGATGTACAACATAGGTAGGGAGGGTCTGCATTTACGTTATTTATGTCCACTGTGACGTATTTTCATATTGCAGGGCTGTACGGAATAGTAAAACCTCTCTCAACCTCCACCTACATCTATATCAATAGAAACACGCCTGGTGTTCTTCACCATCAATTGATACATGCAATTATTTTAAATGTTTCTTACGACTAGAAAATAAATCTAACTATATGATTTATATACCTACCTGAGATCTAGATACTAGTAAATATTGCACTCGGCATCTAGATGCCGACATAATCTTACTGAGGGGATATTAGGATAAGGAAAGTTGTTACAATTATTAATTGATTCCTGTTAATGAAAACGCACGGTACTTTCGTCAGATAATAGCTCAATTTGTTAAATCTTGAAGCACTAGCTGCGACAAGGGCCGGAAGCCTTGTACTAGAGTTGCTGACTTAGTGGGCCGCATATACGCACTTAATAATCTGGATAGCTGAGGGGTTGTATTTGGACGTGTATCTGGGTTTTTGTCAACACGTGTATGCAAAATGCATTGTGATGGGGCCAAACATAATGATTGATGGGAGGAGGAGGAGGAGGAGGAGGAGGAGGAGGAGGAAGCAGCGGCTTGACGTAATATATGGCAGGGGGTGTTGTGTATATAACACCCCGATGCTCGCACCTTGAGAACATAAATAGTCTCCATCTGCTGAGGATCAGCCTCCTCTATCTTCATTTATCTTCACCTAGGCCTCATCAATATGGACACCTCCTCAAATATTACCGAATTTGCTGCAGCTCATGCGGAGAGGCAGATAACTTTGAGTGCCATTGATTATTTCCAAGACACTCGTATCTTCTATACCCTTGCCGCTGTTGCTCTTGCTGCTACCATCCTAAGCCGATTTGAGGGCGGACGCAAAGCCTTTGAGCGTATCTACTGGTTTTTCAATAGCCTACTTGGCGGAGCCCCTCATACTATCTTCATCGCCGGTCCTCGTGGTCTCCCCATTGTTGGAAACCTACTCCAAGTAAGTCTCTTTCATGAGCTTCCGGAATTGGTTCATCTGATCAATGTCTATAGATGCGAAATGGTCATATCCAAATGATCACCGAATGGACCAAAAAGTATGGTGATGTGATCCGTCTCTCCCTTGGTGAGCGTGAGGCAGTAAGTTGTCCATTGTCTTGATATAGTTGGAGAAAGAAATTGGATTTGACACAGTATTTTGCAGGTTTTCATCAACAGCCACAAGGCTCTCGCCCAGACGGTGGTCCAGCAAGGTCCCGCCTATCAGTCACGTCCGACCTTCAAGCTCTTCCATGGCGACTATGCATCCTCTGGTATCTGGACTGTCGGCAGTAAGTGTTGCTCAATCTGTAAATTTGACCGTAAGGCTCACCCGTTACTCTCCACAGCTTCGCCCTACAGCAACCGCCTCGTTCGCACCCGCAAAGCGCTTTCTTCTCAAATTGCCCCTCGGCTCCTCCCAATCTACACTCCCGTCATTCACCCCAAGCTCAAGAAGCTCCTTGGCGACGTGTTAGAGATGAGCCAGGGTCCAGCAATCGATGTGGCCGACAGGCTTCACCGTTTTGGTACCGGACAGGTCTCTGAGCAGCTCATGGGCCAAGCCCTTGGTGATGACCTTGTGGGAAGGATCGCTGAGAATGAGACTAACATTTGTGAGTACTTTCGATATTCATTCCAGGTAAAAATTCTGTCGCACGGCTAAAACTTACGCTCTTGCCTAGTCCGTCAACGCACCATTGGCTCACCCCTTCGTGACTATATCACTCTCTGGCGGATGGCCCTGTCGACCCGCTGCAAGATCGGCCGAATTCTCGGTATTAAGTCGTGGGCTCTGGATGAGAAGGCGGAGAAGGCCCGGGAGTACCGCAGTTTGCAACAGGAATATATCAACCAGATGCTCGGTAGCCTGAAGGACCGCATCGCAGCCGGCGACAAAACTCCCTCTATCCTCGGCAACATCCTCCGTCAGAATCTTTTGACAGAAGAAGAGGTTCACCTGGCTTCTTACACCGGCAGTATGCCCCCCC